TGATGTAAAGCAAGTGTACCTCAATTTGACAATATATCATGATGTGTACCTGAAGCCTCCAATTGGAACCAAAATACCACCTGGAAAAGCCCTGAAGGTAGTGAAGGGACTGTATGGCCTGAAACAATTGGGCTGTGAGTGGAATATTGAGCTAGATTTGCATCTCCAGACAATTGGATTTCATTGCATGCCAAGCATGCCATGCTTATACTTGAGAGGAACAGGCAACAGAATCACAATCATCACAGCATATGTAGATGATATGTTGATAACATTGCCCAGTTGCAGTGAGGTGGAACATACTAAGTGAGAGATCATGGACAAATGGGAGACAGAGGATAACAGCAAAGTCAAGGAGTTTTTGGGGATCAAGATCACTTGGGACAGGGGGTGGAGGAGAATATCTCTGAATTTAACCACATATGTTAAGGCAATGGTAAGCAAATGGTTAGGGGGAACAACCAAAAAATCCTGGATACCCATGCTGAGCATGGCAAGCATTGCTGGAGGCAAGAAGTGTAACCCTCAACAGACAAAGCAATACCAAGAGTTGGTTGGTCAACTATTGTGGGTGTCCAACACTGCCTGACCAGATATTGCTTTTGCAGTGGGGATGTCAGCATGATATATGCCAAACCCAATCGACAGTGCATGGAAGGCAGCCACTCATATGGTGAAGTATTTGAATCAGACAAGTGGATACCAGTGGCATTTAGGAGGTGGATCAGGCAAACTTGCAAACAAGCCAGTGATGACATATACCAACACAAATTGGGTGTTGGATCCCACAAATGGGTGGAGGAGTACCTCAGGGGCAATAACATATGTATATGGATGTCTGGTCAGCTGGAAGTCTCACATCCAGAAATGTGTGGTGTTGTCTGCAGTTGAGGCAGAATGAATTTGTCACTGCATCCAAAGCAGTATGAGAAGCATTGTTCTTCTCATATTTACTTTGGGATCTGGAGATCATGGACTTCTGACCAACACTCTACACAGACAGTCAGGGATGTATCCAGGTAAGTAAAGACCCAGCCAAACACTGGAAGTTGAAGCACATTGACACCTGATAACATTTTGTTTGGGATCACATACAAGAAGGTGATGTAATGATCAAATTTGTTGGAATGGTGAACAATGTAGTGGACAATTTGACAAAACCTTTGCAGGGTCTCAACACCTCTCGATTAGCTAGGATGATAGGATTGGAGATACTGCCAAGGGGGGGAGTTGAAGATGTGTGTCATGGGCCTGAATGTGCAGGAAGCAGGAAGACCTGCTAGTTCATATGAAGGGAGCACAGGAATCAGGGGATCAGGCAGATCATAGGATTTGCAGCAGAATTCACCAATATCTGCAGTAGAATTGGCTCTATGACAGATCTCAGTGAGATCAGTATGAACAAGGATGATATCACAAATCCTGCTGAGATCAGTAGTAGGAGAGGTCATATAGCAGATTCTGCAGAGATCAGTGACAAGGATGTTTGTACAATGAATTCACATGCAAGGAGGACCAAGCTCACAGGTGAGGAGGACCAAGCTCTGCCAAGACAGGGACCAAGCTCAGTAAATTGCAGCTGGTTACCACTCAGGGGTTCACAAGATAGGAGTCAAGAGAACAGTAGCCAGTTAAGAGGAAGGAGAGCTGTGTCACAGACACCAGCATGTAGCTCATGAGGAGGAAGAGCTGTGTCAAGGAGGTCGACACGCAGCTCAAGAGGGACAGGAGTAGTGTTACAGGGACTCCTTCATAGCACTCGACGAAGAAGGTGTCAGGGGTCTCGCGCCTGAAACCCAGGTCGGTCTGTCGAGATACTCGGTGACTATCAAACTGTGCGACAGCTATTGTCTCGAGATACTCGGTGACTATCAAGTTGTGCAGTGACAGCAGGTGGCGTTTGTTGTATATACTATCGTAGGTTTCGGCTGACCTCTGTGGACACTCCGTTCAGGGGTAGCTCGGCACGATCAATATCAATGTTATGATGACACCAAGGTCTGGTGTGGGTGTTGATGGTGATGAGGTTGATGGTGTTGGTAATGAGATTGGTGATGTCGATGATAATGAGGTTGATGGTGTTGATGATAAGGTTGGTGATGTCAATGATAATGAGGTTGATGGTGTTGGTGATAAGGTTGGTGGCGTCAACACGAGTGTCCAGTGTGTTGACTTGATGCTTGAAGTGATCCCCGGACCGCAGTGGACTACTGCCTTCGGTTCTATCTATATCCGGACCGCTAACCTGCTATGGGCGCCTTCGGACGTCAGGTAGTGGTGATACAACACACACACTACGATGAGGAGCAACCTTGATAGATTGCTGCTATGCTGACTGAAACTAATGTATACTTATGCTGAAGTGATAACTAGTTATGGTGAGTAGAGTGGATGAGGATCCACTCGACCTATGATGATGAGAAAGCATGGTTATATACCTCTTCACAGCATCGCCAGCGATGCTGCTCCTGCTCTCTCTCTCCAGAGAGTACTTTCTTCATCGAGTACTGCTCAGGGGCCTCTCCTGCTTGGCACCCCTGTTCCTCTTGAGTGGTGTCGACTCCTACGACACTGCTCCTCCTCCTCTTGACCTGTGTCGACCTCCTGTCTCTCGAGCCCCTGAATGGTAACCATCTGCATGCTCCTTGAGCTTGGTCCTCCTCGTGGCTGTGCCTGCTCCTTGAGCTTGGTCCTCCTCGTGGCTGTGCTTGGCCCTCCTTTGCATGTGAGTCCATAGGAGTCCATGGTCTCCATGGAGACTGCACTACGACCATGCTCTCTACTGGTGTCGACTAGGTCTTCGATACCTGTGCTCCTTCCATATGAACCCATGACCCTCCTGCTTCTTGAGCATCCAGGCCCATGACAGAAGGTACACTCTGGAGAGAGGGAGTTGGAGCAGTGGCGCAGGTGACACTGCAAAAGATGTATATAAGCATACCTTCTCGTCATAGGTGGACAAGTGGATCCTCATCCACTCTACTCACCATATTAACTAGTTATCACTTCAGCATTAAGTATACATTAGTTACAGTCAGCAAGCAGCAATCAAGTAGATTGCTCCTCATTGAAGCACATGTGTCATATCACCACTCACTGACATCTGAAGGCAGTTCATAGCAAACCAGTGGTCCAGATTAAGATAGAACCAAAGGCAGTCATCCACTGTGGTCTGGGGATCACCTCAAGCGATAGTTGACAAACTGGACACTCGTGTCAATGCCACCAACCTCATCATCAACAATATACTCACACCAGACCTTGGTGTCATCATAAGTTCACATTGTTATTGATCATGCTGAGCTACCTCTGGACAGAGTGTCCACAGTGGTCAGTCAAAACCTGCAATAGCATTCATACAACTACAGATTTGAGTGAGAAAAGTAATATGTCAGGGGTCTCGCGCCTGAAACCCAGGTCGGTCCGTCGAGATACTCGGTGACTATCAAACTGTGTGACAGCTATTGTCTCGGTATCGGTGACTATCAATTTGTGCAGTGACAGCAGGTGGCGTTCGTTGTATACACTATCGTAGGTTTCGGCTGACCTCTGTGGACACTCCGTTCAGGGGTAGCTCGGCACGATCGATATCAGTGTTATGATGACACCAAGGTCTGGTGTGAGTGTTAATGATGAGGTTGATGGTGTTGGTGATGGGATTGGTGATGTCGATGATAATGAGGTTGATGGTGTTGGTGATAAGGTTGGTGGCGTCAACACGAGTGTCCAGTGTGTTGACTTGATGCTTGAAGTGATCCCCGGACCGCAGTGGACTACTGCCTTCGGTTCTATCTATATCCGGACCGCTAACCTGCTATAGGCGCCTTCGGACGTCAGGTAGTGGTGATACAACACACACACTACGATGAGGAGCAACCTTGATAGATTGCTGCTATGCTGACTGAAACTAATGTATACTGATGCTGAAGTGATAACTAGTTATGGTGAGTAGAGTGGATGGGGATCCACTCGACCTATGATGATGAGAAAGCATGGTTATATACCTCTTCACAGCATTGCCAGCGATGCTGCTCCTGCTCTCTCTCCAGAGAGTACCTTCTTCATCGAGTATTGCTCAGGGGCCTCTCCTGCTTAGCACCCCTGTGCCTCTTGTCGACACTGCTCCTCCTCCTCATGACCTGGTGTCGACTCCTTCGACACTGCTCCTCCTCCTTTGATCAGTGACAGTTCCTTTGGCTCTTGTCTCTCGAGCCCCTGAATGGTAACCATCTGCATGCTCCTTGAGCTTGGTCCTCTTCGTGGCTTGTGCTTGGCCCTCCTTTGCATGTGAGTCCATAGGAGTCCATGGTCTCCATGGAGACTGCACTACGACCATGCTCTCTACTGGTGTCGACTAGGTCTTCGATACCTGTGCTCCTTCCATATGAACCCATGACCCTCCTGCTTCTTGAGCATCCAGGCCCATGACATAATAGAGATGGCTCTACTACATATCTCGCCAGGAATTGCAATACCACAAGTGCTGTTGCATAACTCGACAGAATTGGTAATAGTATCGATACTACTACCGATCTCAGGTTTCAGGTGCATGACCGCTGACAATGTGTTGGCATCTCAAGAAGAATGTACAAGCTATAGCCAAGACACCAAGGGGCTGAATGTGTGCATAAGTGATGAACACAATAAAGCACATGAAGGTTGCCATAACAACAGCTCAGGGGCATTGCAGAAAACAGCAACACAGGGGGTTATGGAAGAGGTGACTCATCTGGCTTGGACATGATCAAGGGTAGCAATAGAGTATATATATGTGCTTGTCATTAGGAATCAGACTATAGGAATATTAAGCATTTCAAGAAGTTACATGTCTGTGGTAAGAGAGCCTGATAGTGGCCCCTGGAACAGCATATGCTCATTGTCATCTTCAATTCTATTCCTTCTTTTTCGGGATTCGGATGTTTTTTAAAGCTCAGCCGGGCCCCACACAACAGGCAACAGGCAACAGGCAACACCATCAACCTTGGCTCAACTAGACCCACATGCCATCCTGCAACACTCGTCCAAACAGCACTGCTCGCTCAAGATCGCCATCTCGAAGCATGGCCTCAACCTCAACGATCGGCGCAAATCCAAACGCAAACGCAAACGCAAACGCAAACGCAAACGCAAACGCAAATGCTGATAACAGCAAGAACGGAAAGCGTGGAAAGGATGGGAAAAGAAAACGTGTCTCTCGAGCATGCGATCAATGCTTTCTCAAAAAAGACCGTTGTGATGCACTGGAACCACTGTGTACATTCTGTTCTCGACTTGATCGAAGGTGTACCTACGACAGACCCGAAAGAAAGAGGGGGCCTATTCAGGGATTGAGGCCGAGACTGGAAGAGCGGATCATAAGCTTGGAAACTGTTTTGGGCTTTATGCTTGCCCATTCTGGTTCGCATATAGATGCATTACAACTCAAGCAGTGTAGTGGGGGAGAAAGAGTTGGTTTCCGAGAGGCATGGCTACAGAGCAAAGTACGGAGGCAGCTGGAATCCGAATTTGGCCTTGCAGATGGTCTCGCAATGCATCCTACCACCACTACAATGGGCAAAAAGCAAAGTACGAAACAAGAAGAAGAAGAAGAAGAAGAAGAAGAAGAAGAAGGAGAGGAAGAAGAAGGAGAGGAAGAAGGAGAAGATTCAGACTATAGCCAAGTGGATCTTTCTCTGCCTCCCACACACCATCGGCGCATGCATAGAGTAGAAGAAGCAACTTGGCCGAACCAACTGGATGAAATGCTAGCGGAACTATCATCTGGGCAAGGTGGAAGCTCACTAAACAGAAGCCTAGTGCCAAGAGGGACGGATGCAAACGCAGCGCTAGGTGGATTTGAAATCCAGTTCGGAGGGAATGAGCAAGATGAAGATTGGGTTCGAAGCTTTGTTCCTCCTAAGGGGAAATGGAGGCGGGGATCAGAGATGTGCAAGTAGTGATCGCGAGAGGGATACGAGTGTAGGCTAATCTCACACCGAAACAAAGCGTTTGGCAGAAATGGGGTGGGTACTGGTACTGTTCTTTTATGCTAAAGGTATAGTTGGATGTGTGAGGTCTGGAGGGTGGTGAGCAAGGCGGAGGATTAAGATTGAGCGAGTTCTAGGAAAGCCTTGCATTCAGCGGCGTTCATCTTGTAGGCCTCGCTGTTGTCGTCTGGGAAAGAACGATGGCGCACTGCTTGGGTGTAGGCTTGTACAGCAGCGATTCGAAGTGCGCCGATGGAAGTGGTTGAGGGTTGACTAAAGTTTCTTACGAATCGGGGTGGTGTTGGTGTGAGCGAACTAGTGATCGGCATTGTTGCCACTTGGCGCCCTGTCTTGACTTGCGATTGCGGCTGGGAAGGAGCGGGAGCCAAGGCAGCCAAGACATGGGCAGCACCAGTGAGATCGCCAATCATATCATTCATGACCAAGATCTGACCATCCGTCTTACTGCCTGCACCAATGCCAATGGTTGGGATGTGCAGTCGCTGGCTAATAAGCTCTCCGACACGGGTGGGGATGCATTCCAGCACGATGGAGAAAGAGCCTGCTTGCTGGAGAGCGAGGGAAGCGTCGAGCATGTCTTTGGCTTGGTAAGCAGTCTTGCCCTGGACACGATAGCCGGAGGTGGAGGCTACACGTTGGGGTTGGAGGCCAAGATGACCCATGACCGGAATACCGTGGTGGGTAAGGCGCTTGATGAGGGGAACAAGCTCATAGGAGCCCTCGATCTTGACGCCGTCGACACCGGTTTCTTGGATGAGGCGAACGACAGCAGCTACAGCGTTATCGAGCGAGCCAAAAGTGGCACCGAAAGGCATGTCTGCAATGACAAGAGGCGGTTGTGGCAGGTCTACATGCTCGAGGAGGCTAGCAGCGTAGAAGAGGGGTGCGTCGAGACCGCGTTTGACCGCTTTGCAGTGGTGGATGATAGCATCTAGGGAGAGAGGCTGGGTAGAGGTGTAACCGAGAGCAACATTGGCGAGCGAGTCACCGATCAGGCAGAGATCAATGTCCGAGGAACGGATGGAGAGAGCGGTGGGAAAGTCGTGAGCTGTGAGACAGACGATGGGAGTGTTGTTGGCTTTGAGCGATTCCAGGTCGGCGATCGTTTTGCTGCGTGGTGGCGAGGGGAGCGAGGTCAAGGCCTTTGCAGCGACGGTGGAAGCGGATGAGGAGGCAACTGCATCAGCTCCAGCAGGCCACCAGCTTGAGCGAAGCCGGGAGTGGCTCAACTCTCGAGCTTGACCAGGAGTGCGCCGACTGAGCGGACGAGTGCCAAGAGCCTTTGCAAGGGTAGAGTAAGAGCAGGAAGGAGTCGATATGATTCCACCTCTGCGTGCCATGTGTTTGACGTGGGCCGTGGAAGCCATCGTGTCTATTGAGGAAGAACGAGGTGAGAAGCGGATGCTTGGATCCAGCTTCGGTGCTTTGGTCCTTCTTGCAAGAGTTGCTGCGCCGTGAATGGTGATCGAGAGGAGACAAGATCGAAAGGAGGATGGATCAATGGTATGATGAGATGGTATGATGAGATGGTACGATGAGATGGTACGATGAGATGGTACGATGAGATGGTACGATGGATCTCTTCCTTCTTATCCATTGCTTTGCGCTTTTATTTTCCTTCTTTCGCTCTCTCTTTCATCCTTTCTTGCTGCATCGAGGTCTTTGTGCTTCTCAGTGGTTCCATGTACTGGCGCATGGTCTTTGTGTTGGATCGATCAAGCTGCTAGGTGACAGTCGAGTGTGTTGCATTGATAGCCAGCGCCGTCGGTTCATCTATCTGCATGCTATCCTTGCATTGTTCGTCATCTCTGCGCAGACCTTTCTCCGATCCGCTCCTCCCATCCAATCGCATCTCGCTAACACCATCCTTGCGCATCCTTTCCTCGTTGAGCGTCGTCGTTGCAGCTTCCGCCTTTCTCGCGCTTCAGCACACAATCACAATCAGTGCATCCCTATCCGTCATGGCCGATTGGACAACAGTGGACTACCTCCACTCACCAGGCTATCGTAACAATCTCACGCCATCGCAGACATTGGCGCTCTTGGAACTTTGGCGACGCTTTCTCCGTCTTTGTCAAGTCGCACCGCACTCTTCTGACTCGATTGGTGCAGCTCCTGCTCCTTCTCCTGCTCCTGCTTCTGCTTCCAATCAGAATCTCGAGCAGCAACATGTTGGTCATTTGGAAGAGAACAAAGAGATGCAAGCTTTCCTCCTCGAGCACGGAGGAGCAGCATTACGTCGCGAGTTCTGGAGCATTGTCAAGGGAGAACATCCGGATGCTTACATGTTGAGATGTCTTCGAGCACGTAGATGGCATGTGGATCGTGCATTGGCCGTCATTGGCTCAACGTGTGCATTCCGCGTTCAATACGACGTTTCAGGCATCATGAAGCAGGCCGAGTTGGGTCTGACAAAGACCAGAGGTGGATTCAACATGATGAACAATGCCATCTCCTACGTTCAAGGTGCAACAGCAGCAGGAGAGCCGGTCTACTTTATCGACGTAGCATCCCATTACTCGTCCAACCAGACAGCACAAGAACTCAAACGTGCTGTCATCTTGCTCCAGGAGTCTCTGCAGATCCTTATGCCTCCGCCTGTCGAGCGCAAAGTGGTCATCTTCAACCTCAACAACTTTGGCATTCGCAACATGGACTGGAGCATTGTTCTATTCATGGCAAAGACGCTCGAGTCCTTCTACCCAGAAACCTTGGCCAGAATCTATGTCCATGGCGCACCTTGGATCTTCAAACCCATCTGGAGCATCCTCCGTCCCCTCCTGCATCCCCTTGTTCGAGACAAAGTGCACTTGACATGGAACGTTGAAGAGCTCCAAGATCACGTTCCAGTGCAACACCTCCCCAAAGCTTCCATGCATGGCAAACTCGACTGGAGCTTCTCATATCCAATACCGCACGAGGAGGAAAACGATATCCAAAACGACATCCAAACAGCTCAACAAGTAACAACGCTCTACCACAACGCATGCATCCAGTTCGAACACTCCACCTATGCCCTTGCCCATGCTTACCGAGATGCTGCGCTGTCCGACGCAAAGGCAACCACCACCACCACCACCACCACAACAACAACAACAACCACAACAACAACAACAACAACAACAGCAGCAGCAGCAGCAGCAGCAGCAGATGAAGCATTGGTGGATGATGACGATTGGGAACCAGAAGGAGTTGCCCGTTTGCGTGCGAACCGTGATATCTTGGCGACAAAGGTGCGAGTTGCATGGCTCAAACTGAAACCCTATGTCATCGGTACACTCAAGTACGACCGTTGGGGAGTTATCGATAAAGAAGGCATCATCCGTTGGAAGTACGATACGCTGGATGGAACACACGAAGAGCAGGTACTGGGCGAGGCAACTTCACTTTCTCAACTCGAACGAAATCTTGCCGAACTGGACGCTTTCCATTCCCACAACACCAGCAACAGTACTAGCAACAAGAACGCTTAACCTCCAGTCTCTGTGTTGACAGAAACAAGACCTAGTTCGGCTGATGGGAAACATGGGAAACGCTAGAGATGGCAATATCCAGGTAGCTTAGAGGTTCTATGATGTTGAACCTTTTCAGCTAAAACACTATACTATATTGACATAGCAGAACAAGGTAGCCGTAACCTTGAGCTCTCCGCTTGATATCTATATACAGTTGTGGTACATGGCTGAATGCCGGAGCATTCCACCTCATGACCAAGTATCTCAACGAGCAGAACCCAGTAGTCGCCCATCTCCGATCAGATCCGCTTTCCCCGATTCATCTTCAGATCATGCCCTACTCGATCCTCACCTTCAGCACTCCCATGCCCAACAGTCAGCCCGGGTGGCATGTACAAGTGAACTTGGCATTTGTATGAGTTCCCAGTCAGAGTTGCATGCTCGGGGAAGCTGCATGCTTGGAGTAAAGGTCACCTGCTTCTCAGCAGTCATGTGCCTGAATCCCTGAATCTATTGGAAAAGTTGCTTCTGGTTGATATCAGTGAAACTGATTGAATAAGCTCCTTCAATGCTCTAGGATTGCAACTGTTGATGAGACAAGAACTAAGATACAGTAACAATAAAGAGTAGTAGAGTGGATGAGGTTCCACTCGTATGCTATGATCAAGTGAAAGTATAGATGTGTGTCTGTACAGTGTCACCTGCAACACTGCTCTTCCTCTTCCTCTCAAGAGGTCTATTGTCACAGGCTCTGCGCAGACACATGAAATGTGCCATGCGCACAGAATGCGAAAATGGCCGAGTCGAAGGGTTCTGGTAAATCTCACTGAGGCTGCTTGAGTTGGAAGCTCCTGAGGGGTTTCACTGAAACTGACCAGAAAGAGGCCGCTCCACCAGTTTCGCAGGTGTCAGGGGTCTCGCACCTGAAACCTGAAACCTGATATCTGTAGTAGAACTGCTTCTATTACAGATCCTGTCGAGATATGTGGTAAAGTACTGTGTAATATTATTTTGGTTGAGATCTGTCATAGAAGGCCTCTATGACTTTTCTTGCTCAAATATGTGATAGATTGATTGCTATTGCAGGTTTCAACTGACTGTTGTGGACACTCTGTCCAGAGGTAGCTCAGCACAATCAATAACAATAGATGTATTGTAATGACACCAAGGTCTGGTGTGAGTGATGTTATTGTTGCCAAAACAAGTGTCCAGTGTGTCAACTGAGTGCTTGAGGTGATCCCCATGTCACAGGGCCAGTGCAGAGATCATAAGCAGACATACTGCACAGCCACTGAAAAGAGATCAGTGCACAGGAAGTGGGACTGGTTGAGACCCAGGGGCTCCAACCAATCTCATTGAGAATGGTCAGACAGTGAGCTGGGGTGAAACCTCATCAAGAATGGTCAAGACAGTGGGACCTGGGAAGTTTCACCAAGACTGGCCCAAGATGAAGCAGATCAATTGGCCCCACAATGAGATGAGGATGCTCCATCAAGACCATAGGGCCAGCCACTGGGAACAGGGGACAAGAGAACTCACCACCTGATGAGGTGGGAGGAAACCCCTGAGCACAATGAAGTCAGCATAGGAGGATCACCACCTCAGCAAGAGGTGTAGGAGCAGGAAGGACAGGAATGTAGTAGAAGCCAGATAGACAAGGGTGAACAGAGAGGCCACACCCCTGCAAGGAGGGAGGCCATGGTGAAGTCAACACCATGTCACAAAGATATATATACACCCCTCCATCATAGTGAATGAGTGGATCCAGCATCCACTCTATTCTTAACTAAACTATACTCTACTGTAACATATACTTAGTTGTTCCATCACCTAGTGCAATCACAGGCCATTGCTACTAATCTGAGCAGGTGTGTTGTATCACCCCTCACTGACATTGTCTGTAGGCAGTAGTTACTGCAGTCCAGATAACTATCTCACTGAAGGCAGTACTCATACTGCAGTCTGGGCTTCTCTCACCAATTCACCATCTGATCATTGACACCTCAAACACTTGTGTCAAGTCACTGGTTATCATCATGTATACTAAGTGTTCTGCAGCAAGCAGGAGCTGACTGTGCTGCATTACCACTGAACTGAGTGTTCACAGCAGTTAGCTGAAACTTGTCAAACAAACAACCCTTCAAGCAGTCTCAGTGAAAGTGGCCAGCAGGTGCATACTCAAGAGTGCTCACTGAAACTGTTTGAAACCAATCAAGCCAGTAGATTTCGGGTTCCAGGCACACGACCACTGACACCCGGGACCACAGTGGATGACTGCCTTTGGTTCTAATGATCGAGAGAGCTGGACTGCTGGATGAACTGCCTTTGGGATGTTGATCAACATCAATGAGTGGTGATACAACACACACACTATGATAGGAGCAATGTCTTACAATTGCTACTGTTGATGGACTACTAAGTATACTTATATGAAAGCTATAACTAGTAAAATATGGTGTAGAGTGGATCAGGATCCACTCACTTGCTATGACAAGGACCATGACTTTATATCCACTCCTGCAATGTTGTCCATGATGCTGCTCCTACCTGGGGAGGTTTCTTTGACACTGCTCCTCCCCCTCACCCCTCCTATCCTGTCCATCCACCTCATGATGCAGTCTGTAGACATCACTCCTCTCGCCTTATGCAGATGGTGAATCTTATGCTGCTTCATCATCAACAGGGGTCCTTCCCACTTCATCTGGGTGGCAACTCACCTCCCTGTCTCATCTCACCCACTTTCATATTCCAAGTTCAATGTTGGGTTGGCCCCCTGTTTCATCAGGGTGGCAGACCCACTGTCCATGATGTCTTGTCCTGCTGTGACCTGTGAGAATCAGCATGTTCTCACCAGCTCCAGCAAGATCTATCCTACAATCAAGATACTACCAATTTTGGCAGGATTCATAGTAACCTCCTGCTCATGCTGATTTGGGTGAGATCTGTCATAGAACCACTTCTACTACAGATCTCGATGAACTCTGCTGTAACCCTTATTTTGCCCATTCCTATGATTCCTGCGCTCCTCTCATATGACATCCGTTCTTCCTGCTTCTGCGCATCCAACCCTATGACAATGAGTTGGTCTTTGATACGAGTGTCCAGTGTGTCGACTGATTGATTGAGTGATCCCTGGACCACAGTGGATGACTGCCTTCGGTTCTAAGATCAAGAGAGCCAGACCGCAGTGTGAACCACCTTTGTGTCAGGGGTCTCGCACCTGAAACCTGATATCTGTAGTAGAATTGGAACTACTACTGATTTTATCAAGATCTGTGGTAAACAGCTGTGTATTATTATTCCTGTCAAGAACTGTTGTAGAAGCCTTCTATGACTTTACTTGCTTGAGTCTGTGGTAGCTTGGTTGTTACTGCAGGTTTCAACTAACTGCTGTGGACACTCCATCCAGAGGTAGCTCAGCATGATCAGGAACTGTAGCTATGATGTGAACACACCAAGGTCTGGTGTGAGTGATGTTATTGTCACTGACACAAGTGTCCAGTGTGTTGACTGAGTGTTGGAGTGATCCCCAGACTGCAGTGGATGACTGCCTTTGGTTCTAATGATTGAGAGAGCTGGACCATGGTATGAACTGCCTTCAGAATGTTGACCAATGTCAATGAGCAGTGATACAACACATGTGCTACATAGAAGCAATGCTCTGCAATTGCAACTGTCAACAGAATACTAATGTATACTTATGTGAAAGCTATAACTAGTAATGTATGGTGTAGAGTGGATGGGGATCCACTCACCTGTTATGACAAGGAGCATGTTTATATAACCATTCCTGCAACATCACCTGTGACACTGCTCCTGCTCTGGAAGGCCACTTCAACCCTGCTCCTCCTCCTCATCCTTCCTATCCTTTCCATCCACATTGTGATGCTGCTTGCTGGCACCACTTCTCTTGCTTCCTGTGGATGGGTGGTCCTCATGCTACTTCATCCTCATCAGGGGCCATTCCCACTTTGTCTAAGTGGTGACTTGCCTCCTTTCATCCCCCTCCTGTGTCAGCACCCATCTGCTTGCACTGACTTCATTGTTGTGCAGGACCCCTACTTCATCCAATGGCAACCTCCCTTGTTTGTCATCATCCTCCTGCCATATTGGTGATATAGGTTTCTTTTGAACCAATTCCCATGAGGCTTGTTGTAGTGAGCATGGTACTGCTGATTCTACTGAGTCCTGTAGTAAGACCTGTGTTCCTACTGATCATGACAAGTTTTGTCATAGAGCCATTGGTCCTACCAATCTCACCAAACTCTGCTGGAACTCTACCTTTGCCCAATCCACAATGTTTGCACAAGGTCCCTTCATATGAGTCCAGTTCTTCCTGCACATCCATCTGGTCCTATGACACCTCTCTATTACAGATCTCGATGAACTCTGCTGTAAACCTTCGTTTTGCCCAATCTTGTGATTCCTGCGCTTCTCCTCATATGACTTTGGTTCTTCCTGCTTCCTGCGCATCCGGTCCCATGACACATGGCACCTATCTTCTCCACCTCGGGTATCAAATAGCCGGTGTGCCGATGCCTATGGCGATGATCGGGCCTGACGCATGCCGATATGCAGGACTGGCCTCAGCAACTTGCTATGGATCCGAGTGAGAAAAGGCGGTGGAGGTGTGAGATCGAACTAGTGCTCACATACTTTCACTGTTGTGGAGGGAACTCGGTTTTGTTTTACACTTGGCGCAGCTTATGTAAGCTTTTGCGTTTTTAAGGGGAAATCATTTTACCTGGTCGCTGGGATTTAATGTATTCTACATTTCGTGCGCACAAGGCGGCGAATATTTAATAAGGGTCTCCTGCGCACGGTCCTCTTTCACTTTGACTCGCCTCCTCCTCATCATCATCATCATCACACGTTTCTTGCTCATCTCTCCTCCACCATCGCCTTGCTACTTGGTTTTCGCTCTCGCTCTCGAAACAAGAGCGCAACTGTTACCATCATTTCAGCCCGTCTCATTACCACCACCGCTTTCGATCGCCTTGCCACTCGCACTACCATCGCCCTGTCCAAGCCACGGCATCTTACCTTGGCTTCGCTCTTCAAGGCCAAGCTTTTCGGTATGTCGACTCCAACCTCGCCTTCGCTTCCGGATCCTGCCTCGCTTTCTCCCATCCCCCCGCCTCGTGCAGCCTCGCAGCTCGACGCATCTTGGCTTCCTCTTGTCTGGATAGACTGCGAAATGACTGGTCTCAACGTGGAAGCGGGCGATAGACTGCTGGAGATCGCCTGTATCATCACGGATGGTGAATTGAACCCGATCGATGATGGCGTTAGCTATGTCATTTCTACCCCGTCGTCGATCCTCGATTCGATGAACGATTGGTGTCGCACGCAACATGCATCTTCAGGCTTGACTCTCGCCTGCTCCTCTCCCGCACCCTACTCCCATCCGCATGCGGATGTCAGGACAGCGATGCTAGCTTATGTAAGAGACAGGGTTCCGCTTGCAAACTCTGCCTGCTTAGCCGGAAACACGGTGCACGCTGATAAAGTGTTTCTCGTCAAGGAAATGCCAGAACTTGTGCGCCATCTGCATTACAGAATCGTAGATGTCAGTAGCATAAAGGAACTCGTCAAAAGATGGTACGGCCCCCAAGCAATGTGGCCGGGACAAGCAGAAGAAAAAGCCACTGACCAAGCAAACCACAGAGCTCTAAGCGATATCAAAGCAAGCATTGCTGAACTAAAGTGGTATCGAGAGAGATACTTCAAACCCTCTCATACACTTTCCTAGTCGAGAGCTCCATCACAATAGTACATGGGCCCCTACTTTCAATCAATACATAGTATTTCTTCTACAGAGCCGCACGAGCCAGGCAAGGAGAGCAAAGCAGGCTTAGAGCGAGTTCAGCAGTGCCTCTCTGACTTTCTCTTGGTTTGCCTTGAGAGTTTCGTTTTCTTGTTCGAGATGTCGGATTTGCGTATCTCTTTCTTCTACTGCTCTTCGCAATTTCTCGATCTGCTTCTTTAGATCTTCTACTTGTGCTCCATTGTTGTTGTTGTTGTTGTTGTTGTTGTTGTTGTTGTTGGTGGGGGTGGGGGTGCCATTAGAAGTCGCACTAGCCATAGCTGTAGTCGTAGCAATCGGGGTAGGCGTGGGGTTCGAGGCAAAATCTGCAAGACAAGTTTGTGCTTCAGCGGCGGTACTCTTGGTAACAGTTGTCTCGGGAACACTGTCACTACTCTGCACCCGCTCGCCAGTTTCGAGACTGACCATCATCCTCTTGCCCCTCTTTCCCTGGAAAAAGTCCTTAGCCGTCAAACTGGCGACATTGCTAGGCGCCGGGGGAAAGATATCGCTTTGGAAACTCTCCGCTTTCCTCGGAACGCAAAATGAAACTGGCTGGATGGTAGTGCCAGTGATCTTGTAGGCCTTTGCGATTTCGTTTTCTTCGGTATTCAAAAACCTCCTCGGCACAAAGGTAAGTCCCCTCTGAGGCTCGGAGCTTTTACTCTCGGTCAAGTAATGAAGCTCGTCCTTCTCCAACTCGTAGTATCGGATGTTGCCATCGCCCTTTCCAGCGAGGAAGACAATGTTGTTATCCGACCAAAAAGGCATGATGATCCCACTCGAAGCATCCAGAGTGATCTGTTTGAGCGGACCAGAGGCAAGATTATTAGTGTCCCACAAAAACATCTGACGATCAGACATCTTGGAAAAGCCGGTGGAGATGGCACGATCCTTATCACCGCACCAGATGACACGGGCACCTTTGATGCCACCATGAGAATCGGCGATCTGAACGGGACGTTCGCCTTGACGTGGATCGAAAGTTCGGATCTTACGATCGCGCGAGGTAGCAATCAGCGTAGTTCCACTCCAATCCCAATCAAGCGACTGGATCGTATCCGTAAAGCCACGCAAAGCTATACTGGGAGAAGAGCAAGCGGTGGAAGCGTGGCTGACATCGAACAACTTGACCACATGATCGGCCGTGGCGGCGGCAAGGAGATTCGAAGCCGTGGGATGCCAAACTACCTGCCCTACTTTCCTCCCACCACCGGAAATCCTCGCAAGAGGTTCAAAGTCTTTTACACCTCCATTCCGCTCTCGTTCCTTATCACTCCATTCGAGCTGATCGTAGTTGCAATCCTCGATCTTCCAGAGCCCGATCGTTCCGTCGTCGGAAGCGGAAGCGACAACGTTGTCTTGAAAAGGATTCAAGGCTGTATCCAGCACAGCGGCGGTGTGGCCACGGCAAAGCGGGTAGATATCCGGAAGCTTGCCAGGACGATTGATGGGGAGAACGGCGAAAGCGCCTCCTCCGGAAGCATTCCAGTTGATGGAAATGTAGGTGCCATTGGCAGAGATGAGATTGGTATCCCAAGCATTGTTGGAAACCTTGACGTTTTCGTAACAGGCCTCCTTTTTCGCGACGTTGGGATAGACGTGTCGGTACTTGGACGGTCGAACGAAGCGGCTCATGGCTGCAAAGCTGGGCGCGGTTTAGGCGGGAGGCAAGTGATGGGGAAGGGGGGTTGGGAAGGCAAGTGAGGCAAGTGATGGAGGGAAGCAAGTGATGGGGGGAAGCAAAGATAGGGAAAGCGCAAGGGGGACAAGAATGCTCATCCTCGGTTGTGTCTTTCTCGCTCGGACAGTGAAGCGTTGATCCGTGCGAGGCATTGGCAGCCGACGTAATTGTTTGTTCTGCTCGGCATAACATCAGCTTTTCGTAAAATCAAAGCTCGGAACTCGGACTGAGCCAGAGGAAAGTGCGTCGATGCGCTTCTCTTTGCTGCTGCTTTTCATCTTCCCTTCTCGTGTCGCCTATCAGCCCCCTTCTCTTGTTAGCCACCACGGACAGATATCCTCAGGCTTTGACCGCTCCTTTCTCCCATTCGAAACGGCAAAGAGCGATACATCGCATCGCATCGCATCGCATCGCAGCAGAACATGTCGGGCACAACACAGTGGGAGAACATCTTCCATGGTCTCGATACCACCCCAGGCAAGTTGAGAATGTCGCAGGGCGGTCTGGGTTGGAAACCTTCTGTCGGCGAAGGTGGCACCATCACCATCCCTGCCGATCAGATGACGTCCTTCCAGTGGATTCGTGTGGCACGAAACTACCAACTCGCTATCCACCTCAACAAAGATCGCGAAACACCTTGCCCAGCACAGGTCAATCCACGCCGCACCAACTTTGACGGTTTCACTCGTCAAGACTTCGAACGTCTCTCCACTCACATTCGTCAGTACTTCAACAGGAGCCTCGAGACACAAGAGGTTTCTACCACAGGTTGGAATTGGGGTCAGGCAAAGATGAGCAACCATGACGTTCAATTCTTGGTCCGGGACAAGTTGGCGTTTGAGCTTCCACTCTCGCATCTGGCAAATAGTAATATTGCAAAGACAGAGGTTTCCATGGAGTTTTTAAATCCCGAACAGCAGCAGCCGGGCGCCAATGCAACCAAGTCGAGCGGTAACAAGGGGGATCAGCTTGTCGAGATGAGGCTTTATCTTCCTGGTCAAGCTGCCAAGGAGGATGGAAGCGATGCGGCGAGTGCAGCCGATGGCGATGATAACAATCAAGAGACAGCAGCAGAGGCTTTCCACGAAGCGCTCAAGTCGAAAGCCGATATTGGTCAGGTTGCTGGCGACTCGATCGTCGTCTTCAAAGAGGTTCTCGTCCTCACACCTCGTGGACGTTACGATATCGATGTTTTCAACACTTTCATCCGTCTGCGCGGAAAGACGTACGATTACAAGATCCTCTACAGCTCCATGAACAAGCTCTTCCTCCTACCCAAGTCGGACGAGATCCACGTTATGCTCGTCATCGGTCTCGATCCATCCATTCGTCAGGGTCAGACGCGTTACCCATATCTAGTCCTCCAATTCCCACGCGAAGAAGAGATGGATGCAGAACTCAATCTCGACGAACAAACGATCCAAGACAAGTACGATGGCAAGCTGAAAAAGCGTTACGAAGAACCCACTTTCCGTATCGTGACCAACATCTTCAAAGTGCTATCCGGCCAAAAAGTCGCTACGCCTACGGATTTCGAGTCCTCCTCCGGTCAGACGAGCATCAAGTGCAACCTCAAAGCAGCAGACGGCAACCTCTACCCACTCGAAAAGTCGTTGCTCTGGGTCTCGAAGCAACCTGTCTACGTTCCGTACTCGGAGATCCACCAAGCCATCCTCTCGCGTGTCGGTGGAGCTGTTGCTTCGTCCAAGACGTTCGACTTGAGGGTGGCCACCAAGGGTGGCACGGATCACACTTTCCAGTCGATCTCGAGGGAGGAGTTGGATAGGTTGAAGGCATGGTTGGCCGAAAGGAAGGTGAGGATTAAGAATGAGATGGCGGAAGAGACGGGTGGATTGGCGGCAGCCGCCGCGGCGGGGTTGTTGAGCGATGACGAGGAGGATATGGGTGGAGGAGGCGGGGAGGGGGAGGATGAGGATAGTGAGGAGGATGCAGATTTTGCAGCCGACTCGGAATCCGATGGTGGTTCGCCGTCCGAAGGCGATTCCGGTTCCGATGATGACGATGATGATGATCATCATCATCCTGGCTTTGAGGAGGCGGGGGAGGAGAGGCCGAAGAAGAAGAGAAAGGATTGAGGCCATCATCATGCGCACGCTTTACCCGGGCAATTGCACAAAACTGAATCTCAATCATTGCAGCATCCTCTCTCTCTCTCGCACACTACCTGACAATGGCATCGGTGTCTTCTATTCCTCCTTGTCTGAGACTACTTCTGAGCTTGCATCGCACTCACCCACCGACTTGTAACATTCTCAACCCAGACTTGATCGCTCAACAACTGCTCAACTCTGTGCGTCAACCATTGGACATTTGCCCAAAAACCTTGACTCCAGCCTGCTAAGAAGGTCAGCCAAGCGACCAATGCTAATTGCCAAACGCGCATCAAATGCTCCCATTCCTACTCGGCTGCTTCTGCAAGACTGTTGCGCAGCAAGTCGTGGTATGTTCTCAACAACTTTTCCTCCTGCTCCCTCGAGGTTAGAAGGCGAGCAGGGATAGAGGTTGTTAGCAACTTGGCCAGGTCTTGGACGACCAGTCTGATACCGACCTATTGGAAATCGTACATTGCCATCTTGGTGGCCTCGTGGGAAAAGGCCATGTTTGCAGTCTTGACATCGCCGTGGACACTAACCCTAACCCTAACAAGCATCTCCTAAAGGTGAACAAGGTTATGTGCGAGAAGCGTAAAGTGACACTTTTGCAGCGGAACCAGACCAATGTTAGAATTGTACGCTCTGACATTGGAAAAGGGAAAGAAAATCCACGTGACACCTGTCGCCTGACGCGTGACACCTGTCGCCTGACGCGTGACACCTGTCGCCTGACGCGTGACGCGTGACGCGTGACACCTTTGGCGCGACTTTTGGTAAGGTGTGCGCGTGTGTGTGTGTGTGTTTTGTTTTTGACAATACCACACCCCCATGTCGCCTTGAAGAATATCTTACATTCACATTGTATGCCTCCACGATGCTCGAGGGTAAAGAGACATTGACTGCAGTACTTCCTACTGGACCCAAAGGGCTAGCTTGAGATGAAGCTCAAGAGTAGATCGTGCGAGAAGCAGCGGAGAAAAGCGCTGCAAAAGGCAAGAAAGGGGTCGACAGAAGGGTTGAGGAAGGATAGAACCTATCCCAACCAACGACACTTTTGTCGTTGTGCAGCTTCTTTGCATCTCATCCCTCAAAGTGTGTGGGTGTGTGAATGCGTCGGTTGCCTCTTTGGGTTGGTTTGCAATGTTCAGGGTCCATCTCGGTGCCCTTTTCGCTGGTCCAGGCTTGGGATAGGATAGAATCTACTTTTCTCGTCCTTGCGCAAGTAGTGTTGGAATAAAAGAGTCCTCATGCTCTGCACTTGTCTTGTTCTTGTTCTTGTTCTTCTTCTTCTTCTCCTCATCATCATCACCAGCTACGACGTCCTCAAGATCCAACATCATCACTTCGACCACTGTTCTTCTGGATCAGCATCAATTGCAGCAACGCAAACGACAAAGCAAAGCCAACCGATAGATACACCAGCTTCCTCGTCATCACTCGTCAAGTATGTTCCACGGATCCAACAAAAGACTCAACGCTGCCGGGCTTGCTCCCGAGCACTCGAAGCTCCTCCCTGAACGTCAACCTAAGGACGACGAAGCTAACCTCCTTGAGTGCCTTCACCAAGTAAGTTGGACCGCATACCAGACGAATATAATGTACTGGTAGCCATTGACTAAGCCAAGGATGCTTCTCCTTTTGCTGCAACAGCTCTACACCTCTGCCTCGCCCAGCGATGCCTGCCTCTCTATCTTCGCCAACGAAGCTATCCTCACGCTCCCCACCGGTGACGTAGTTGTCGGACCAAAGGGCATCAAGTCAAAATTCTGCGACCTGCTCGCCCCCTACACCCAGCGCACCCTCCGCCAACGGCTGCTTGTCACACCCGAGTCCCTGCCACCGCGCACTATCGTACTGGACCAGATGCTGAGCCTCGCATCTGCCGACTCTGATGTGGTGAAAAGCGTCCACTCTCTCGTCGTCATCAAGCGCAAAGTCCAAGACGGCAAAATCTCTTGCCTCACCGAAGAGGAGGGTCATCGCAAAGCCACAGCCCCCCTGGCAGCTCGTGCTGCTGCAGCAAACAGCTTCTACTCTCCCACCGACGCACAGCTCAGCCCGGTCACCTCGAAACTCAACTTGGCAAAGAGGAAGCATCACATCAAGGCCAAGCCTACAGCTCTTTTCGCCAACAGATCTGGCTTGAGACAGGCGCTGCTTCCGGCATCTCCAGCACAGAGTACTGGCACAAATGCCGATATGGAGCTCTAAGCTTGCACTACAACTTGCAGTATCCTTCTTTCCCTTCTCTCGCTATCTCCGCTAGTCTCTCTTTGCATTTTTCTCGTCATTATGTATATATACACACACCCTCGAAAGCTGTGATGCTGCTGTTGCTGCTGTTGCTGCTGTTGCTGCTTCTCCTCCTCCTCCTCCTCCTGCTGCTCGCATGTTGAATCGTTGTCGAGATTGTATCCTGTTCAAGACTTCCAACGATGCCATCTCTGTGTGTGCCAAGTGTGTGTTCCTCTTGAATCCAAATCCCGATCAGCGCCTCAAGATCGGTGGAGATCGCTGGGCGACTCGGGTTATCGGGGAATCGGGGAATCGGGGAATCGGGGAGGTTGAATCGCGATAGGATGGATCGACGACGTGGAAATGCAGGTGCACGGGCCAAGCGATTTGAAGAATTGACAGCCGAGGGACCTGATCATTCGTTCCAACACTTGCTCACACTTGTCTTGGTTCCTCTTTTCCTTCTCACCACCGTCACTACAAGGTTGTCACAGCTAGGTTCATCCCCCCACCATGCTGCACGGCTTCAACATCCTCCGGCAACAGTACTCCAACCTCGCCAAACCAGGCGGAGGCAACCAATCCGCCATCAACACCATCCAAACCCTTGCAGACCGTCTTATCAAAGCAGACGAGTATCAGCTCTCCCTCGAAGATCGCAGAGCAGCCGTACTCGCCCTCAAAGGTCTTAGCAGAGATCACAACAGAGCTGTTGGTCAACATGCCCTTCCCGCCTTGCTCAAATCCTTGCAAAGAGATGCAAAGGATGAGGACACAGCAAGAGCCTTGATCGAGTGCTCTATCATCCTTTGCGAGGTTCAGTCGCCAGAAGCTGCTGCTACGGCACAAGCTGCTGCTATGGCACAAGCTGCTGCTATGGCACAAGCATCTGCGCAAACCCAAGCTCAAGCGCAGAACAGGCGAAAACAGCAAAATCAAGGCCCACCTTCGGGATTGCAGCACACCGACATCTTTCTCCAAGAGCCTGGGCCTTTGCACTGTCTCTTGCCGCTTCTTGCTCCCCATCGCGCTTTCTACACTCGCTTTGCATCGCTTCAACTTCTTGGCTCTCTGCTTCGCAACCGTCCGCACAGAGTTCAAGATCATGTCCTCGTGGCGCCAGGAGGATGTGGCGCCATCCTCGAATGTCTAGCAGAAGGCGCTGGTTCATCCGCAGAGATCGTCCGCAACGAAGCACTCTTGCTCCTCCCACATCTCGTCTACGCCAACGCAGACATCCAAAAACTTGTCGCTTTCGAAGGCGCATTCGAAAAACTCCTTGACGTATGTGCCGCCCAAGGCAGGATCGAAGGCGGTATCATCGTCCAAGATGCCCTCGAAGGCCTCGAAGCCCTCTTGCGATACAACGTCTCCAACCAGAACTACTTCCGCGAAACCCTCTCCATCCCGATGCTCGCACCTCTACTATTCTACCCACCCGCTCCAGCGAACAACGAGTTGCCATCCAAGCATGCCGACCACGAATACGCACGTCAGTTGGAAGCTTTCTGCTTTCAAGATTGGGACCAGCAGAAAGTCGTCAATGCCAAGATTGTGCTTGATATCGCCGCACTCTTGATTGCAGGTCAGGCCGAGGGACGACGTGCAAACCAAGCTGCCCTGTTGCAGTGCGGGATGACAAAGTGTTTGATTGACCTTGCGCTTGGTTCGACGGCACCCGCTAGTTTGAAGGCGCAGGCCTTGCATCTTTTAGCCTCCTTGATGCAGAGTTCGAGGGCAAATCAGGATTTGCTTTCGAGTTTGCTGGTACAGCCGGTCAAGGTCCTGTTGCCGCCTAAGGCAGAGACACCAATCGAGGGTCAGCATGGCGGAGAACAGCAGCAGCAGCTTGGGCAAGACCCTACTTTTGCTTCCCAGGAACCTTCTTTTACTAGATTGCAACCTCGTCCCGCAGCGGTGTGTCTTGTGGAGACTGCAATTGGCACTTCCGGTGCCAAAGGTGGTTTGGGCTTAAGAGGTGCTGCTATCGCCTGCTTCCGTTCTTATGTGGCTGATAATATGGAGGCTCGTCTCTCTATCGTTAACGGTATCCTTCCCCAAGCGGCTGCGGAGGAGGATAACGCAACAGCATCCGCAGCTTCACCCGCTGGAAAGATCCTCTTCGAAGGCATAACACAAAACCCATCAACCACAGCCACATCCGACCACGCCGATGCCTACATACACCTCATTTCTACAATGCTCTTTTCCTACCTCCTACGCGGGAGTGAGACAGCCAAATTGGCCGCTCGCTCCATCGCCATCGACCCGGATGGCAAAGTTGTCAAGCACGTCGGTGCAGAAAAACAAGGCGATAATGACGACGACGACGATGATGATGATGATGATGAAGATGCGCCCTCTTCTCTCATCCAAGTTCTCGTAGCAAACCTCACCTTATCCGAGCGAGAACTGGCGGATGCAGTCCGAAAAGAACGTGCTTCGGCATTGGGTTCCACCGTCTCCTCGCATTCCTATTCCGCTGCGGATTGGACTCGAATCATGGTGGGCTATCTAGTCTTGCTCTCCATCTGGTTACACGAATCGCCGTTGAGCGTAAGGGATTTCCTCTCTGAATCGGCTACCCTGCAAGCTGTCATCCAACCCGTAGCCCAGTCTTCAGGTGTCGACCCACTCATTCAAGGTTTAGCAGCGTTTCTGTTGGGTGTCGCCTACGAATTCGATACGGACCCCGGCAAAGTCGCCGTCACTCGTGCGACGATGCATCCTATCCTTCATTCACGTATCGGTGCAGACCAATTCGCTGTTCGAATCGCTCGCATTTCCGACGATGTCCGATTCCGCCAAGTTACACCTGATATTCTCGAAAAGCTTATTTTCGTAGAAGAACAAACCGAAGCCGACGAACTGAGGGCCAAACAACAGGCTGAAGCAAAGGCTGCTGCTGCACAAGCTCTCGCTGCTGCTGCAGCTTCCGCCTCCGCCTCCGCCTCTTCCGCCTCTTCTGCCTCCGCCTCCCATCCCTCGACTGGTGATGGAGCAAAGAGCGAGGAGAAGGTTAAGAGGGACGAAGAAGCAGCAGATAAAGATCTGGAAGTCAACGGTCTTGGCCATCTCTCCAAACGGCGTAGAGCAGGCTTATGGTTCGATTGGAGTTTCGTTGAGTTTTGGCGGCTCAACTCTACGCTCATCTCTAGATCGATTACTGTTGATCCGGCAAGTAGTTCAGCAAGGGAAGCTGCGATGCCAGTCGAACTACTCGACGCACAGCGACAAACAGAAGCGCTTCGAGATACAGTCGCTAAACAAACACGCGAGATTGAAATGCTCGAAAAACGAAAAGACCAACTCTGCTACACTCACACAAAACAACTCGAGCCACTGCAAAGCCAACTTACAAAGACCAAGCAAGAACTCGCCTCCTCAACCACGCAGCTCGAAGCTCTAAAGGCGGAAATGAAAGAACTCAAGTCTACACATGCAGCAAGTTTGGCAGAGGAGCAAAATAGGAATCATGATTTAGTAAAGCTTTTGCAAGAGGCGAGCAAGAACGAGCAAGAGTGTCGCGCTAAGGTGTTACAACTAACCTCGCAAATCGCGTCAAGTTCAGCTGGAAAAGCGTCTCAAAAGGAATTCTTGGCTTTGCAGAAGACCAACGAAGAATTAAAGAAGAAATATGACCAACTTCTCACCTCCTCCACCTCCTCCACCTCCTCCACCTCCTCTACTGCTTCGGCCGGCATAGGGGTAAAAGAACTCCTAGAGGCAAGAGACCTGGCAGAGTCAAGAGCAAGAGAAATTTCAGACCTCGAAGCCAAACTCGCAGCATCGCAAAGCGCGATCCAGGAGAAGAGAGAGTTGCAGAGCAGGCTGCACCAGTTGGAGGCCCAGGCGAGCGCTGCCAAAGCAGAGCGAGACCTCGTTTCCGCCGACCAAACCACACAACTCTCTGCTTGCAACAAGCAAAATGAACAACTCCAAACCAAGCTCAGCGAGCTTGAGAAAAAACTCAAGCAATGTATGCTATCCAACAACACCTCCTCCTCGCACTCGTCGTCGCTATGGGAAGGTGAGCAAGGTAGGGAATTGGATGAAGCGAATAGGGAGAAAGAAGAAATTAGTAGGGAAAACGAAGACCTGCTTGTGCTTCTTGAAGAACTGACTCAGAAACGGAAAGTTGATAAAGCAAGGCTTAGAGAAAAAGGTGTGCCTGTTAGTGACGATGACGATGACGATGACGACCAATCCTAAATTGACCTCGATTAATTTAGTCACAGACAGCATGGGTAACAATGCACGTCTGAAATGCAATGCATACCATATTCAAGCACACCGCAGCACACCGCAGCACACCGCAGCACAGCACAGCACAGTGCAAAACCAGACTGAACACAACCCAAACGACACAATGAGATTGAAACTGAAAAATAAAATAAAAAAATGTACACAAAACATACCCAGTGAAATACACCTCTCCTCCTTCCACATCGAACGAAACAAATTAAATCCGAAGAAAAAAAAAAAAAAACAAAACAAAAAACAAAAAAAGAAAAGGTTGGAAATAGAAGAAACTCCCAACCTTACCCCCAGTCGGAGATGCGATGCGATGCAACGTCAGCCTAACCAGAGACCAGCTCGTGGGTGCACTTGTAAAAGCAACGGATCAACGATGCAAACGATCCTGGAGCGTTGGAGCGTGCATGCATAGAGAAAATCCAAATCCGAATCCAAAAACAAAACAAAAAACAAAAAAAAAAAAAAACAAAAAGCGGCCAGGAGACAAAGGGAGAATACAGTTCCGAAACCGATACTTGAGCGCCAGAAAACAAGGAAAGAACAAGATGCGAGGTTATAATGATGATACACAGGATCCCTGGTCGTCAGTCTCGGCGAGAGCGAGACTCTGGGGGGCGTTACAAGTTGTCGTTAAATGCTGAGATGAGGATTGGGATGCATCGCAACTATGCGCAAGAGATGGTGCTCGCCCATGTTGCAGACTGCAAATTCGATGTCGAGGTGCAAGGCTTGATATCGACATGCTCATCATCCTCGGCTTCCGAGAGCGAAGCAGAGTCAAGTCCCATCTCCATCAGCAAATCGTCGTCGGAGAGATGCGAAGATGGCTGACCAGCGTTGTTGTCTCGAGCAACAGCGCAAGCTGAAGCACGAGCAACCGCCTTAGCCTTGCAGTTCACCCGACGAGCAGCACGAGCATCCTTGCGACCGGCAGCAGCAGCAGCAGCAGCAGAGCAGCAGAGCTTCTCATCAGCAGCGAGCTCCTTAGCGGTGGGGCCGACATCCATCAACGGCATACCAGCAAGGAGCAAGGCCGAAGCAAGGGTGCTAGGTGCTTTGCCATTGCCATTGCCATTGCCATTGCTGCTGCTGCTGCTGTTCTTGTTGCTGGCCACCATCAAGCCGTGGTGTCGAGACTGGCTGCTCTCCATCGAACATGACGATGCTGTAGAGGGCGAGGAGGGAGCGGAAGCGCAAGGGAATCGGTAATCGAGACCGAGACCCATGCCTGAACCGGAAGCCTTGTCGTTGCCAAGCTGTTGCTGGGCAGATCGGTTGCGCAGAGCATTCTCCGAGAACATGGCCAGGGTGGGAGTCTTGGAAAGGTCGAAGCCGGCGTGCGAAGCGTCGAGCAACATGCCAGCGTTGGTGACATCGCCCAAGCTGAACTTGGACAAGGGCGATTCAGGCATAAAGAGTGGAAGCTCAGCGCCCTGAATTCCCCTGAAAGCCATCGATGGGACACTCATGTTGCTAGCGTCCATGCCGGCGTTGTTCCAGTTCTGCGAGTCATTCATATCTGCAACGGGCATGTTGTTAAGGGGCATGTTGTCGAGGGGCATAGCAGCAGCGCTGGCGCGGAGCGCGTCAAGCTGCGAGAGGAGCTCACTTTCACGCTGCAGGCAAGCAGCGAGATCGGATCGAGTGCGCTCGAGCTCAGCAGAGGTGTTGTGAGCCTCCTTCTGAGTTGTCGAGGCAGGCCCAGTGGAAGCAGGGCGCATAGGCTGCGACTCGGGTGCAGGTGTTCCCTCTGCTTCGTCGGCAGTAGGTGCGATGGAAGCTCCCTTTTTCGAGATGACCTCCTCGAGGCAAAGACGGGCCGCGGGGTCTTGGTTGGCAAGAAGCGAAGCGAGCCGAGTCGACTCGATGAGCTCGGATCCGGCGTCGGGACCAGCGATGGTCTCCCACATGCGCCAAACAAGCATCGAGATAGCCTTGCACTTGATCTGCATCTCTTCAAACTGTTCACGCTTGCGCTGTCGGGAGAGGAAAGCAGCGGCACGGTTCTTGACAAGACGAGCCTCGCGCTTGGTAAGACCCGAGGTGTCGGGAGGGACAAAGAGGCTGGAGTGCTTGGCCGAGGTGTCAATGACGGGGAAAGGCTTGCCCGACTCGGTGACGTGATATGCCGAAGGTGGAGGGCGTCGCTGGCCAGATTGCTTGGAAAACTTCTTGTTAGCTTTAGCATCGTCCGTGCCGAGGGCCGAAGTAGCGTCGAGCGAAGCATCGGTGATTGCCTTGCGCTTGACAGAAGCGGGTCTCGAAGATGCCTCGGATGTGGAGCTGGGAGATGGGAGCGAGCAAAGCGATTCAGCATCAGACAAGGTGAATCGGCTGTCGAGAGCATGGGTAGCGTAAGTGGGCAGACTCATGCTGGAGACCATAGGCTGGGAGTCAGGGAAGGAAGAAAAGTCGCAAGGCATGTTGGGAGCAAAGAGGTCGGCGCTAGACTCCATCTTGATCATGTGGCTGGATGGGCTAGGCTTCCAGAACGTGTTGAGATGCTGTGCGCCATACATGCCAGGTTGCACGAGCATAGAGGCAGAGTTGGCGGAATTGGCGGAATTGGCGAGAGCAGACATGCGGGCGTTGGGAACAAAGGGACCAGACAGGTTGGCGGCCAACATAGGCTGAAAGCCAGCAGAGCTTGCATGTTCTGCAGAAAAGTGAGGGTCAACAAAGTTACGAGACATGCCGATGTGATGGGAGGCGTCTGTAGGAGGCCAGGATGGAGCACGCGGAGATGAGGAAGGGGCGGAGATAGTCTGGGCGCTAGGGGGCGATGAGAAAGTCGGCGAGGGGAAGGAAGGCGAATTGTTGGTCATCGTGTTGAGGAGAAGCTGGTGGTAGTTTGGGAAAGAAGAGAAGAGATGATAGATATGCAAGGGGTGAGAGGGGGATGTAAGCCTAGCTCGCTTTGACTACCAGAGTACAAGGCAAGAGGAGACGGCAAGTAGTATTCGCTCCAGGCGAATGGAAAGGAGATGAGTCTGTGGAAAGAAGGGAGCAGGAAGCTGATGAAGCCGGTCAATCAGCTGCGGCAAGTGGGGGGAAGGGATTGGAAGGATTGAGTTGATGGAGTCGAGGCTGATGAAAGAATCGGTCCGAAACGAGACTCGATGGCTATATGCGCGGCACTAGTGGCGTCGAAGGGCGAGAGGTGGGATTTCGAGGCTTCCAATCTTCAAGCTGGACTACGTAATGAGATGGGCTGGAGATGAAGAGATGGCGAACTGAGCGCAATGAAGTAGGAGGGGTGAAATGAATTGAACTGAATGCAATGCAATGCAATGAGCAGCAGCGTAGACGATAATGTTGCGACCAGGCGAGACGTTGGAATGCTGCAAGATGTGGAGAAGAGCAAGAAGAAGGAGAAGAGAAGGAAGAGGAGGAGAGAGGGAGAAAGGAGGAGGAGGAGGAGGAGGATCGTGGTGGTTGATGGAGATCAAGCGAGTTGGCAGTGATGAAAGGAGTGAGAGTGAGAGCGCAAGCCGAGAGAGTGGCGCTTAACAAGGCTCTCTCTCGCGCCTCTGTCAATGTGCCTTTCTCATCCAATTCTGAACTCAGCCTTCGCCGTTGATGCACTTGGCCTGTCAAAAAGTTGTATTTTATTTTTTTTTGGTTTCACTGCCCACTTGTAACTTGAATTGAATTGATTTTTAGTTTTTTTTTGAATACAAGAGGATTAAAAAGGGGAGGATGAATACGGATTCTGATCTTAGTCCCTCTGGAATAGAGCTGGGATCTGTAATGCACATTTCAAATTGTAGCCTCGAGACTGTCCCTTTTCCTACGCCCGTTGGCAGCTTGGCTTCACTGTCGCCTCTCATTGAATTCGTTTGTGAATACAATCCAGACGGACAAGCGTGTCGTCGTCGTGCGGATTACAACATTCCAACTGGCTGATTCCTTTCCAAGAGTCGTTGGAGTTGGAGGCAAACAAGCCGACAAGGGGGATTATGTCAGCTTTACCTTCCATACGGCCGACTCATCCTTTTGATAGTGCCTCCTTTGCCTTGGCTTCTCTCTCTCTTTCTCTCACACACACACTCATACACTGTTACATGCGCAGGCTATATGCGCATTGTAACAGTGAAAGTAGATGGATTGCAGGAAGAGGAGATCTAGATGGAAGCCAGTTTAAGTACTTGCTTCCGTACAGACAAGGAAGTGTGAACAAGATTTGCAGATAGTTTCGAACTTTCCTGTGCGACGTGTATTCGCGCGAGAAGATATTGGTCGAGCATTCTTGTGCGATGTGTATTCGCACGAGAGAGTCACTATTCGTACGAGAGTGTTATCCAGGTGTAACATACACTAACAATAGCATTCCAGTAAGAGTCACCGCTCGCCTGCGAAGCAAATCCATATCCATCGTCTGCCTCGTCTTTTACGCACGAAAGAGTGGAAAGAGTCTCCCTTGCTCGAAAAGCAAACACTTGTCAATCTTCATCCTGCCCTGTGCGAAAATTGGAGCGAGAGGAGAATGTTGGAATAGTAGAATGCCAATTGGAAGCACCAGGCATCGGGTTTTTTTTCGCAGAGCCCGATTTTCCGATCTTGAAACCGACTGATTCCTATGCTGATGCAGTATTACATAATACAACTCAGCTTTTTCCAACACGCTTGCCTTTCCATCAGCCCTTTGCAAACTTGCACGGGCTCGACATTCTCCTCCTCTTCATCATCCTAGCTCAAGACCACACGCAGCCTTTCTCGAAGCAATCATTCCCCAACATACCGCATTACAGCGACAGGAGGCTATCCGCGCTTCAAAGCCTGACATTGTTTATACACCCACATCCACACCCACACCTACACAGCTCAAAGGACAAGTCTTTCAGGTCAGCGTCGACCATGGTTCGCGTCATTATCAAGGGTGGTGTCTGGAAGAACACCGAAGACGAGATTCTTAAAGCTGCTATCTCCAAGTATGGTAAGAATCAATGGGCCCGTATCTCTTCACTCTTGGTCCGCAAAACTCCAAAACAGTGCAAGGCAAGATGGTACGAATGGCTCGATCCATCCATCAAAAAGACCGAATGGTCCAGAGAGCAAGATCACAAGCTTCTCCACCTCGCCAAACTCATGCCCACTCAGTGGCGCACAATAGCCCCTCTCGTCGGACGAACGGCGAATCAGTGTCTCGAGCGATACCAAAGGCTTCTCGATCAAGCAGAGGCCCAGGACAACCAAGCAGCAACTAGCTCTCTCCCTCTCACTGGCACTGGCGAGGCCGTACCTAGCGCTGATCATGTTCGTCGTCTTCGACCGGGCGAGATCGACCCGGATCCGGAAACAAAACCAGCAAGGCCTGATCCCATCGACATGGACCAAGACGAAATGGAAATGCTATCCGAAGCCCGTGCTCGTCTCGCCAACACACAGGGCAAGAAAGCCAAGCGCAAAGCCCGAGAGCGTGCGCTTGAAGAAGCGCGTCGTCTCGCCATGCTTCAGAAGCGCAGAGAGCTCAAAGCAGCCGGCATCACCATCAAGCAAAAGCCAAAGAAAGGCGCAATCGATTACAATGCCGACATCCCCTACGAGAAGAAGCCCCTTCCTGGTTTCTACGACACAAGCCTAGAAGCTTCCAAATCCTACAAGGCCCCAGTAGGAAAGACGTTGCAGGAGCTCAATAGCAGGCACTCAGCTCCTCACGACCCGACCAGGAACAAACGTCAGAGGCAAGCCGAGGAGAAGAACGAGCAGGCTAAAGCAGCAATTGCAGATCGAAACGAGCAGCAGATCCGTAAGCTCAAGGAAGCCGAGCAAATCACCAAAAGACGCAAGCTCAACCTCCCTGCAGCACAAGTCGGTCAAGATGAGTTGGAAGCCATCGTCAAGATTGGACAGGCGGCCGAGCGCGCGCACTCCCTGGTGCAACAAGGCTCCACCGACGCCACGGGAGGCCTTCTCGAAAAATACCCGGCACTCGATTCGGCCCAAACTGCTCGCACACCCCAGGTCGCAGCTGACGAGGATGCAGTGATGAGAGAAGCGCGCAATCTTGGCCTCATGTCTTCGACACAAACCCCTCTTCTCGGCGATGCCAACGCCGACTTGCCATCTTCCCAATCAGCCACTGATCAGACTCCCGCATCTTTCGTGGTCCAAACGCCAAATCCGCTTCTCACTCCTGGCCTCAGGAACGGAAGCAGTACCCAGCTCCAAGGGCCTAACCGATCCATTGCCGACGCTAGTACACCTGAAAGGACACCGTTGCGCGACAACCTGGCACTCAATGTCCAGCAGAGAGGCTCAGCGGAATACGAGACTCCAGGAGATCTCAGGCGTGCGCGCCACACGGCCCAGTCTCATCTCAGGCAAGGTCTCTCCTCTTTGCCAGCGCCCAAGAACGATTTCGACATTGTTGTAGATGACCAAGATTCTGAAGCCGAAGCAGGCTCAAGCAGATCTGAGCATGACATTCCTCTGAGCGAGCAAGACGCAGCGGAACGAGAGGCAAGAATCGCACGTGAAGCAGCTGAGCAAGAGGCAAAGGCCGAGGCGAGACGGAGCCAAGTGGTGCGACGCAACCTTCCACGACCGGCAGAGGTCCATCTGGCTCGCTTGACCAAGCAAATTGAGAGAGATTACCGTGATCGCGTAGAGATTCTGGTAGCTCAGCAGACGGCAAGGCTTCTGCATCACGATGCCAACATCCATCCGATTCCTGGAGGTAAACATCCTCAACCAGAGTCGGTTCAACTTGACGCTCTCTCAGATGCCTCGCTGGCTGCGGCGAGGGAGCTGATGCGTGTAGAGTTGGCCAACCAGCTAGGTTTCCCAGGCGCAAACGAGGAGGCGATGCAACGAATCGTAGGCGCTTCGCTGGATGATGACGAGGAGGCTCTAAACCACTTGGAGGCAGCCTTGAAGCAGAGGTGGGCAGATCAGAGGAGCGACAAGTCAAAGCTGATCCACGACTTGACACTAGCGCGGCAAAAGATGGCGGAAGCTGCTTCGCAAGCGTCGAAAGGTGAGAAAGTGCTCATGAAAGTCTTGGCTGGTTACAAGGTGAGAAGCGAGGCGCTTTGCTCATCGGCCAAGCAGCAGTTCAAGGCCTTAGAAGAGGCGGCAATCTCGCGCGAGACATTTGAGCGTCTTGGTCGGCAAGAAGAGCGAGGCAAGCTGGAACGTCTAGACTCGCTGCGCAAAGAGGTCGATCGCTTGGCACATCGGGAAGGATTAGCTCAAAGCACATCCAAGTCGCTCCAAGACGAGAGGAATGCTCTGCAGGAAGAGTGCCAGACGCTTGAAAGCGAGATCAACATGCGAGAGGCGGAAGCGCTCAACGAGACTGCCTTGTCGCAATAGTCTATATTACACTGTACCAGCGCGCAATCAAACTCGTTCACTCACTCATTCACTTGCTCTACCTAGTTTTTCTCATGCAACTTGTCGCGCAACAACTGCCATAGCTCGGTTCGGCTTTGCAATGTACCACAAGACCAAAGTTTCACTTCGGAGATGTCGTCTGCACCCGTGCACAGACATGTCTGTTTGGTTTCGAGGTGGTGCAAGTTTCTCAGGCTAGAGATCAATCGACCAGTTGGCTGTCATTGTCGCGCCAAAAGAGGCGAATTGGGAAAGGAGCGCAGATTGAAGCGGGCTCTGATAAATTTTTAGGCTTGCAGATGGGAACAATGGCCAGTGCCAAGGGGCATTGCAACTGGTGGAGTCCTAGCTTGGGTAGCTCAAAAGGTGGATGGAATGCTACAGTACACTGTCGAAGCAAAACATGGCACGCGTGGTTACGCAGAATCATCTTCAGAAAGAAAGCACCTGCCTGAATTTAATAATATATTTTTCTTTTTTCTTTTTTTTCTTTTTTTTTTTTTTCTTTTTCTTTTTCTTTTTTTATCTGATCCGAAAGCAATCTGCAACAAATTCAAGCCCGCTCGTTCTTGGCAAATCTTATATGCCCGAACTTCTCGCCCGGATGAAAAATTTTCACAGTACGGAAGCTTGTCGGCCGTGTTTGTGTTTGTGTTTTTGTTTTTGTTTTTGTTTTTGTTTTTGTTTTTGTTTTTGTTTTTGTTTTTGTTTTTGTTTTTTTTTGATTTTTCATTCCATTTTCCTCAAAATTTTGCCGGTTTTGGCCTTATCAGATGGGCTCAATCTGATCAGCTGAAAAACACTCCCACACTGCACACTGGCACTGGGCAGTAAGTGACACAAGAATGGCGTATGAAAAGCCCGAGTTCGCTTATACGTCATTGTTTTTCTTGCCGCACAGTCTCGTCTGACACAAGGTTACACAAGGTTACACAAGTCTGCTTCGTCGTCAGTCTCATGGCCTTGGCTCTCCATCTCATTGGTTCGCGCTCGCCGCAAAGGAATCCCTCCATGCGTCCATATGCGGATGGTGTGTGAAACTTCGACAAGCCATTCCATTCCGCCTCGGTGTGCCTGAGTTCACCCGAACTTCTCCGGTGTCCCGCCTTGAATCCCTTGGACAGAGAGCGAGCCATCCATCATCAGCTTCTCTTGGCCGCCACCCTCGCATCCTTGCCTAGGGCCACACGAGGTCGCCTCCTTTCTCGCTTCCCTTTCTAGCGCGATCCTTCTTCCCACCACATGCATCAGATTCGCAAGCTCGTGCTCTATTTAATACTCTTCATCTGATAACAAAGTTTCCCCCTTCTTTTGTCTTCTTTCTTCGACACCTCCCGTCCGAAGCTTCCACAGGATCACGTTCCGACCCCCCCCCCCCCCTTTTCCTCCCTTTTCCCCTTTCCACATCCCTCTACGATAACGATCATGTCGCAGTCTACCGACGTCGAGCACGTCGAGCGCGACGCTCACTGGGATGCCAGTCGAGTCGAGGAAAAGCACCTCTCTGGCGAGAAACAAATCGGTGTGCTTGCCGCTGAAGCTGGTCGAAGTGTAGCTGACTGGACCCTTTGGGTCGGCATCTTGGGCATTGCCCTCGTCGCCTATATCGCTGGTCTCGACAATAACACCATGTACGCTTGGCAGACCTCTGCTACGACCGAGTTCAACGACTATGGTGCTTACACCTCAGTCACTGTCGTTCAGGCTGTTCTCATCGCTGTCGGCAAGTTCCCTATCGCCAAGCTCGCAGATGTCTTCGGTCGCGCTCAGGCCTACTTGATCTCTCTTGTTTTCTGGATCATCGGTTTTATCATCGTTGCTGTTTCCCAAACCACTCGCGATCTCGCTGGTGGAACTGTGCTTTATGCCATCGGTAACACTGGCGTGCAGATCATGCAGCAGATTGTTCTTGCCGACTACATCTCTACCAAGTGGCGAGGCGTTTCCATCGGTCTCGTCAGTTTGCCTTACGTGATCAACTTTGCCGTCGCACCAAAGATCACAGCCAAGCTCCAGGCTGCTAACTGGCGCTGGGGTCCCGGTTTCTTCAGCATCTGCGCCCCCGTTGCTGCCATCTCGATCATCCTCGCTCTCGCCATCAACCAGAGGAGGGCAAAGGCTAAAGGTCTCATCCCCGTCCACCCCTACAAGTCCATGTCTTTTATGACGGCCGTTGGCACTTTCTTGGTTGATATCGACGCTCTTGGTCTCTTTCTCATTTGCGGTGGTTTCCTCATGTTCCTCCTGCCCCTCAACCTGGCCAAGCTGCAGACAAACGGCTGGCAGACTGGCTGGATCATTGCCATGCTCGTACTTGGTGGTCTTATGATCATCGCCTTCTGCGTATGGGAGATCTTTGCCCCCAAGCCTATCCTCAACAGGCGATGGAGGCTTAACAAGGAGGTCCACTTTGCCACTGCTATTGGCTTCTTTGACTTCTTCAGCTTCTATTCCTCATGGGTCCCTGCCTATGTTTGGAGTATGATTGTCATGGACTACGGTTCCGAAGATGCTCTCTACTTTTCAAACACACAGTCTCTTTGCCTTACCGTTTTCGGTATTGCGGCCGGTTTCATCTCGCTCGGCGCCAAGAACTACAAGTGGGTCCTTGTTGCTGGTGCTGCTATTCGAATGCTTGGTATCGGACTCATGTTCAAGTACCGTGCAGCTGGATCTAGCAACGTTCAGGCTGTCTTCCCTCAGGTTCTTCAGGGTCTTGGTGGTGGTTTCCTCGGCATCACCCTTCAGGTCGCTGCTCAGGTTAGCGTTCGACACCAGGACGTCGCCACAGTTACCGCTTACTTCCTCCTGCTTACCGAGATTGGAGGTGCCTGTGGTAACGCCGTCGTCGGTGCAGTTCAGACCAACACTTTCCCTCGTTACTTGGACAAGCACCTTCCCATGCTTGACGCTGCTACTCGAGGCAAAATCTTTGCCAGTCCCTTTTCTTACGCCAATGTCTATCCCATGGGTTCCCCTGAAAGGATCGGACTGATCAACGCCTACAACGACTACATGCACATCCTTCTGATTGTTGCTATCCTCTTGTCCGTCCCACCTCTTGTCATCGGCCTCTTCATCAAGGATCGCAAACTCAACGACAAACAGAACTGCGTCAGCGACGAACTTGCTGGCATGAGACGCCTGTCCGCAGACACCCAAGAATCCTCTGCAGGCTCGATCGACAAGCAGTAAGCCACTTCTCTCGGATTCTACATCCTACCTCTCTCCTCTCCTTTGCTCTAATAGGCTTGCCTCACCGCTTTCCTTCGTACAACACTTCATCTTCACGCCGGCTTGACAAAGTCGTGCATTGCTTGGGTTCTGTATCATGCTAATACCACATCTTTCGTCATGCCCCTTTGAGCTTCTGCAAATCTTATTCTTCTCCATCCTCAACGCCGTTCCCATCGCTCTTTGCATCCCCCGTGGCGCTGAAGGCAGATCAAAACTGTGCCTAAGGAATTCCTGGATGATAATACTGCCTGCAAGCCATCCTAATGATCGCTTGACACACAAGCCGCTCCAACCTGGCCGGCAAAACGACGACAAGTATATATATCCCCCCCAGCATTCTATGCATGCGTGTACAGTAGGATACAGAAACATGCTACCCTCTCGACGAGGCTGAAACATGATGGGGTAACTATCTTCTCCTCCTCAGGCATCGGATAGCCGGTATGCCGATGCCTATCGCCATCATCAGCCTGACGCAAGCCGATGTACCGCACAGACCTCCTTACACTCCTCCTAGCCGCCTGGGACAACATGCTACCGATCCAAGTGAGCGAAGGTGGCCAAGGTGGCCAAAATGTGAGATCGAAATAGAGCTCACATAACATCACCTTCACAGTTGAGATTCACAAATGAGTGCCAAGTTGGTGTTTGAAGTCAAAGCATGTGATTCAGTTGAAGATAGTTGAAGGTTCGTCGGCATTTCAATGGGATCCACGGGGTCCAATCGATTGACGATACGGCAAAGTCATGCATAAGCAATATGCATGTGAGATACATGAGCATTGCCATAGCAACAAGTCAGAAGTGATGCAGAAAGTGACAACTCAGGAGCAACTCAGGAGGCGACTCATCTCAGCATAGAATGCTCATAGGTAGTGCTAAGCTATATATACACACTTGTATGACTGCATCCAGCCATAGTAATCTTAATCATTCAAGAAGTCATATGCCTGTAAACAAGAGCTTGCTAGTAGCTCCGGACAGCACGTTGTACTTGTGATCTTCCCCCCCCCCCCCCCCCCTGGTGGCATCTCCAGTCCTACCAATTGAGCTAGTCAGGATGTATCCATTCCTATCACGAACCGGCCCATTGGTTGGTAGAGCGACGATGACGAGGGCGCGATCAAGAGGCCGAGGAGACTACCAGACTTCGGAAGGAGTAGATGAGAGTTGACTGAGAGAGTTGACTGAGAGAGTGACTTATGATCTCTTTTCCTGAAGGGAAGAGAGAAGAGAAGAAGGAAGGAGCAAACTGTGAGATTGAAAGTACAAGACTCGATGCGAAGAGTCTAAGACTCTTTCCAGTGAAATGAATTATCAATGTTAGATCTTAGATAGTTATGAGAGGGGTCATGACCGAGTCATGACAATTCCCTTCAATGGCTTTGTTAGAATATCTGCCACATTGCTGGCTGTTCCAACAAAGTCAATCTCTACATCACCTTGTACATGATCCCTAACAGAGCAATACCTGGTGTTGATATGTTTGAGCTTCCAGTGCTTTGCCAGATCTTTACTTACCTGCATACATCCCTGGCTGTCTGTGCATAGTAATGGCTTGATGTCTTTGATTCCCAAATCCATGAGTAGGTATGAGAAGAATAGTGCTTCTCTCATTGCTTCTGATGCAGCAACAAATTCTGCCTCTACTGCTGATAGTGCTACACACTTTTGCAAATGAGATTTCCAACTAACTGGGAATCCATACATGTATGTGACCACCCCTGATGCGCTCCTGCATCTGTTGGTAAGGTCTGATGCCCAGTTTGCAACAGTGTACATGACCACTGGCTGGTTTGTATGTTTCTTTGATCCTCCTCCTTCTAGTTGCAATAGATGCTGGTTTGTCATGGGACCGGCTGTGCAGGAGGACTGGAGTCAGATGAGAAGAGACCATGCGCAGGAATCATGGGATCAGGAAATTGGAGAGTTCCAACTGAATTCATTGAGATCAGTAGGAGCAAGGTCTTACAGCAGAATTTGTTGGGATCAGTAGGATCAAGACCTTACAATGGAGTTCATTGGGATCAGTAGAACCACAATTGTACAACAGTTCTTGAGGAAACCAGTTAGAGGATGCCTCTCTCACCAATCTCACAATGAGACATATGATGATGACATGGGGCTTGCCACCCTGATGAGGTAGGGGCCCTAGGCGATGATGAACTTGGTGTAGGAGGATGGGTGCCACCATCAGGGGCAAGATGAAAGAGGGTGTGCCTTGCCACTTGGATGAAGTGGGGGTGACCACTAGCAACGATGAAATGGCACTAGATCTCCTTGACCACAAGGAGCAGGAGAAGCAGTGCCAAAGAAGAGTATACACCCTAAGGGAGACAGGGGCCATAGGAGAGATGAGAGGAGGGGGGCAGTGCTGAAGAAGACCCTACACCTCCTAAGAGAACAAGAGCAGTGTTGCAGGCAACACTGCAAGAGTGTCTATATAACCATACATTCTCTTTGTCATAGGTAGTTGAGTGGATCCTCATCCACTCTACACTTAACTAGTTATATCTTTACCATATCATATACTTAGTAGTTCTGTCACAAGTTGCAATTGCAGGCAATTGCATCTAACATAGTGTGTGTGTTGTATCACCACTATTTGATGACATCTGTAGGCAGTACTCTACTGCAGTCCAGATATGATCAATACCAAAGGCAGTCTCTGTGGTCTGGTGCTCTTGATCTCATACCAAAGGCAGTTGTCTGCTGCAGTCCAGTTCTTAACCAATCAGTTCAATTGTACAACTGTCAACACTACAGATGCTCATGTCCAGACAGATGCTATTGCCACACACCTGGTGTGGTCCAAGAAGGTTTTCTAGAACCTTGATTGTGCCATGCTACCTCTGGACAGAGTGTCCACAGCAGTTAGTTGGAATCTGTTCTAAATCATAGTTACAATCCATTCCAGCAAGAAAGATCATAGAAGGCCTTTATGATAGATTTTGTCAAGGTTGATTCTAGTTGGCCTTTACAATAAATTTCGGGTTCCAGGCGCATGACCGCTGACATGTGTCATGGGCCTGGATGCTCAAGAAGCAGGTGGGTCACTGGTTCATATGGAAGGAGCACAGGTATCGAAGATCTAGTCGATACCATTAGAGAGCATGGTCATAGTGCAGTCTCCATGGAGACCATGGACTCCTACAGACTCACATGCAAAGGAGGACCGAGCCCATATGTGAGGAGGGCCAGGCACAGCCATGAAGAGGACCAAGCTCAAGGAGCATGCAGATGGTTACCACTCAGGGGCTCAAGAGACAAGAGTCAAAGGAACTGTCACCAGTCAAAGGAGAAGGAGCAGTGTATAGGTAACTGGCAAGCAGGTCCTGAGGAGGAGGAGCAGTGTCAAAAGAGTCAACACCACTCAGGAGGCACAGGGGTGCCAACCAAGCAGGATAGCAAGGAGGAGGAGCAGTGTCAAAGGAGTCGATACAGCTCAAGAGGCACAAGGGTGCCAAGCAAGCAGGATAGTTCAAGGAGGACAGGAGTGGTGCTAGAGGGGCCCCCTGTACAAGTACTCGATGAAGAAGGTACTCTCTGGAGAGAGAGCAGGAGCAGCATCACTGGCGATGCTGTGAAGAGGTATATAACCATGCTTTCTCATCATCAAAGGTCAAGTGGATCCTCATCCACTCTACACAACCATCATAACTAGTTATCACTTCAGCATAAGTATATATTAGTTTCAGTCAGCATAGCAGCAATCTATCAAGGTTGCTCCTCATCATAGTGTGTGTGTTGTATCACCACTACCTGACATCCGAAGGCGCCCCATAGCAGGTTAGTGGTCTGGATCAAGATAGAACCAAAGGCAGTAGTCCACTGCAGTCCAGGGATCACCTCCAGCATCAGTCAACACACTGGACACTCATGTTGATGCCACCAACCTCATCACCAACACCATCAACCTCATTATCATCGACATTCACCAACCTTATCACCAACACCATTGACCTCATCATCATCAACACTCACACCAGACCTTGGTGTCATCATAATCTACGCATTGATATTGATTGTGCTGAGCTACCCCTGAATGGAGTGTCCACAGAGGTCAGCTGAAACCTACAATAGTATATACAACAAATGCCACCCACTGTCATCACGCAACTTGATAGTCACTGAACAACTAGCTCGTCGAGACTGATACCAAGACAATAGCTGTCACACAACTTGATAGTCACCGAGTATCTCGACAGACCGACCTGGGTTTCAGGCGCGAGACCCCTGACAACATGGTTCAGGTACTTTACTATGTGAATTGCTGTGCTCCACACACCATTGGTTGGTTTCGACATGTAGCATGCTAGAGTTCCCACAGCAAATGAAATGTCTGGTCTTACCATGTTGGACACCCATAGTAGTTGTCCTACTAACTTCTGGTATTGCTTGACTCTTGTTGGTATGCATCCACTGCCTTCCATGGTGGTTGCCACACTTTGCATAGGTATCCAGGATTTCTCATTCCTCCCCTCCAGCCATTTGTTTACCATTGCTTTGATATATGCCTTCAAGTCCAGGGATATCTTTCTTTAAGCCCTTTCTTGAGTGATCTTCACTCCTAGGAGCTCTTTAACCATCCCATTGTCTTCAGTTCCCCACTTATTCATGATTTTGGCCTTGGTGTGATCCATTTCCCTGTGACTGAGTGATGCCACCAGCATGTCATCTACATATGCTGTGATGATTGTAATCCAATCGCCTGTCCCTCTTGTATATAGGCACAGTGCACTTGGCATGCAGTGGAATCCAATGTCACAGGGTCTGCGCAGAAGACCCTAGACAAACATTGGGTGTGTTGTGTGCACAAAATGTAAAATCAACCACATTGTGGGTTCCTGATTGATTTCAGTGAAGTTGATCAGAAAAAACCCATCTGGTAGATTTCACTAAACATACTGCGAGAAGATCCCATCAGTGTGTAACAGGTTGGATGTCCTTGTGGGAGTGATGGGATAGCCAGAGGAGGATGTCACCATTATTGGAGGAGAAGGAGACATACAGGAGGTGATTGCATGTGAGGAAGGGGACCAAGCCCAGGAGCACATGTGGGGTTACCACACAGGGAAATGGTCTCACACATGCCAAAGAGGCAACCACATGGAGCAAGAACAAGACAGTAGGGGTGTCTGCATGGAGAGAGAGTGGGACAGTAGAGCTGTCCACATGGAGCGGGAGTGGGACAATAGAGGTGTCTGCACAGGGAAACAGAAGCACGTGGACCGAGGAGATGTTCATACGATAGAGGAGGAGCAGGAGGAGTAGGACCGATGTCAAGACAACGCCCATACGAGACAGGGGGAGTAGGAGGAGTATGAGTAGGGTTGCAAAGGTTATACACCTTCTCGAGAGAACAGGAGCAGTGTTGCCGGCAACACTGCCTACAGCTATATATACATACACTCTCTTCATAGCAGTTGAGTGGATTGTCACAGGGCCAGCGCAGAGATCATAAGCAGCCGTGCTGCGCAGCTGCCGAAATGAGCTCAGCACACCAGAAGCAGAACTGGTCGAGACCCAGGGGCACCAACCAATCTCACCAAGATTGGTCAAACAGTGAGTGGGGGGGGGAAACCTTATCAAGAATGGTTGAGATGGTGGGTACTGGGAAGTTTCACTGAGACTGGCCCGAGATGAAGTGGATCAACCAGCCCCATGACAAGATGAGGGTGTCCCACCAAGATCAAAGGGACAGCCACTGAGAGCAGGAAACAAGAGACCTCACCACCAGATGAGGTGGGAGGAGACCCCTGAGCATGATGAAGTTGGCATAGGAGAATTGTCACCTCAGCAAGGGAGTAAGGATAGGAAGGGCAGGATAGTAGTAGGAGTCAGATAGAACAGGATGGACAGGGAGGCCATACCCTGTAAGGAAGGGGGGGCCATGGTGAGGTAGACACCATGGCATGAAGATATATATACACCCCTCTGTCATAGTGAATGAGTGGATCCAGCATCCACTCTATTCTTAACTAAACTATACTCTACTGTAACATATACTTAGTTGTTCCATCACCTAGTGCAATCACAGGCCATTGCTACTAATCTGAGAAGGTGTGTCATATCACCTCTCACTGATGTCATCTGTAGGCAGTAGTTACTGCAGTCCAGACAATCACCTCTCCATAGGCAGTACTCATACTGTGGTCCAGGCTTCTCTCACTGATTCACCATTGCTCATCAACACCTCAAACACTCATGTCAAGTTGATGGATCATCATCCTGTATATTAAGTGTTCTGCAACAAGCAGGTACCAACTGTGCCACATTACCACTGAACTGAGTGTTCACAGCAGTTAGCCGAAACTTGCTGAACAAATAATCTGTCAAGCAGTCTCAGTGAAAGTGGCTGACAGGTGCATACTCAAGCACACTCACTGAAACTGGTTGAAATCACCCAAACTGGTAGCTTTCGGGTTCCAGGCACATGACCGCTGACATGGATCCTCATCCACTCTACTTTATCTTTACCTTATCTTAACTCTTGTCTTGTTCCAGTATTGTCAACCATTGCAATCATAGGGCATTGCAACTACTCTGTGTGTGTGTGTCATATTACTGCCACTTGATGTCTTCCATAGGCAGTATCTCTACTGTGGTCTGGGCTCTTCAACCAAAATCCATCTGTAGGCAGTAACTCCACAGCAGTCTGGACACCTCTCATACATCTGCTAGCATCACAAACACTCATGTTAGGACAGACAGGGTCATACCATTTCAAGAACATCTAGACTTAAGAACATCAAACATGCCACACCACTTCTGAATGGAGTGTTCACAGCAGTTAGTCAGAATCCACCAGAAGTTGGTCTTCTGGTATATCTTGCTGAATTCAATTGGAAAGAGCTTACTCGATAGATTTCACCAAAATCGATCAGAATCAGCCTTTTCAATAGATTCTGGGTTTCAGGCATACAACCGCTGACAGAATCCTCGTGCCACAAGCCTGGCCTTGAACTTCATAGGCACCAGATTTGCATCTGTCTTGTGTTGGAGATTGCGATCCAGTCCGATCCCTGGGTGACATAAATCAGATCTGTGAGGGATCGGGCAGAGGAGGTTCAGTCAGCAATCAGGTAAGATAGATCTGATTGGGATCAGGTGAGGCCAACCTGATTGGGGATCGAGCTGAGCCAATACAAGACAGAGATCAGATACAACCATGTCCCACTTGTTGTTATACATTGTCATTAGGTAAGGATGCCCACAGTCGGGCATGTGCCACACATTTGTATATATATCTAGCAGGAGCTTGAGGCTCCCGCCACATTCGCTTGATTAGTCAATTTTAGTATAGTGTTTTAGTTGAAAATGTGTCGGCATCTCAAGAGGGATGCACAAGTCACAGCTAAGACACCGAGGGACCAGATGCATGCATAAGTGATGAATACAATGAAGTACATGGAGGTTGGCATGACAATGGCTCAGGGGCATTGCAGAAAGCAGTAACTCAAGGGGTCACAGAAGAGGTGGCTCATCTGACTCGGACATGACTAGAAGGTAGCAACAAGGTATATATATATGTCTGTCATTGTGATCCATATCAAAGAAATACTAAGCATTACAAGAAACATACAACTGTGGTAAGGGAGCCTGATTGTGGCCCCAATATTGGCATATACTAATTGTTATCTTCAACTGATTAAGAGTCTGAAGAAGCTACCAACCGAGCTAATCAAAGCCCATCAACAATCATGGTGGAAGATGCTGAAACCCAAGTTGGCACCAGCACAAGGACCAAAGGAGGCAGGAAAGGCAAGACAACCCAGGTGCAAGCCAACAATGACACCACTAACAAGAATGAGCTGGAGGTTGCCAACAACAAAGCTGACAAAGAAGCTGACTCTGACTCAGATTTTGACAATGGCAACAAGTGATATAACTTCCACACCCTAGCAAAGCTCCTTGAGCCTGTACCAAAGCTCATGTCACACAGCTACTACAGCTGGAGTGTGCATGTAAAGTCATTCCTTCAGTCTGTGCCTCATGCAATTAAACACCTTGAGGGAGTGTATGATAAGAAGCACCTGAAATGGAGCTGCACCCTCAATGATGCTTTGATCAATGCTCTCTGCAGAACAATTGACACTACCAGGGAGCACAATGTCAACTACCTTGTTCTAGATGTAATCAAAGAGTACCTCACCTTTCATCAAGTATGGAGAAAGATTGAAAACAGGCTAATGAACAAAGCCACCAAGACATCCCACAGACTTGCACTCATCTCACAGCTTGGCAACATAAAGATGTTCCATTCAGATGCAAGGAAGCTAATCCAAGAGATCTGGTCCATTCAGACTGAAAGCAGTCTCCTTGGGAAGCTGTTTGCCATTAACACATTGTTCTTGGCTCTGCAGAAATGCACGATCCAGCATCTGGTGTACAAAGAGACAGTTGCCACCATCCATCAAATCGACTTCAATACCCTTGCCACTGCATTGAGCATCTGCCAGACCACCATAGAGAGCATCCCTGCACAAAAGGTCAACCCTCGACAGGCCAGCACCAGGCTCACTGGCAACAATGATCAAGATGACCAGACTGGGGAGACCAAAACTGACAACAACAACATGAACCCAAAGAACACAAGCAGACCATGATGAATCCGATGCTGGAACTGCAAATGGACAGGACATGGCATTAGTCAGTGCGATGCTTCAGTCACCATCCCCAAAGACTCCCCCCTTGCTAAACCCAAATAGGAAGTGTGGTGCTCCCTCACCCTCACACCAAATTGGCAGGAACCCCCAAACCCAAAAGAAATGTCTCATTGGATTTTGGACTTGGGGGCAAGCTATCATATGGTGAACACTTATGGCATGCTCACCCACCCAAGAACCTGTTGAAAGCATATAATCACCACTGGAAATGAGTTTCTGGAGGCGACAGCCATAGGAGATGTTAACATATCAACAGATTACAGGGACATTCCCCTACAAAATGTATTGTATGTCAAGCATCTCAATGTTAACCTCCTGTCAACAAATTCATTGATGGATGATGGAGCATGAGTGATACTGGATAGTACTGGCAGACAAATCTATTTGATAAATGGCATGACACTTAAGATTGCAAAGAATCATGAGCAAGGACTCTTGGAGTTCTGAGGTGACACATGGCAAGAGAGTGCAATGACCACATCAACACCATTGTTTGACAGTGTTGATGAGGAGTTCGAGCATATTAAGAATGAGCCAAAAAACTCAAAACAATGGTTATGGCATGAATGCCTCAGACACCCAGGTCAAGATAAGTCAAAAGCAATCATAGACAAACTGAATGGCAAGCACATTGTGGAATTGGACCTGGACACTGCTCTGACATGTGAGCAGTGCATATGATCCAAAAGTACAAGTGTGTGGATGGGGCAAGGTAGTGTCAAGAGAGCCACTAGACCCCTGGATCTCATTCACATCAACCTGATCATTGATTCATCTCATGTGACAGAGTATATGTGCACCTTGGTGCTTGTGGATGATCACAGCAAGTATGTATGTGTCCAACCCCTGTTAAGGAAAATTTATGCATTTGGTCAACTTAGGAAGATAGTCACGTTTCTTGAGACACAGACAGGAAGGGAACTAACAGCCCTCCAATTGGACCAAGGAACAGAATGGAGGACAAATGAAGCCTTGGAGTGGATGTATAGTAAAGGTATACAATGGCAAACCACAGTAGGATACAGCAGCAGGCAAAACAGACAGGTGAAAAGAATGAACAGGAGCCTTGGGGAAAGGATGCAGACACTCTTGATGCAAAGGAGACTGCCAAAGAGATTCTGGCCATATGCGATTTGAGTGGCAGCATTCAAGATGAACCTCACTCCAAGTGTTGACAACAAGTTCCCTTACCAAGCAATGTTCAGAAAGTCACTGGAGCGATTCATAAGTCTTTTTCAAGTGTTTGGATGCTTGGCATGGGTAAATGTACCCAAGGTCAAGTGAGATAACAAGAAGCTGGATCAGCAAGCCATTGCATCCATTTTCTTAGGGTACAGCTTAGAGTGAAAAGGTTGGCTGTTCTATAGCCCAGATTACAGCCCAACAATCTTTTGGAGTAACTCAGCAAAGTTCATGGAATCAAAATGTTGGTCAGACAGGACAGAGTGGTGACCAGTCAATACACAAATGCCTCCAATGATGACAACTGAAGAAGACATCAAGAATCTAGGGTATACAGAGGAAAATTTATTTGATGAAGTAGATGGAGAACCATTAATGGAATACATGGACATGGATCTAACTTCAGAAGACAAATTAAGTGAAAGAACAGCAAAAGTGACCAAGCATGAACTGGTTGCCGAGACCCAGATTGATGACAAATTTTTTGGACTTGTGGCAACATGCCTGGAATGGAGAAAGAACTTGGACCCAACTGTCCATGAGGCATTGGGTGGAGAGGACAGGAAGCATTGGGAAGAGGCCATGTGAAAGGAGCTGGATGGACTAGAAGCAATGGGCATGTGGGAAATCACCAACCTCCCAAAAGATGCAAACACCATTGACACATGGTGGGTCCTCAAGATCAAGACTGATGCAAACCTCATACCAATGAAGTTCAAGGCCAGACTTGTGGCACAAGGTTTCACACAGCACAAAGGTATTGACTACATGGAAGTCTTCACACTGGTAGTGCCCATCCAGTCCATTCAAGGAGTGATCACCATTGTGGCAGTCTGAAATTGGGAAATGGACTCAATTGATGTGAAGCAAGCATATCTAAACTCAACAATACACCATGATGTATACTTAAAGCCACTGAATGGAATCAAAATACCTGGAAAAGTGCTGAAAGTAGTGAAGGGACTGTACAGCTTGAAACAATCAGGCCATGAGTGGAACATTGAGCTAGACTCACATCTCCAAATGATTGGATTTCACTGCATGCCAAGCACACCATGCTTATATTCAAGAGGAACAGATGATAGAATCACAATCATTACAGCATACATAGATGACATGCTGATAATGTTGCCCAGCTGCAGCAAGGTCAATCACACTAAGCAAGAAATCATGGATAAATGGGAAATGAAGGACAATGGCAAAATCAAGGAGTTCTTGGGGATAAAGATCACATGTGACAGAAGGCAGAGGAGGATATCCCTGGATCTAACAGCATATGTCAAGGCAATGGTAAACAAATGGTTAGAGGGAACAAATGAGAAATCCTGGATACCCATGCTGAGTGTGGCAAACATGGCCAGAGGCAAGAAGTGCAACCCTCAACAGGCAAGGAAGTGCCAGGAATTGGTCAGCCAACTATTGTGGGTGTCCAACACTGCCTGACCAGACATTGCTTTTGCAGTGGGGACATTGGCACAATATATGTCAAACCTGATTGACAGTGCATGGAAGGCAGCCATTCATAAGGTGAAATATTTAAATCAGACAAGTGGATACCAACTGTACTTAGGAGGCAGGTTGGACAAACATGCAGACAAACCAGTAACAACATATACCAATGCAAATTGGGCATTGGACCCCACAAATGGATGGAGGAGCACCTCAGGAGTGATAATGTACATATACAGATGCCCAGTCAGTTGGAAATCTCATGTTCAGAAATGTGTGGTGTTGTCAGCAGTCAAAGCAGAATTTTTCACTGCTTCCGAAGCAGTACAAGAGGTGCTATTCTTCTCATATTTGCTTCAGGATTTGGAGATCACAGATGTCCAGCCAATGCTCTACACAGACAGTCAGGGGTGCATCCAGGTAAGTAAAGACCCAGCCAAGCACTGGAAGTTGAAGCACATTGATACCTGGTACCATTTTGTTTGCAATCATGTGCAAGAGGGTGATGTAATGATCAAATTCATTGGAATGGCAAACAATGTAGCAGACATTCTGACAAAACCTTTGCAGGGCCTCAACACCTCTCGATTAACTAAGATGATAATAGGATTGGAGATACCACCAAGGGAGGGAGTTGAAAATGCATTGGCATCTCAAGAGGGATGCACAAGTCACAGCCAAGACACCGAGGGACCGGATGCATGCATAAGTGATGAATAAATTGTTATCTTCAACTGTTTTGCTCTTTAGTTTGAACACCGTACTTAGACCATCGTCGACCACTGAGTGTCGACACCCGTATTCTTTCATTATTTTAACAAATGACAGAGTGTGACAGCGAGTGGGACTAAGCGGTACCCAATTCCTTACTGTATCGGCTCCGCCCGATCTCCGCTCAGATCGGCTCTATGTCATCTTTTAGGATTTTACTGGATCGTAACCTTCAGCAAAATATTCTCGACTTGTTCAAAACATGCAGACTCGAATTTTAATATTCTTCAGCGTGTGCAAAACAAGACAACGGGAAATAGAATTGTTAGCATGTCAGTGGTCTGATCAAAGGAGACAAGCTGCGGAAGACAAACACATCCGAAGTGTCGAACACACTATGATTTCGTTGACTCAACAAATTTTATACACTGCATTCGAAAATTCTGGAAAAATGCATGCCATGATTACGATGAGCATTATTTTTGCAAGCGAAACCAGCTTTTTTGGTGCCAAAGTCAGCTTAATTTCTTTCCTTTGCTCTTTTCTTTGCTTTGCCCGGATACGATCCAGCAAAATGACAGTGGAAGAATAAGCCGATACAATAAGGGGTCCGGCATAGCAGATACGAAAAGAAATCGGGCATTGCCTGGTCCCGCCCGTCGTCGCCCTTTGTCATTAAGAGGCACATGATAAAAGATTAAAGGATGATGAATGACTGAAGGAGAACGGATGTCGACACTCAGCGATCGACGTCAATCAGAGCACAGTGCAGCTGCTATTTAGGGCAAAAACACTATACCCAATTGACTAAAAGAACTTGGTGAGAGCCTAGAGCTCTCAGCTTGATATACAGCTCGCGCATAAACTGTCCCACGATTTCAGATGTCACCACACATCACTCCAATGCTCAATAGCCATACGTCTTATTGCCACACTGTTTTATATCGTCTGAAAGCTTTGCTTCTTCTCTCCAAGACTATGTGATTGATATTGACAATGCATGAGAAAATTGTGCATCAAAAAAGAGTCGAGAATAATTTTAGTCATGCTAGAATTGGTAAACATATCTAATTGTTTGAATCGTTTTGACGATGAACATCGCAAAAAATGTGCGTGATTCGAAAACTTGTTTATAACATCTGTGGATGCTGAAGGTTACGATCCAGCAAGACGTTAAAAGTGACATAAGGCGATATGATAAAAGATCGGGCCGAGCCGATCTAAGCGGAGAACGGGTACCGCTTAGTCCCGCTCGTTGTCACACTCCGTCATTAAGAAGGACGCTCCCACCTTTGGCATGTGCCGCTACTGTGTATATATATCGAGCGGAGAGCTCAAGGCTACCACCATGTTTCTCTAAGTCAATCGAGTATAGTGTTTCTGCCCCAATACCTGTGTTGAAAGAATAAAACAATACGGGTGTTGACACTCAGCGGTCGACAACAGTCTAAGCACAGTGTTCAAGCTATTGAGCAAAAACACTATATTATATTGACCTAGAGAAAGAATGTTGTTGGAGCCTCGAGCTCTCCGCTTGATATATATACAAAGTGACAGCACATAAGGGATGGGCACATCCTCCTTAATGACAAAGTACGACAACGAGTGGGACACAGTTGTACCCGATCCCTCACTTGTATCGGCTTTGCCCAATCCCGGATCAGATTGGCTCCGCCCGATTCCCTATCAAATCAGATCTATGTCATACTTTAGTGTCATACTTTAGCGTCTTACTGGATCGTAATCTTCAGCATACTGTGCTTTGACTGAGATTGACCGCTGAACGTCGACAACCGTCCTCCTTCTATTATTTTCTCAGGTTATGAGCCCAAGTCAGTACATTATTTTCAAGTAGATACCTTACCATGTCGGACCACGACTATTCCGCATACGAGGACTTCATTCAGATGATAGAGGGCCTCATCTCTTGCCTTCCGGACATGCTCCAAAGCTGTTTCCATAGGGTTCTAATCAGCAAGACCTACCTCTCATCTGCTTCCCAAGATCAAAGCGGTCACAGAATGGGCCCAGGTCATGGGTTGCAAAATAGAGGTGGCTGGCGCACTCTATCATGTGTTGAAACAAGAGTGACACTTGGCGACAGAGATCGGGAAATATCAGTCTGAGTACGGTGTTCGAGCTAAAGAGCAAAACATTATACTAAATTGACATAGAAAAGAATGTGGCAGGAGCCTTGAGTTCCCTGCTAGATATATATGTCACAGGGTCTGCACAGAAGGTCCTGCGCAGAAGATCTGAAGCAGGTATCGGGTGGCGAAGATCGGGTCGGGCATGTTGTGCACACAAATTGTGAAATCAACCACAGCATGGATTTCTGGTTGGTCTTGCCAAAAAGGATCAGAACAAGCCCATTCAGTAGGTTTCACCAGATGTGCTGCAGAAGGCTTCCATCAGTTTGGCATGGGTCGATCGTTCACAAGGAAATAACAGGAGGATCGGAAGAGGAGGTTTTTAGCATTGGAAGGAGTCATACTGAGGAGGACCGCATGTGAGGAGGGGACCGAGCTCAGTAGCATGCAGTTGGTTACCACACAGGGGGACGTGCTCACAGCTGTCATGGGACCGGAAGGATGTGCAGAAAGAACTGGAGTCATATGAAGTGACCATGCACAACAAATTGTGGATTGGGCTACGAGAGGTTTCTGACAGAGCTCAGTGAGATTGGTAGGATCAAAGGCTCTATGGCAGAACTTGTCAAGATTGGCAGTAGCAACACCTTACTACAGAACCCATTGGGATCAGTAGTACCATGCTTGTACAACAGATCTCATGGAAACCAATTAGGAGACACTTCTATCACTGATCCCACAATAAGAGGACAACAAGCAAGGAATGGGCTGCCACCTGATGAGGCAGGGGCCCTACACTACAATGAACTAGGCGCAAGGAGGTGGGTGCTGTCAGAGGTCACAGACCCAAAACCTGATATCTGTAATAGAATCGTGTCTATTATGAATTCCATCGAGATATGTGACAACACTTGTGGTATTACAATTCTTGGTGAGATATGTAGTAGAGACATCTCTATCACTTTTCTTGCTCAAAGATGTAGTAATGGTTTTGCTATTGCAGGTTTCGACTAACCACTGTGGACACTCCATCCAGAGGTAGCTTGGCACAATCAATAACTTGAATGTATTGCATGACACCAAAGGTCTGGTGTGAGCAATGTGTTTGGTAGTGCTGACATGAGTGTCCAGTGTGTCGACTGAATGCTTGAGGTGATCCCCAGACTGCAGTGGATGACTGCCTTTGGTTCTATCTTTATCCAGACTGATGGTTTGCTATGAACCACCTTCGGATGTCAGTGAGTGGTGATACAACACATGTGCTACAATGGAAGCAATCTACTTGATTGTGACTACACTGACTGAAACTAATATATACTTATGCTGAAGTGATAACTAGTTGTGTATGGTGTAGAGTGGATCTGGATCCACTTGCCTGCTATGACGAGGAGCATGGTTATATACCATCCCAGCAATGTTGCCTGTGACACTGCTCCTGTCCTGTGAGGCCCCTTCAGCTCCATGTCTTCTCCTCTTCTTTCTGACTGCTTTTCCATCCACACTAGATTGCTGCTCATGTCATATCCCTCGACCTTTGTGGATGGATGGCCACTTGCTGCTTCATCTCCATCAGGGGCCATCCCACTTCATCCAAGTGGTGACTCACCCCCCCCTCTCATTACTCACTGTCATTGGTACCCACCTGCTGGTGCTGACTTCCATGTTGTGCAGGGCCCCTACCTCATCCAGTGGCAACCCCAAATGTCCTCCCCTTCTAGCCTTTTATCATACAAACATCCTTGCCATTGATCTCCACAGGACCTGTTGTACAATCCTGTTTATTGCAGATTCCAGTGTGATTTGTGATACCCTGAGTGCTCATACTGATCTAGATGAGATCTGCCTTAGAGCTGCTTCTCCTACAGATTTTGGTGGACTCTATTACAAGTCCTATTATCTGCCCAATTCCTCAATTCCTGTGCTCCCTTCATATGTCTTGATGGATCTTCCTGATTCCTGCGCATCCCGTCCCATGACAGGTGCCAACATCAGGAGCAAGATGAACAGGGGTGAACACTGCCACTGGGATGAAGTGGGGACAACTCCTATCAAAAAAGAGCAACAGGGATAGCCTCCTCGACCACAAAGAGCAGGAGAAGCAGTGCTTGAGGAAGGGAGTACACCCCTTGGCATAGCAGGAGCAGTGTCACAGGCAACTCTGCAGGAGGTGTCGATATAAGATTATCACTCTAGTCATGATAGTCAAGTGGATCCCCATCCACTCTACACCTTACATTACTAGCTATCACTTTCACATAAGTATACTTAGTATTCTGTCAAACAGTTGCAATTGCAGAGCATTGCTTCTATTGTAGTGCATGTGTTGTATCACCACTTCTTGACATCTTCTGAAGGCAGTACATTCTGTGGTCCAGATATCAATCAATACCAAAGGTGGTTTCATACTCCAGTCTGGCTCTCTTGATCTCAACCAAAGGCAGCCATCCACTGTGGTCCAGGGATCAATCTATCAATCAGTTGACACACTGGACACTCATGTTGAAGACAAACACATTCACACCAGACCTTGGTGTCACCTCAAAGGATCTATTGGGTTTCAATCATGCCAAGCTACCTCTGGACAGAGTGTCCCCAGCAGTCAGTCAAAATCTGTGATAACCATTAGTTACAATCCATTTGAGCAAGAACAGTCATAGAAGGCTTCTACAACAGATCCCAGCAAGAACAACATGTCAGGGGTCTCGCGCCTGAAACCCAGGTCGGTCTGTCGAGATACTCGGTGACTATCAAACTGTGCGACAGCTATTGTCTCAGTATCGGTGACTATCAAGTTGTGCAGTGACAGCAGGTGGCATTCGTTGGATATACTATCATAGGTTTCGGCTGACCTCTGTGGACACTCCATTCAGGGGTAGCTCGGCACGATCAATATCAATGTTATGATGACACCAAGGTCTGGTGTGAGTGTTGATGATGATGAGGTTGATGGTGTTGGTAATGAGATTGGTGGTGTCGATGATAATGAGGTTGCTGGTGTTGGTGATAAGGTTGGTGGTGTCAACACGAGTGTCCAGTGTGTTGACTTGATGCTTGAAGTGATCCCCGGACTGCAGTGGACTACTGCCTTCGGTTCTATCTTGATCTGGACCACTAACCTGCTATGGGCACCTTCGGACATCAGGTAGTGGTGATACAACACACACACTATGATGAGGAGCAACCTTTGATGGATTGCTGCTATGCTGACTGAAACTAATATATACTTATGCTGAAGTGATAACTAGTTATGGTGAGTAGAGTGGATGAGGATCCACTCGACCTATGATGATGAGAAAGCATGGTTATATACCTCTTCACAGCATCACCAGCGATGCTGCTCCTGCTCTCTCTCCAGAGAGTACCCTCTTCATCGAGTACTGCTCAGGGGCCTCTCCTGCTTGGCACCCCTGTGCCTCTTGAGTGGTGTCGACTCCTTCGACACTGCTCCTCCTCCTCATGACCTGGTGTCGACTCCTTTGACACTGCTCCTCCTCCTCATGACCTGGTGTCGACTCCTTCGACACTGCTCCTTCTCCTTTGATCAGTGACAGTTCCTTTGGCTCTTGTCTCTCGAGCCCCTGAGTGGTAACCATCTGCATGCTCCTTGAGCTTGGTCCTCTTCGTGGCTGTGCCTGCTCCTTGAGCTTGGTCCTCCTCATGGCTGTGCTTGGCCCTCCTTTGCATGTGAGTCCGTAGGAGTCCATGGTCTCCATGGAGACTGCACTACAACCATGCTCTCTACTGATCTCGACTAGATCTTCAATACCTGTTGAACCTGTGACCCTCCTGCTTCTTGAGCATCCAGGCCCATGACACAACAATAGAAGGCCTCTACCACAGATCTCACCAAGATTAGTTGTAATTGCCTTTTACTACAGATTTCGGGTTTCAGGCGCACGACCGCTGACAACAGCCACAGGGGCGACCACATGGTAGGGAGGAGGACAATAAGGTCGATCACGCGGTCAGGGGAGCCACAAGATAGGAGACCGGAGGATGGTCCCCGGTTAGGAGGAGGAAGAGCAGTGTCAAGGAAGTCGACACGCATCTCCAGGAGAAGGGGAGCAAGGAGACAGGGAGCAGTGTCGGACAAGGGTGTCACTGTCAGAGATTACGATCCAGTGAGATGTTGAAGGGTGAAGCAGAGCCGATCCAATCGGAGATCAGGGAGGGCCGATCCGGTCAGAGGACCGATCTGATCGAAGATCGAGGATAAACCGATTTCACTAGAGATCGGGGACAACCAAGTCCCGCTTGTTGTTGTCATAGGGCTGGATGCGCAGAAGCAGGAAGAATGGATGTCATATGAGGAGGAGCACAGGAATCGCAGGATCGGGCAAAATAAGGGTTACAGCAGAGTTCATTGAGATCTGTAGTAGAGAGGCTCTATGACAGATCTCACCCAAATCAGCACAAGCAGGATCATATCACAAATCCCACCAGAATTGGTAGTATCTTGATCATAGGATAGATCTTGCTGAAGCTGGTGAGAGGACACCAATTCTCACAAGCCTCACAGCAGGACAAGATGCTGTAGGCATTGGGTCCACCACCCTGATGAAGCAAAGGGCTGACCCAACAATGAACTCAGAACAGGAGGGTGGGCAAGATGAGTAAGGGAGGTGAGTCACCACCCAGATGAAGTGGGAATGGCCCCTGTTGATGATGAAGCAGCATGAGGACTGTCCATCCACATGAGGCAAGGGAAGCAGTGCCAATGAGCAGTATTGCAGGGTGGATGGAAAGGATAGGAAGGGCGAGGAGGAGGAGTGGTGTTGAAGAGGCCTCTCAGAGTGGGAGCAGTGTCACAGGTGACATTGTGATAGTGAATATATAACCATGCTCCTTGTCATAGCAATTGAGTGGAACTTCATCCACTCTACACTTTACATTACTAGCTATAACTTCACAATAAGTATACTTAGTAGATTTGTCACCAGTAGCAATCACAGAGCATTGCTACTACCTAGTGCATGTGTTGTATCACCACTTGATGCCATCCAAAGGCAGTTCATTCTGTGGTCTGGAGATTGATCAATACCAAAGGCAGTTCATACTGTGGTCCAGCTCTCTTGACCATTAGAACCAAAGGCAGTCATCCACTGTGGTCTGGGGATCATCAACCATTCAGTTGACACACTGGACACTTGTGTCAGCACAAGCATATTCACACCAGACCTTGGTGTCATCTCAAAATATCTATCAACTAGTGATCATGCTGAGCTACCTCTGAGCTGAATGTCCCCAGTGGTCAGTCAAAATCTGCAATAGATATCAGTTACAACATATTTGAGCAAGAAGAGTCATAGAAGGCTTCTACAACAGATTTCAGCAAGAATAATAATAAACACCTTTTACCACAGATCTCGATAGCATCAGTAGTAGTTGTCTTTCTACTACAGATTTCAGGTTTCAAGCATGCGACATCTGACAGTTGTCAGGTTGGATCATTAGGTATAGCAACTCCCACATCCAGCATGTGCCTCACAAATGTATATATATCAGGCTGGGAACACTAGGTTCTCACCATGCTCTCTTAGTCAATTGAGTGTATTTGTTTCTGTCTATAACTAGCAGTGACATCGTACTCAGACTCTCCCTGATCGCCAGTATCGGGACCCAAACTTCAACAGTCACAGGGTCTGCGCAGAAGGTCCTGCGCAGAAGATCTGAAGCGGGCATTGGGTGTTGACAATCTGATTGGGCATGTTGTGCACATAAATTGTGAGATCAACCATGTCATGGGTTTCTGATTAATCTCACCAAAATTGATCAGAATGAGCCTATTCAGTAGGTTTTACCAAATGTGCTGCACAAAGCTCCCATCAGTACAGAACAGGTTGATTATTCACAAAGGAGCAATGAGCAGATTGGAAAAGGAGGGTCCCAATGCTAGAAGACAAGGGAGTCATACAGGAAGTGATCACATGCAAGGAAGGGGACCAAGCTCAGTGTCATGTGGTTGGTTATCACACAGGGGGGCATGCTCACAACCACATGGAGCCTGCCACAGGGGCAACCACATGGTCAGGGAGCATGACAATAAGGTCTATCACATGATCAGGGGATTCACAAGATAAGGGATCAGAGGATGGTCACTGGTTAGGAGGAAGGAGAGCTGTGTCAAGGAGACCAGGGAATAACCCATGAGGAGGAGGAGCAGTGCCAAAGAGGTCGACATGCTTCACCAGGTGAAGAGGAGCAAGGAGACAGGGGGCAGTGTAGAACGAACTGACACACTGTCCAAGCAGAAGAAGAGCAGTGTCAAAAGGGCAACACACAGCTCAAGGAGAGGAGGAGCGGTGCTGGAGGAGGTTGATAACCCTCCTCAGGAGGAGCAGGAGCAGTGTTGCAGGCGACACCGAACAAACACATAAATACTCTCATTTCACCATAGCATACGAGTGGATCCTCATCCACTCTACTCTATGCTTTCTTACTCTTCACTTAGTTATGTGCTGCACGTGACTTGGCGTGCACATCTGAGCACAGGCCACACGTGTCACAACCTGCTCAGTCGGTTTAGACGCTTTGTTTTGGTCTGTGCTGTCGCAACCGACTCAGCCACTCAGTTTTGTATATATAGGCTTCATTTCACTCCTTGCTCTCTCCTTCCTACCACCATCTCCTCTTCTCGCAAGAGTCACGCAACACCGACCTTGCTAAAACCTTCCTTTTTGACTCTCCTCCTCGACTTCTCCTCTTCTCTCCTCCTCGCCCCTCCTCCTCTCCCCTCCCTTCTCGACCTCTCCTCTCCCCCTCCTTGTCACAGGGTCTGCGCAGAAGGTCCTGCGCAGAAAGGATCTAAAAGCAAGCATCGGGTGACGACGATCTGATCGGGCTAGCTGTGCACATAATTCGCGAGAGCAACCGCAACCTAAGGTTTTGGTTAATCTCATTGGGATTGACTGGAACAAGCCAGCCAGTAGTTTTCACCAAAATGTGCTAACCAGAACCATCAGTACAGAACAGGTTGTCCAATGAAGCAATGGAGGATTGGAAAAAGGAGCCCTGGCACTGGGAGACTAAGGAAGTATACAGGAACAATCACATGTGAGAAGTGGTCAAGCTCAGGATCATGCAGATGGTTACCACTCAGGGGGACATGCTCACTGCCATGTAGAGCCAAACACAGGGGTGACCACATGACCAGGGAGCTTGACAATAGCGTTTGGCATGCAATCAGGGGATCACAAGATGGGGGATGGAAAGATGGTCACTGGTTAGGAGATGGAGACCTGTGTCAAGGAGACCAGGGTCTGCCCATAAGGAAGAGGAGCAGTGTCAAAGGGGTTGATATGTATTGACAGACATAGAAGAGCATGGAGGCTAAGGGGCAGTGTCAAACAATCCAACACACTGGCCAGGCAGCAGAAGAGCAGCACTGAAGGAGCTGACACACAGTTCAAGGAAAGAAGAGAAGTGTCAGAAAGGGGCAATAACCCCTTCTGGAAGAGCAGGCAAAGTGTTGCAGGCAACACTGAACAAACACATAAATACTCTCATTTCACCATAAGCATATGAGTGGATCTTCATCCACTCTACTCTATATCTTACTACTTGTTACTTGACTTTTAGTTACATATCATTGCAATAGCAGGGCTTTGCAACAACATCTCAAATGTGTGTGTTGTATCACCATCAGATGTCAACTGTAGGCAGTGTTCCCCAAACACTTGCAGTCCAGTTCACCAGTGTTGCTCAACACTTGCAGTCCAGTCATTTACTGAAGGTGGTGTCTAAGCACCTGTGGTCCAGTACTTCTCGTCATCTGTAGGCAATAGTCTCATTGCAGTCCAGATGACATCAAGAGCATCAAGCAGCAGCACTACAAACACTTGTGCTGTATTAGGAGAGTCATATCTGGCACCACTCTCATACCAACATGTTATGGATGTGCCACATAGCCTCTGAACAGAGTGTTCAGGGTGGTCAGTCGAAACCTACCAGAACTCAACCTTCTGGTTACTTTCAATCAAAACATACCAAATAAGATCTTGCCAGTTGATCTCACCAAAATCAACTGGAAGCACCCAAACTGGTTTCAGGCGCGCAACCGCTTACACTCCTCTCCTCTCCTCCTCGACTTTCTCCTCTCTTTCTGGACTCCACTCCTCTCCTCCTCAACCCTTCTTCTCGCCCCAGCGCTCTCACCTTCGACATCTTCTCACCATCACGTCACCCATTTGCCATCACGACCACTCCTCTCATCACTCAGGTCTCCACCATTCCTCAACTCACGTCAACCCACCCACCCCCATCTAGGAACCTCTCGGACTCTCACCTTCTCCCAAGACCTTTCGGCACTACCACGCTCAGGACGCAACCTTGTCATCGACCTCCTCTGGCATGACCGCCTCTCAGTCCTGCTCTTCCTGCGGACAATCTTACCCCACCAACCACTTTGTAAGTCTACGCAACCGGCCCTGTGTGCGCTGCGCTGCCTGTAGACATTCCCAGCCAGCGCTGCTCCTCTCTGTTGCCACCCCTGCTCCTATCTCGGGCTCTGGCCCCAACCTCTCGGACTCCACCACCTCGGACCCGACCACATCAAATCCCACCACCTCGGACTCCAACAACCCAGAAACCAACTCCTTTTCCCACCCCACACAGTCCTCCCCGCCAACCACTACCACTCCCAACAACACCTCCATTGCTGCCAACAGCACCCTTGCATGATTAGACAATCAGGCTGAAACCCTCTCTCAACTGGCCGTGTCCTTCTCTGAACTCCACCATCTGGTTCAGGCTCTGCACCACGATCTCAGCAGAACTCACCAACCCCCCACCAGCATTCCCTCTACCACACCTGCCCCACACAGCGCGCCACCCACATCCACCTTTCCAACAGCACCGCAGTCCTTCTCGGGACCTGCCCTGCCTTCTGGTGAGAAAAAAAACTCCGACAACCTTTCCTGTGGCTCTCGAAAGAGGTAGCTGTCAGAGGTTGCGCACCTGAAACCCGAAATCTGTAGTAGAAAGACAGCTACTACTGATTCTATCGAGATCTGTGGTAAAAGGTGTTTATTATTATTCTTGCTGAAATCTGTTGTAGAAGCCTTCTATGACTTTTCTCACTCAAATATGTTGTAATTGATATCTATTGTGGATTTTGACTGACCACTGGGGACACTCCATCCAGAGGTAGCTTGGCATGATCAATAGCCAGTAGATATGTTGCAATGACACCAAGGTCTGGTGCCAATGAGGTTGCTTCAACACAAGTGTCCAGTGTGTCAACTGAATGAGAGATGATCCCCAGACTGCAGTGGACAACTGCCTTTGGTTCTATGATCAAGAGAGCCAGACTGCAGTGTGAACTGCCTTTGGTGTCAATCGTTATCCAGACTGCAGCTAATACTGCCTTCAGATGATGTCAATGAGCGGTGATACAACACACACACTGCAATAGAAGCAATGTTATGTGATTGCAACTTGTTGATGGAACACTAAGTATACTTGTTGTAAAGTGATAGCTAGTAAGATATGGTGTAGAGTGGATGGCGATCCACTCGACTACTATGATGAGGAGCATGGTTATATAGGTGTTATCACACTGTCGCCTGTGACATTGTGTCAATGGTCTCTACAGAGGTGCCCCCTCCTCGTCGAGCACTGCTTCTCCTGCTCCTGTGTCAAAGAGAGCCAGTGCTACCTCATCACTGATAGGGGTCACTCCCACTTCATCCAAGTGTGAAGTGCTCCTTCCTTCATCATGCTCCTCTACAACGATGCCCACCTTCCTGTGCTGCATTCATCATTGTATTGAGTCCCTGCTTCATTGGGTGGTGAGCCCCTTCTTCATCTGTTGCCCACCTGCTGCAAGATTGGTAAAAGATACATCCTCAAACCAGTCTCCATGAGATCTGTTGTACAAGCTTGATGCTGCTGATCCTGACAGATTCTGTAGTAAGGCCTTGCTACTGCAGATATCAACAAGATCTGCCATAGAGCCTTTGAACCTACTGATCTCAATGAGCTCTGTCAGAAACCTCTCATAGCCCAATCGACGATTGTTGTGCATGGACACTTCATCTGACTCCAGTTCTTCCTGTGCATCCATCCGATCCTATTACAGTAGCCCAGCTGGTCTACGAGGACCGACTGCCCCTGCACGACCTTGGGAAGCTTTGCAACCCAGCCAAGGTCCCAACCTTGAAGGAAACAGAGCTGGGTGTTCTGGTCAATGGTGTTTGTGTTATGGTGCCCAAGCCTGCCACTGTTGCCTCCTCTTCAAAAATCTTTCTCCACCTTCTCCCCAATGTCCACAGCTTTGCCCAGGCTTGGACAGTGTACATGTCTCTATGCTGCACCTACACAAATGACCCACACCTGAGTGCCAGCCTCTGTGCTTTCCTTGTGCATGTGATTGACTTGGACATCACATTCCTCTGGCCAGCCATTGTGGAATACATGCTTGCCATCTGTTGCCATCATTTTGGTTTCACCACCACCAGTGACTGGGTAGTGAAGGACCTGGATGCTTGGCAAGAGGAACTTGGTGGTGCCCCCCAATGCTCCATCCAACTCCACCCCTCCACCACAAAGACCACCACCACACCCTCTCAGTTGCCCCTGGGCCCCAAAGGACTGTGCACTGAGCCAGGTATCCAGGTGTGTTTCCATTTCAACAACTCCAGCTGCAACAACCCTAAGTGTTCCCAACCCCACCTCTGTCTGCACTGCAAAGGCAAGCACACCTTCAAGGACTGCACTGAACCTGTGGCCAAGGAGACCTCCTCCTAGCCAACATGGTCAGTCTCAACCCCACCCAGCCTCTCCCACCTTGCGAGGTGATCACGTCTCCACAGCAGACACAGGCTCAGCTCAGCTCCAGCCACAAGCTCCTTCTGTCTCCACAGCAGACTCAGGCTTGGTGCCTCCAACCAACTTTGTAATTGCTGCTGCTGCAGACCCCAGTTCAGTCCCTGTCTCTGCAGCAGACTAAGGCTCAGCTCTCAACCCTCAGTCCAGTCAAATCATCTCTGCAGGTTCCTTCCCCTGACCAATGCCTTGCTTTTCTCCTTGCCACCCACCTCTGCTTCCCTCCAGCCTGGCCTAACACCACCTTCACCCATGATGTCTTCAACCCTACCTCTTCCCCTGCTCGCTTTGGATCCATGCAAGCACAATTGCATGCATGGCAAGACTTGCTCATTGGCTACCCCAACCCTCAGTTTGCCCACAAGATCACAGGCATGATCCAATTTGGGTGCCTGCTTGGCTACAATGGACCACTATGCAACACCTCCCATCACACTCCTAACCTACCCATTGACAAGGATGGGCATGCAGATCTCCACTGCGAGATTGCTGCCAGACTTGAGGAGGGCCACTTGTCCATTGTCCAGCCCAACCCACCCTTGGTTGAATCTCCAATTGGTGTTGTGCCCAAACCTTGCTCCTCAAAGCTCCAGACCATCCACCACCTATCTTTTCCCTGCTGGCCAGTGCCCAGCACCCTGCCATCAATCAACAATGGTGTCAACCCTGCCTTTGTTGCCATCTGATATGAATCCACCCAGTCTCTAATTGACTATGTTCACAATAACCCTGGTTGTCTGCTCTGGAAGGGAGACCTGGAGGATGCCTTCTGCCATGTAATTACAGCCAAAGTTGACGCTTCCCTCCTTGGCTTCCACTATGATGGTGTTTGATACTGGGAGAATGCCCTCACCTTTGGTGGCAGCAGTTTGCCTTTCCTCTTCAACTTAATTGCAGAGGCTCTACATTGGGTTGTTGCTTCATGTCTACCTGTGGCCTGGCCCCTCAACCATTACCTTGACAACACTTTTGGTGCTGTCCCAGCCAAGGCCCATGACCTCTCCCTCCTACCTGTCCATGTCCTTGTCCTGGCAGCTGCTGCTCTGGGACTATGCTTGTCTGCCAAGGAGACCTTTGCTGGCCTCACACACCTAGAGGTCCTAGGCATCGAGGTTGACTCTGTTGCCCAAACAGTTGGCATCACCAAAGACCAATGCATGCACATCCTCTTCCAGTGCCAAAAGCTCCTTGAGTGCAGCACTGCTGGCATCCTCAACATGCAACACATCTCTGGCCTTCTCCACTTTGTCTCCCAGATCTTCCCTTGTGGCAAAGCTTTCCTCTGTTGCCTGTATGATTGCACTTGTCACTCTCACTGGCTGTTCTCTCATTGCCAGATTCCTTGCCCCACTCTTGCTGAGCTCAGCTGGTGGTCCACTGTACTCCACTCTTGGTCTGGCACTACAGTCTTATTGCCCTCCCCCCTCCTCATTGCCCATGTATGGACTGATGCCTGCCCCCACAGCTATGGTGCCCACCTTGGTGCAGCTGCAGCACCAGTGGCTGTCTTCTCTTGTGATGTGCCTCATCGCCACTGTGGCAAAAATATAAGGTTTCTGGAGGCTCTGGCAGTCATTGAAGCTCTCCAACAGTTCTCCAATCACTGGACTCAACCCATGACAGTGGTGGTCCATGTTGACAACAAGAACATCAAGCACAGGCTTCGCTCTGGACAATCTCAAGACCCCCTCACTCAATGCCTCCTCCTTGAGATCTACAGGTTCTGTTTTGTACACAACCTCACCTTGCCCCTGGTGCACATGACTTCCATTGACAATACCCTTGCTGATTTCCTCTCCCAATGCCAGTTCTCCTGCCTGCACAAGCAGTTCCCTCTTGCTCACCACCTGTTGTTCTCCCAGCTGGCACCCAACAACCACACACTCAACCCCCAGCCTCCTTTGCCTCCAGCATGGGACTCTCGCCAGCAGCGGCCTCTCTGCTCTGGCATGGTCTTGCAGCCAGCACCCGCGGCTGTGCTGGTGGCCTGTCACCACTCTAATGTCAGAGGTCTCGCGCCTGAAACCTGATATCTGTAATAGAAATGTGTCTATTACAAATCCTGTTGAGATATGTGATAACATGTTGTGTATTACTGTTCTTGTCGAGATATGTCATAGAGAGGACTCTATGACTTTCCTCGCTTGAACCTGTGGTAGATTGATTGCTATTGCAGGTTTCAACTGACCACTGTGGACACTCTGTCCAGAGGTAGCTTGGCATGATCAATAACTATTAATGTATTATGATGACACCAAGGTCTGGTGTGAATGATGTTGTTGGTGTCAACATGAGTGTCCAGTGTGTTGACTGAGTGCTTGAGGTGATCCCTGGACTGCAGTGGATGACTGCCTTTGGTTCTATGATTGTGAGCTGGACCACTGGTTGCTATGAACCACCTTTGGATGTCAGTGAGCTGTGATATGACACATATGCTACAATGGAAGCAATCTATTATGATTGCAACTTGCTGACAGAAACTAAGTATACTTATGCTGAAGTGATAACTAGTTTGTATGGTGTAGAGTGGATGGGGATCCACTTGTATGCTATGATGAAGTGAGAGTATTTATGTGTTGGTATGGTGTTGCCTGTGACACCACTCCTGCTCCTCCTGAACTGTATGTTGACCTCTTCGACACTGCTCCTCCTCATGACCAATACACTGGTGTCTTCAACACAGCTCTCCTTCCTCCTAACTGGTAATGGTTCTCCTGACCCCTATCTTGTGAACCCCCTGTGTGGTAACTAGCTATGTGTTTCCGAGCCTGGTCCCCCTCTTGGCTGAGCTTGGTCCTGCTCCTCACATGTGGAACCTTCCCCTTGACGATGGAGACCTTTGTCAGGGGTCCCATCTCCGTCAGGGGTCCGTCCCACTTCATCCAGTGGCAACCTTCTCCCTTGTTTGCCTTCCTCCTCTCACCGTATTGGCGATAGAGGCTCCTCTCAAACTGATTCTCGTGAGATTTGTTGTTCTTAGCATGGTATTACCATCTCCACTGAACTCTGTAGTAATGACCTCGTTCCTGCTGATCCTGATGAGTTATGCCATAGAGTTGTTACTACTACCAACTTCAGTGAACTCTGCCTTAGGCTCTTGCTTAGCCCGATCCTGCGATTTCTGCACTCCTCTTCATATGAAACCAGTTCTTCCTGCGCATCCAACACCTTGGCCAACTTGCCACCCCACAATTGCCAGGTTTACAAAGCAGCCTTTACCCTTGCCTTTGCCTGCTTCCTCCACTCCAGGGAGGTTGTGTGGGAATGTTCCTCTGATCCAGCTGTCATCCTCTGGGTGGCCAGTGTGGCCTTGGAACCTGACTATGTGGTCATCACTCTCCCAGCCACAAAGGCCAACCCCTTCCAGCTTGGCATCAAGGTAGTCACCCCCCTTGTGGGTGGGCCCAAGTGCCCCATCTCTCACCTCCACCCTTTGCTCTCCCACCCAGCCTCCTCTCCCCTCTTTGGCCTTGGCCCCTCCAGATCTGCACCCCTCTCTTGCTCTGCCTTTGTCTCAACACTCTGACAGGCAATTGCAGCTTCTGGCCTCTCCCCCTTGGCCTATGCTGGCCACTCCTTCTGCCATGGTGCTGCCACCTGGGCTGCCAGCCTTGGTGCTGATGCTGACACCATTCAGTGTCTTGGCTGATGGAACTCCAACTGTTTCCAGTGCTACATTGACTGCTCAGTGGCAGAGTGTCAGGACCTCTCCATCACTGCTCTCTACTGTCTTTGGGATGGCCTGCTCATCCCCCACACTGCCTCATGGCACAATGTGGGTTCCTCCTAAGCTGCTCATATTGGCCCCATCCCTGTCAAGGCTGCTCTCTGCTGTGCAGGTGACTTGACACTTGGCTGGCAGGCTGGGAGCCTTTGAGCCAGCAAGCCACCTTGCTGACCCGCAATCTAACAGGACCTCTGTATTGTCTTCTGCAACGACTGACTGACCCTCATCTTACGGCCGTGTGAGGCAGGCTGGCACATTCTCGGAACGCGGAAGTGAGTTTTCTCAGGGTCAGGCTGCGAGTCCGGCGGCTAAATTGAAGGAGTGTCACCTCCACGTCAAGCTCAGCAACACCATCTTCGCCATCTCGAACAAGCGTTCTTCACCCGAGCAAACACTAACACTTATCCTCAAGCTGTGATGACCTCGACAGACTAAGGCGACTGCTGAGTCGGAGCGACCGCCCTCTTTCGACGCCATGCGCATCCAGATATCTTGGCCGGTGGCCTTGATCGTGTCAGCACAGCTCCTCGTCCCGACCCACACGCTTTCCCTTTTGGATTCGGGAGAGTCACTGGAGACAGACAAGGCCGAATCAAAGGTCAACTCCGCTCGTCAAGACCGTGAAGGCCATGTCGCTGCCGTCAACCAGCAAAAGACCTACAAAGGCACCCTGGTAGTGCCAGATGAAACGCATGTAGGCATCACTCACGCCTGCAGAAGATCCACCGACTTCTTCCAACACCTCTGTAACCGCCCGCTCGGGGCCTCCGCAGGAGATGGGAGTCAGGATTACTCGAATGTCCTGGCGCCAACCGTGACCGCCGACCTTCTTGTTTGCGACGTTCCCAAGATCGAGCCGCTGCTCCGTCCTGACTCAGATGCTCAAACGTCTCAGAAAGCACCGAGTGCCACCTACGCCGTCTCAGGTACGGTTGTCATTCATGCAGCGGACTCTGATGTCAGCGTTCACTCCCTTGGACTGCCGGAAATCGGTGACACCACCGCCGCATCGACCAACGACAAGGCTCCTGCACATGAAGGTACAAAGGAGACCACTTATCCCGGGCCGAACGATGAAGGCTTCTGGAGACAGAGAGATGGCAGACACGAATGGCATCCCGCCTCTGGTCTCATCACTTCGCTTCAGGGCCCGGATCGTGAAAAGAAGAATGGCGACAAGCGAGAACCTATGCAGGCTGACGTTAAGTCGGGCCGTTTCCCGGAGCCACCTCACAACAGCGAATACGACGCCTGGTCGGCCGAACAAGAGCAAGGAGCCTTCCTGAGTTTCAACGAATGGAAGGAGCTTCATGCTCAGAATCCCTCCGCCAGTGTAAGAGATCTTCACTCGAGTACTGCGCGCAAGGCTTCGCAAGACACTTCCACACAAGTGCAATCACCCTCTCCGAACGCGACACCACGGAGGACTGGTAGTGACGGTGATCACGTACATGGCGAATGGGATAAAAAGCAATTGCATACCTCCTCCACCCAGCTCTCGACCCCGAGCGAGATCAGCACAGCTCCAGGAGGGCCTTCAACTACAACAACAGCGCCAGAAGACTCTCCGTCACCCAATACAGATGTTTCCAGCGGGCAGTCATCCTCAGCAGATAGTTCAGATGCGCCAGTGGCAAAGCAGGCTAATGCGGAGCAAGTTGGTTTCAGCGTTGCCAGTGGCGACACAAGTGCACAGCTGTCCAAACTCAAGCACCGCTGGAACTTTGCCTCGTTGGATTGCGCTGCAGTCGTACACCGAACTAATCCAGAAGCCAAATTTGCCAGCTCCATTCTGAGCGAGAAGAAGGACCGATACATGCTCTCTCCCTGTCCGCAGCCTAGCAGTAAGGTCAAGGGCGCCAGTCAGTTCGTTATCGTCGAGCTCTGCGAGGAGATCAAGATCGACACGATTGTGCTCGCCAATTACGAGTTCTTCAGCAACATGTTCAAGAAGTTCACAGTCACCGCGGCTCGTCAGCTCACCGGTCGCGAGAGTGATTGGGCTCAGTTAGGAGTCTTTCGCGCTCGAAACGTTCGAGGTCAGCAAGTGTTCCGTATACCCTCTGCGCCAAGGTCCGAAGCCTTCTTCCGATACGTGCGCATTGACTTTCTCGAGCATTTTGGTAGCGAATTCTACTGTCCTGTCAGCTTGCTCCGAGTCTACGGCATTACCGAGATGGAGGAATACAAGAGAGAGTTCGAAGCGCATGACGCAGACCCCGATTCTATACCAGAGGTGATCGGAGCGATCCAGAACACTGTTGACGACGCTCAAGTGCCAGCGCTCGATCCGCTACCTGCCGTCCCGCAACCAGAGTCATTACTGCGTGAACCCTACGTCAATCTAGATGCGGCCAATTTGACAGCGAGAGACGAAGACATTTGGCGTAAACACGAACAAGCCTTTCAAAGGAAGCTGCAGAACCAAAGCGTCGTGCATGATGTTGCTGAGACCGAGCTAACAGAGGTTGCAACGCCTCAGCTCGACCTTGTTTCTCCGCCCGCCACACCTCAGCCCGGAAAAGCACCCCTGGGGCTGAGTCAGTTGGCGCCTGCTTCAAGTCATGGCAACACAGTGGACGATGTCGAGACTGCCCAATGCGCCATCGAGGATGATCCGTCTTTACACAGGTACAGTAGGGATCGATGCATTGTTCCCCGACGTCAACTTCGGCCATTCCACCATCTAGAAACCGCTGCCCTGCATTACAAGCAACTCAAACGACAAAAATTGGCTTCCGATCCATCCCCACACGTCAAGACGAATGGGAGCTTAAAAGATGCGCCAACTGGCGTGCGTCAACCCGTTGCATCTGCTGAGGCAGATGTGGACGTCAACAGAGGCCGAAGGCCTTCGGTCCAACGCGCACCTGGCACGCCTCAAGCCCATGGCAATCCCGGCACTGAATCCGTCTATCGCGCCATTCACAGACGTTTGAATGCACTCGAGTCTAACGCCACCTTGAGTCACAGCTATATAGAACATAGCGGACAGATGCTGCGCGAGGTCTTTGCACGTATGGAGAGGCGTCAGGAACTACGCATGTCTGATATGCTCCGCGCTTTGAACACGAGCAATTGGCAGCAGATTGAATCTCTCAAGAGAAGGCAGCATGTCGACCTTCAACGTGCCATTTTCGAATTTGATGTCCATCGACAACAAGCCGATACCGAACGACGAGCGCTTCTCCGCGAAGTGCACATCCTGGCAGAAGAGGTTCTCCTTGAAAAACGGCTGTCCATAGCACAGCTAGTACTGCTGCTTGTCGTGTTTGTCTTCGTGGGGATGACCAGAGGTTCCAGAACCGTACCTTTGCTGCATTCGGGTTTTGCCAGGATCCGGCGTAGCTCGAAGCGGCGAGAGGCCATGCCAGACGGCAAGTTGGTTCTACCCACTTCTCCGAGGCGAGATTCTGCCCGCATGGAGCAAAGCTTTGACGCCCGACAGGCTCATTCTTCTCCCTTGCGGACTGAGACGCCAAGCCAAGGACGGAGTGAAGCTAAGCCTGGGTCTGCCACAAGCCCCGATCTCGCCACTCAGAACATGCGTCTCAGCGCCGAAGCGGTGACTCCCGCACGCAAGAATCAGAGCTCGTCACTCACTCCCAACGTCGTAAACAAGGTGGTCAGTCCAAAAGCAGCTACGAGCCTACATTCGAAGGCCGCAGCGAAGGTGGCCGTTGGCAGTCTTTCGGGTCGATCGCGATTGCGCGGAGAAACTCTCGTTGGCATTCTCTCTCATCCTCGTACTAGAGGGCGTCTGGTCATACTACTAGAAACCTTAGACGCATTGGACCGGATAGCGGATCGTCGAGGTCTGCAGAAAGATCCCGTTGCTAGACCTGTGGTCGGACGTCGCAAGGCTGGGGAGATCGGAATGAAAGGAGCACCCGCCCTGCATCCAGAGTTGGGCCTGCTTGCCTCGGCTGCGCCGGGAGAGGTGCGTCGCATCTCACGCGCTCACAGGCCCTCGCCAGCCGCCAAACAGGAGCACGTTCATACAGGCATCCGACGCTTGGTGACACCCGCGCAAAACAGAACAGCAGCACTGTCTGGCTTCGACGACTTTGCGGGAATGTCATCTGACTGGACAGAGAGGTCAGAGAATGGCGAGGTATCGGAGAACGCAGCGTCCATGTCGGATGACAATGAAAGAGACATCAAGACATCAGGCGCTGGTCTCTTCAGCTTCGAGTCAACATTCGGGTCGAGGTCAGAGGCACCGCTCGGTCAAGACGGTGTAACTAAAATCCGGCCTCTTTCACCGACAAAGGCTCACTCAGTTACTAGAGCAGAGGCGACCCTACCAGCAAAGACGTCTCGAACAGCGCAGTCTGAAGAGGGCCCTTTGAAGACACGGCAGCTTAAAAGCCATGATGCAACTACGATGTCGTCTTTGCCAAGCATCACAAAAGCAGATGGTCGATTATCGAGTTCAGACTCGGAATCGGAAGGCGGAGCTTGGCATAAGGTTTTGCCTCGACGCATCGGTAATGGCTCAAGTCTCCGCAGAGCCAGGCAGAACACGATTGATGGCAAAGCAAACAAGTCGGATGTGCTGCCCAAAACTGGCGTGAAGGCAGAAGCACCAGATCGAAGAGATAGTCCGCGTCCGTCGTTGGCAAACGCCGTTGCTTCCAAGTCACAGAGAGCAGGATTGACAAGGCTGTTCCGTAGCGGAACGTCAGACTTTGCCTCTCTGGAATCGCCACAAAGCCGCCGTAGCGGTACGCCGGACACGATTCGCGATGTCAGGCCAATGTGAATCACTCATGCAATAAGACAGCAAGATTTTGCATCAGATCGAGAGTCTGTTTGAAAGTGTTTCTGCATCAAAGTTTGTCATGCTGCTTCTTCTTTGCAGGGAGAGTGGGTAGAGGTACAGTGTAAGCGTGGACAGGACTAAGGACATGGTATCATTGTTGGCTCTACAGACTGATACTAGTGAGAAGGCTATTCTTTGAGTTGTCCTGCTTTGCTGGAGGGGGCATTATTTCTTGCAGCCATAGACTTCTTGGGCGACTTGGAGGAATTGACTTCCGGGACAAGCATAGCTTGCAGCATAGTCGCGCTCCAGAGGATGAAGGCGTTTGCCGACAATGACGAGACTGTGCAGAGGCTCGCCGAAAGCTTTCTTGGCGCGAGCTTCGGCTCTAGCGGAACGTCTCTTATCGAGTTGAGCTTCACTTGCGAGTTGGTCTGCGTCGTCTTGAGCAACTTCTGCACGGGCCTCCTCCTCGGTAGGGTTGGCCATATCCAACAGCTCCTGCAATGTTCCAGAGAGGATGCGCTCTTGTTCTGAGCCCATTCTGCATAGAGCGATAGCGAGGGTGCGATCCGGGTGGAGATAGTCTGCCTTGTGCGATTGTGCTGCCGAGATGATTTGCGAAATGAGCTGGGGAATGAGCATGTAGCGGGGGTCCATATAGCGGAGAATGCCTCTGCTCATATCTTCTGCACTCTGCTCTCGAACCTTGATGTCAGATAGAGCCAACGTGTGGAGTCCCATGTGGAGATTCTCACCGATGCGTTCGAGCCAGCTGTCTGGCTTCCAGTCTTCAGTCCAAAAAGGAACACTGACTGTCTGACCAAAATTGTAACCAGCCAAGCCACTGGAACCAATCGCTGTCATGATGCTGGCATTGTGAATGATTTTGACGGGGATGGGCGGCGAGGACTGCCTTGCTCGCAAGATGAGGTCGGTATGTGTAGTGGCTGAGAGGGGATCGCCAACAACAAGGAAGGCGACGTTCGAGGTTGCGGCACCTTCGAGAATCGATTCGGCTTCGAGCTCGACTGTTTCGCGATGCGCCAGGATGACAGACTTTTGATACAGCTCCTCGAGACGTTCCTTGAACCCGGGGACCATAAGTATGCTTGTGTAGCTCTCAAGATAGATGCGCTCGGAGGATTTCACGGCTTCAAAGCCTTTGAGAGTGATGTCATTCTCGTCTGCGAGTCCGAGACCGATGACGTAGAGAACCATCGTAGAGAGCACCCTTAGGTACAAGGTGATGAACGATGTAGCGGGGCTATGCAAGACAACGAAAGGGTGCTCTGTGTAAGGTAGAAGCAGGAGGTATCGTTGTAAGAAGGTAACTGACGATCAAGGGTTTCCAGTGGAGGCATTACAACTTTTTCTCCTTGAAATTTGGGATTGACCTGTGAAAACCGTGTTAAGCCGAAACCCGAGTTCCGCAACCCGAGTTCCGAATCCCGAATTGATAGACCGAGAGGACTGCAGTCGTGCGAGAAATGACTGTGCGTTGTACTCAGCACGGACCACCTTCACAAAAGGTTCTCGGTGTGCAACGGTGAATAGCAACCAACACCTTCAATAGCAACGTTGTACAACACCTTCAATAGCAACGTTGAACAACACCACTTGTTCTTACATTCCACATCCACTCAGCCCTGGTACATGCTCTCTACGTCGCCTCACCGCGCTTTCTACTTACGATGATGGTCAAGGGTCACTGGAAGCGCACTTTGCTGTGTGCGTGCCTGGTCGTCTTGGGTGCCCTGCTTGCTGATCAAGCTCAGGCTGTGCAAGAAAACGACTTCAAAAAGTGCCGCGATTCCTCCTTCTGTCGCAGGATCCGAAGGCAGTCCGACTATGTCGAGCAATGGCAACAAGATCACAAGGCTCCCTTCACTTCGCCGTACTACATTCCAAGTCATACCCCCAACTTCGTGCACACCAATGCCAGCATCAGTCTCCCATTGGCATCTGCGCTTCACCCTGACATCGAGTTCGAGCTTTGTCTCACCTTCTTCAAAGATGGAACAGCTCGTGTGCGAGCGGATCAGGTGGGTCAGCGCTATGGTGGCTGGAAGCGCTACGACGAAGCGTCAAAGTGGGCTATCGAGCAACTCCCCGACCTGGCCTCGGCGCCATCGGATACCAAGATTGAGACACACAACGACGGCTTTCAGGTTGACTTTGGTCCGCAGCTTTCACGGTCTGTCAGGTTGGCTTATTCGCCCCTCAAGATCGAGATCTTGCGAGAAGGTCAAGTTCAAGTCATCCTCAATGACCGCGGGCTCATGCATCTCGAACACTACCGAAAAAAGCCAGAGCCGTTCCCGACAGTAAAGCAGGAAGACCAAGAGGTGCAGCAGCTCGTCTTTCAACGCAACAAGAGGTCTATCCTCAGCTCTTCATCCGCCGCTCAGTACAGCGAAAACCTTGTGTCCCAATGGGCAGGCTTCGAGCAAGAGGACCAAGGCGAGTGGGAGGAGACCTGGGCCTCTCGTCGTGACAGCAAACCCAAGGGCCCCGAAGCTTTGGCCTTGGACATGACCTTCCCCGGATACTCTCATTTATTTGGACTTCCCGAGCATGCCTCACCGCTCTCTCTTCGCTCGACAAGAGCTCCCGTGGGCCGCAATGCTGCTGAAGACGAGAAGGACCGCTTCAACGAGCCCTACCGACTCATGAATACCGACGTCTTCGAGTACGATCACAACTCACCCATGAGTCTGTACGGCAGTGTTCCTGTCTTGCATGCTCAGAGCAAGGATCGTGCTGTCAGCGTCTTTTGGCTCAACGGCGCAGAGACCTGGATCGACTTGCACAAGTCCAAAGCCTCCAAATCCTCAGACATCACCTCCTACTCTCACTTGCTCTCCGAATCAGGCATTCTTGATCTCTTCATCTTCACCTCTGCGAACGCGCAAACCAACATGGCCCACTTTACAAAGCTCGTTGGTCGAACCGTGCTTCCACAATACTTTGCAATCGGCTATCACCAGTGTCGATGGAATTACCTCACCGACTCGGATGTCAAGGATGTCAGTCAGCGCTTCGACGACGAAGACATTCCTATGGATGTCATGTGGCTCGACATTGAGTACAGCAAAGACCACATGTATGGCGTATGGGATGAAAAGGCTTTTAAGGAGCCTGAAGGTATGGTTAAGGCGCTTGACGACAAAGGCCGCAAACTTGTCATCATTATCGATCCTCACTTGAAGCGCACTCGCGACTACTGGCTCTACTCTGAGGCTCAGGACAAGAAGCTGCTGGTCAAAGATTCAGACCACAAGGGCGAGTACGAGGGTTGGTGCTGGAGTGGAAGTGCCAGCTGGCTCGACATGTTCGAACCGGCCAGCTGGAAGTGGTGGGCCGATCAATTCTCCTTGGCAGGCAGTAGACTCACTGGCAAGATCCGAGCCAATGCACGCAACGTCTTTGTCTGGAACGACATGAACGAGCCTGCCATCTTCAATGGCCCGGAGGTCACCTCGCCCAAGGATGTCATCCATGCCGGTGGCTGGGAGCACCGAGACCTTCACAACATCAACGGCATCCTCTTGCACAATCAGACAGCTCGAGGTCTGCGCGATCGCGAGCTCTCGGTTCCCGCCTCGCTTGGTGGCGGCAAGCCGCGTCGACCCTTCGTCCTTTCGCGCGCCTGGTGGGTGGGAACACAAAAGTACGGCGCCATCTGGACGGGTGACAATCTTGGCACATGGGAACACCTCGCTGTGAGTGTTCCCATGATCCTCGCCAACAACATGGGCGGCATGAGCTTCTGCGGAGCGGACATTGGTGGGTTTTTTGGCAATCCTCCACCTGATATGCTCGTGCGTTGGTACCAGGCAGGGATCTTTGAGCCATTCTTCCGAGCGCACGCCCACATCGACACCAAGAGGCGAGAGCCGTATCTTTTGGAGGAGCCTCTGCGAAGCGCGGTGAGGGACCTGATTAAACTGCGATACCAGATGCTTCCGATGTGGTACACAGCGTTCAAGGACAACGCTGTGACAGGTATGCCGGTGTTGCGACCTCAATTCTTCATGTTCCCCAACGACCCTGCTGGTTTCGAGATTGATAGACAGTACTATGTTGGCGACTCGGGTCTGCTTGTACGTCCAGCAGTCGACAAGGACGTCGATTCCGTCCAGGTCTACCTGGCCGAAGACCGACCGTACTACAACTACTTCACTCACGAAGTCTACCAAGGCGCTGAACGCGGTCGAACTGTCACTGTCCCTGCGCCCCTGACCGAGCAACTGCCGCTTCTTCACCGTGGTGGATCGATTCTGCCTCTGAGGGAGCGAGTCAGGAGAGCCGCCGAGCTGGGCCGCACAGATCCTTTCACACTCCTGGTCGCTCTGGACAAGCAGCAGCGTACGGGCAAGAGTGGATCGGCGAATGTCCTGGCCGAGGGAAGCCTGTACCTTGACGATGGACAGACGTACGACTTTGAGGAAGGAAAATTCGTTTGGCGTCGCTTCGAATGGACTCGGGACAGTGCCTTGGGCACACAATCGCTTCGCAGCATCGACGAGGCTGCTATCAAGATGGCGGATGAACAGCTAATTCTTGGAGACAGCAAGCAGTTACATCCTTACCAAGAGACTAACGACTTTGCGCAATCGATCAAAAGCGTCAGGGTGTCCAAGGTCGTCGTGCTTGGCTTGGAGCGAGAGCCAAAAGCAGTGCACATCCGAGGCGAGCGCATCAACGGTCAAAACAAGAGCTCTGCGATCGAGTGGAGCTGGAAGAGTGGTGCCAGTTCTTCTGGTAAAGGCACGGCTTTCAAGATGGGAGCCAATATCGCATCTGAGCTCATCATCAAAGACCCCGCAGTGCCAATTGTTTCGGACTGGGCGATTGAGTTTGAGTTCTGAAAGATCTTGAACACCGACAGCCTTTGTAGACATTACATACCAGACAATGAAAAGCACGTTCAGAACGTATGAGTGTGTGCTGAGCGAGCACATTTGAGCACTAAGCTGATTGTACGTCCTGCAATCCGAGGACGACATGCAACTTGAGCGCCTACGATAGAGAGAGGTCTCGGAAGAAAGTCTTACTTTCCAGCTCAGAGCGAAACGCGAAACGCGAAACGACGACTGCGAAACGACGAATGCGAAACGACGAGAATGCGAAACGCTGCTCGCCGCGCGTTAAGCGCGTTTCGCGTAGATGAGTGGAGGCGCGGCTCGGCAGAAGCTTGAATTTGACACATATATATATATCAACGAGATCCGAAACGGTGTTGCGATTTGTTCTTGCAGAACACCATCACATACCTCTACCGCAGCGAATCGATGGCATCAACCGCCAGATCTGCTGGAGGTGCTCCTAGATGTGAGGCAGGTGCGTCTCGACTTGGGCATACTGGTTCGAAAACGCTCTTGGTCAAACGTGCGTGCCACTTGGAGCAGCCGGATGGCAATTCCTGGTTCGGCACACACATCAACCCATCGATCGATTCGAGAGACGAGGGCAAACGGATACACGCGCAAGGAACGCTGGCGGATCGATATGCCGAGGCTTTGTGGCTCGGAGAATTGCACACCGGTCTGGGTTACTTGCTTGACTGCATCCAACGGCTAACACAATCACAGGAGCTCCAAGATGTTTTGTTGGGGCTGTGCCACTTGATCAGATCAAACAGCGCCATTGCACGGCGTCATAGAGCCGTAGGGAAGAAGCTCGCTCTTACCTCGGAGGAGTTGAAGGACACGGCTGCGTCCGAGTGGCAGGACCTTACCGAGTATGAGAGGATACTTGCGCAGCGCACAATCAGCAAAGACTCGTCGAACAAAGACATGACTCGGGCTAGCAGCATCGAACCGAGTACGGTCCGAGAGCGCTGGATATCAGCAATGGAAAGTCGAGAGTAAGCCAAATGCCAGAATAGCACTTCGGGGAAAGGCCAGAGGCTGAGTGAAGTATACTGATGTCGCCTTTGTTGGTTTTAACAGAATTCAACTTCAAATCTTGATCACAATGTGCCTCCTTCAGCTTGTCTCACAGGAACCAAGGGCTTTGGACGCTGCACGGGCTCGCATGACAGAAGGCACTAGTCCCAAGCCAACATGTCACCAGGCTGAATCAAAGCCGAATAAGGATACGGCAGCCGAACGGGAAAGCGAACAGCCGCGCAAACGATCACGAAAGCTGGAGAAAGCAAAGCGATGGCGAGGTACGAGACCGAATTCGGACCTGGGCGATGCATTTGCATGGAATCAGCAAGTACGACGGCGTCTTGCAACTGATGCCTCTGAGGAAGATGGAGAGGAGGGTGAAGAGGATGTGCTTGAGATGGAAGGTGGCCATGTTCTTACAGTGGACCATCTGAGTAAGAGACTGGAAGCTTTGGTGGATATCTTGTGTCTACGGCAGGTCGCATCAGGTGTTGGAGAAGAGATCGCAGATCTGCTTTCAGATATGAGAGCTGAGACGAGAGGAGATGACAGAGAAAGCGGAGGAGGGTCAGGAGGTAGAGCAAGTTTGTTCGGATCATCGGTGCGCAAGCTTGTAGAGCATGACGATATGGACGACGCACAATGGCTGTGTTCCAAGGTAGTTGAGCCGCACTTTGAGGCGAGTCTTCCTCGACAATGTTGGCTTTTCAGAAGCAAGTGCTTCGTTTCGCTGCAATCTCGAACACCAGCGCGCTCGAGGAAGAGTGCTCGGACAGGATCGATGAGCTCGCCGCCAATGCGTGCTGTCAAACAAAGCGCGAGCATTGCTCCAGAAACTTCGGTTTCGACACTGCCAGTGGCAAGGTTGTCGGATGTCCTGCAAAAAGAACAAGCAGGGAGAAGGGTCAAGCGAAACATCCTGGCCGAACGTTCAAGCATGCTTGGGCGCGCAAGAGAGGTGGACATGGGACCAAGGTTGTCTCGCAGCGTCAGTGCAACCTATGTATCGGGACGTGAATCGCAAGCGCCAAGCAGCGTCTTCTCGCGCAGCGGTACGAGCTCGGCATGGACGCAGCCAAACCATGGAGCCCAGTCGAACTTACTCGAAGCAAGCAAGGGACTCAGAGCTGGTGCAAATGCTGGCAGATCATCGTTGCAAAAGCCTGAGAGCAGTGCGAGCGTGCGATCGACAAGACTTTCTTGGACGCCTTTGTTCGCTGCTTGCTCTGCTTCTACGGGCTCATCGAAACGGCTGCTGGTCATGTCTACGCCACAGAAGGAGCCGGCGAGCAAGATGATCAACATGGCGCGCCTGTCAGAGCTGGAGAAGCCGCGACTGGTATTGCCAAGTCTAGTGATGGAGTCGCCAACACAAGAAGGACCGCGTTTGACAGGACAACGATCTAGGATTGCAGAGCGATGTGCATCTTTTGGCGGAGGGAGCAACTTTGCACCACAGCGTTCGCCTTCTCCTATCGCCCTGTATTCTGATGCAGACGATTGATGCCATGCTGTCGACCTGTATCCATGATGGGCAATCTTTGACAAGAAAGCCAGCATGGCGTTGAACGCAAGAAAGAATTCCGCAGCAGTGTGTTAGGCCAGCTGAGCGAACAGCGATTGCTTGCCAAAAAAGGCTTACCGCACGTGATGGCAGAATGTTCAGACGCGTTCAGCGTGACGATTCCACTGTTTGACAGCCGCGAAGAGAGCCAATGTTGACGCTCTTCTCAATGGCGTCGGGCGTTGAGGAGCGGATAAGCTCAAGTCGAGTCAAACTCGTTGTGCTGCCAAGAAGTGTGACCATAGAAAAGCGAACCAATCGTCTGAGCTTAAGCAAGCAACTTTCCCACGGTCGAGGATGGGGAAGGATCAGGCGGCTGAAGCCAACGGCACTGCCGAAGGCCACTTTGCCTTTGGATATCCCTCTCAAGTCGGAGGAGCCGACAGTAAAGTCAGCCGGCCAAGATGGCAAGCATGCTGCGGCTCAGGATGTAGTCACCTGAATCATCAACTCGGTCCATCCGAGGCTGGAGGAGGAGAAGGACGAGAGTGAGGCAGCTCAGCGCAGACTGAAAGATGCCAACCTGAGGCAGTTGCGCAGAGGAGCAAGGCAAAAATATAGATGTTCCGCAGCTCTCCTCTCAGCGCAATTTCACTCAGAGACAAAGACTCTTGTCCGGGAAGCGCCGTTGTTGCACTTCAGAGCAAAAGCAATTCTTTCCATGCTCTTGACCACCATGCTCTTGACCACCATCATCTAAACCACCACCCTCCTGCATCCTACTATTATCGCCAATCAAACACATAACAGCTTCTACTTTATCACCACCAAAGCAGGATTATCCTTCTTCTCCCTCCTCGCAACACACCTCACATCTTTATATTCAGCTTCGGGCATATGGAGACGTCGCCATGAGCGACCAACTTGCAGCTTCTCCCTCTTCCAGCAGTCTCTCTCCGGCCGCAGAACCCGCCACCGCATCAGCCATCTTGGGTACCAGCTCCAATGGCTGGTCTCCTCTCCGAACGGCTAAGAGGGGCACCACAGTCTCGTACTCCCCAACTTTGCCAGAGCACGGTAATGAAGAGCATTCCTCGCTACACAGTCCCAAAAGGGCCACTCAGAACTTCAAATCGCTTCGCAACCACGGCCTTGTCTCCAACAGCATCTTCAGACACTTTGATGGAGGAGCAAGTCAGCCAACCTCGGCCACAAACCCTCCTTTGGCCTCTCCTGGACGCAAACATATCTCTTCTTCTTCTTCCGTTGGTCTTGGCATCGGCCTCTCAAGCTCGCCTAAGTCCCTTGGTCAGAGTTTGAAGAAAGAAGCCTCGCCTGCGGTCGAAGATGCAGAAAACAGCAACCCTTTCAACCTCTATGCCACAGTCCCTGCTGCTAAGAGTCCACAGCGCAAGTTCCCTCGCAAGAGCTTGGGCAGACTTTACCAGTCCAACTACGTCAGCAATTCCCTTTTTCGCCAGCATGACGGTCAGCCGGACAATGTTGCCTCTCCTTGTTCTCCTCTCAGTAACCCGCGCACTGGTATCCAGCCTACATTTCAAGGCAGCCCAGTGACAACATCCAAAGGTCTCCTCACCTCAAACAGGCTTCATGGTCCCAGATTCATGAACGACCCGCCACAGAGCTCTCAGGTAGAGCTCGGTCCCAGCTCCCAGATCTCCAGCCCACTTTGTCGAGAACGAAGGAAAACAGTCACATTTGACGAGATTCTCGATGTTCAAGAGTTCGACAAGGAGAGCAGCTTTGATGCTGACAGTGTTCAAGATATCCAAGACGTCAACCATGTATCCGAAGATGCTGACTTCTGGATGCAGCAGCATGCATCAGCCTCTTCTCGGCCACCTTCGCACCAGCTCAAAGTAGTCAACCAGGACAACATGCATGCCTCTTCCGATGATGCTGCCGACCTCCTTTCCGGCGAATCCGAGCCTGACCTCTCCCACGACAGCCACGAGACTTGTTCCGTCGAGGCTCCACCTAGCCCGTCTCCTGCCGACTCAAGTCTGCAGCTACAGGATCTCTCGCTCGACCATGATCTTTCCATCCACCAGACATGCGCTCAAGAGGCCACCTTTGGTCCCGATCGGGAGAACAGCTTTGCTCGCCTTTCTGCTGCCGATCGTGTAGATAGCATGATGGACGAACTCCTTCGCGACGATATTCTTAACACTCCCAGCCTACGCTCCCGTCAAGTGGAGTCCAGCACACGTCAAATCCCAGCGACTCTTTCGACCCAGGTCGAGACTTTTGCACCCTCTGCTACCTCGATGCAAGGAGCTTTGCCACAGCTCCCCGCATGGACTCCAATCAGTCTAGACGTTGATGTTTCTATGCCTCTCCTCGGTGACTTTGGTCGTAGCCACACGCAGCCCGAGATTGCTCAGCCTCCTGTCTCAATTCCACCATCCACTACTAGAAGTCGCTCCGTCCGCGGAAGGCCACACATCTCTCGCGATGCCATCCTTCAACGTGTCGCTCGCGAAAAGCTCAACCAGATACAAGCCAAAGCCGAGGCAGAAACTCGGCAAGAATCAGCTGAAGAGGCTACAACTACTGACGTGCCCTCCCTCAAGCGCAACACTTCTCAGCAAAAGAGGATGCCGCGCGGAAGTGAGCCTGTTCCATCCACATCTTCTGCTCAGAGCAACGTTGCGACCCAGATCAAACCAACGCAAGCATCTAGGCCCAGCGCACCACTCCAGCTGATGCCCTGCAAGCCCGTTGCAACTGAAGTAAAGCCCATCCCTCCTCCGAGCCCCGTCAAGCAGCTCGATCATATCGAGAGTCCACTTGATTTGCTGGGCACAGAGTTGAAGGAAACCGCCGAGCTCAGTGGGCCTGTCCATCAGGATGCTGAGACCAAAGACACGCCGCTTTCCGCTGGGATTCCTCAGCTCGACACCATTGACTCAGGACACGCTGACCGACTGTTTTCCGGCCCACTCCAGGAATCGACAGACCAAACAGTGCAAGCAGCTCAGCCACTTGTTCACTTGACCCCCGCTCAGCAGGCTGACGCGATCATCGCTCGCCGTCGCAGCAAGAACGGCAAAGGCCACAGAAAGAGAAGCATGAGCACCAGCGATGCTCGACCCATCTTCACAGCTGCTGTCGCTGAAGCTGCTGACTTGGATGCCGGGAGCATCTCGTTTGTGTCTGAAATCAGCAATGAGCCTCCAGAGGAGCAAGTGGAGCTTCCCACCCGCCAAAGTATCAGTGCTGATCTTGCCAAGAGCAAAGCGATGCTCGACATCAGTCTTCAGCGCGCCATCGACGGCGGCTTCCAGAACAACATGGAGAAGGAGCTCAAACGCATCTATCAGAAAGTCGATTCCAACTACAACGTCAACGATCGTGGCGCTTTCCAAGGTATCGATGATAAGGTCACCCACTCGACCGCAGCTGGAGACGTAGATAGTGGCAAAGCCTGGAAGAAGCTGCGCAGGCCAAGTGACATCAACGAGTACAAGAAGGAGATGCGTGAGCTTCGTGAGGGTTCAACAGCTCGCAAGGCCTCGGGCAAGGTCTTTGTCATGGTGGATTCCTTCACGCCCACCGACCTACCAGTTCCCTCGCGACCCACTTCGTTCCACTGCATCCTCGACAATGGTCTTCACATGGTTAAGACGGCCACAGTACCTCTCCGAGCCGGAAGAGGCGCTGTCAGCAAGGTCAGTCAAGAGTTCGAATTGATCCAGCACAAGAACCTCGAGTTCAGCTTGACACTGGTCGTGCAGCGCGACGCACATCTCATGGAACCACAGCGTCCTTCCTCGCCGTCGCGACGAGAGCATGCAAGTCCCACGCTGAAGGGCCTCAGCCGCTTCTTCACCAGCCCCAAGAAACAGGCTGCAAAGAGGCAACAACAGGAACGTGAGGCTGCTGCTGAGTTGGCTGCGCAGGCCTCCCGAGCTGAGCCCATGCTCGCCTACATCAATCGCGAGGGTGCCTTTGGTCGAACGGGAGTCATCTTTGAGCGGGTTGCTAGCCAGTGCTACGCTCGATGCATGGTGCTTGACTTGCCAGTGCACGGTGTCTCCAACCCCACTGGAAGCATTTCTGGCCCCTCTAGCATTGCGTCGCGTTACCATGTCTCCATGCTGTCGCAAGACTTCCGCCAGAACCTGAGCAAGGTTCGTGGAACGCTTCGCTTGAAGCTCTTCTACCTTCCACCTCTTCCGAGCATCCCACGCGATGGTCTTCCGGAGAACCTTGGTGAATGCATCCGTGGCATGCAGAATGCTGCTTGGCACAGATCAGAGCCGTGGCAGACAGGAACATTGACACAGTTGGGAGGTGATTGCGTCAGCTGGCGTCGTCGCCCAGTAGAGGCTCAAGGTCAACACCTGATCTGCTTCAATGCGATCACCAAGAAGCCCACCATCAAGATTGATCTCTCCAAGGCTGTCTGCATCGAAGAACTGGGCAACCATGTCAACAGAGGGTCGATGATCTTCCCAGCCGCGACCAGCCAAGCTATGGGCCGATCCAGGACGATGGCCTCTTACGCCACAACTGGGACGCTGGCAGAAGAGGAAGATGGCGATGCAAACTACCATGTTGAGCGATCCCTCCGCATCACGTTTGCTGATGGAGAGCGGATCACTTTCTTTGCCGATACGGAAGCTGAAAAGGCGCAATGGGTCAAGGTCATCTCGGACGTGATTGGCAGTGAGGTACCGCCCAACCCGTTATGGGCGCAGGTATTGTTGGAGAGCATTGGCTCAAAGCCTGCTGGCAAAGTGGATAACAACACTCGCAAACCCAGTCAGCAGTTGATTCAATCTCGTGATCCGGTGCCTACTGTCCAGGAAGAGGGCCCTTGGACTCCACAATCCGCACCGAGAGCTCCTGCCCCACCGATGCACAAGCCTGTGCCTTGGGCATCAGAACAAGACAGCCGAATCTCGAATTACTCCAACGCCTCGCAAGGTTCAACGCCCTCGCGTCTACCGTTGCGAGCATCTCACAAGATTGCCGCTCCAGCCCCTACATCCATACGCAGCTCTGTACGCGGCTCACCTTTGACGACCAGGCCGGCGTCGATGATTGGAACACCGGTGCATGATGCCTCGAACCGGGTTGCTTTCGATCGTCTGAAGCGAGCTGGTCATCTTCGCGCCCAGACGGAGGACTTGACGCCTCTTCGACGCCGCTGATCGGCTGTGTTGCGAGGCAGGCCATCCGGCCTCGTCCGGGCTTTGGTTGAGCCGCTTTGTCTCTGGTCGGTGTATATTTGACGCTTGCTTCTTGTCTCTTTGTTGTTTCGTGTGCGGATTTCTATGTTGGTATATTATATGATTCGTACTTTGCATAGTGTGGGCATCTTTCTTGTATTCATTTTATCGTGTCTCATTGTTCTTGTTCCATCTTCCTACTTTGCTGTGCTTGCTGTTGGTTGGGGTTGATCCTGACTCGATGCAAGACGTATCGGACAATAAAATTGATGAGGAAAACCTATGAATGCTGAGTCGAGGAGTGAATGCTGTAAGCTCGGCCGTCAGAGTTGGTCATAAAGGTAGTCGGCTCTTGGGTAGAAGATTGGCATCCGTCTCGCACGACTTGCTACTCGCTCCTACGAGAAGGTCTGACTTGCACTATGATCTTGTTGTTGTCCGCGCAGGTCATGCAGGTATTGAAGTGGCGGCAGCTTCGGCTTGTGTTGGAGGACGAACTCTTGTTGTCACTGCAAACAAGCAGAGTGTTGGAGAGCTTAGTTGCAATCCCAGTCTTGGTGGTGTGGGGAAAGGGACTCTTGTGCGAGAGGTGGACGCTCTTGGTGGTCTTTGTGGTTTGATAGGTGATAAGGCTGGTATTCAATTTCGCATGCTCAATCGTTTCAAAGCTCCTGCTATTTACGGTCCGAGAACACAGATAGATCGCTCCATCTATCGACGTCATATGCGAGAAGGATTGCGAGATTATCCGAATCTAACTATTCACTAGGCTCAAGTTCATGGCTTACAGCTTGACTGGGTGCAATCCAGTAGCTCACAGATATACAAGGCAGCCATGCATATCCTCGAGCTATTGTACGCGGCATAACGACATCCGGTGGAGATAGGATCAGTTGCAGCCAGGTCATTCTTGCTACGGGCACTTTCCTGTCGGCAAACATTCACCTCGGATTGCAATCCAGACCAGCTGGACGCATGCTTCCACTTCCCTCTGTGAACGACGATACTGCTTCTGATGCGCTCAGTCAAAGCCTCAGTCGAGCAGGTTTCCAGCTTTGCCTATTGAAGACTGGTACTCTTGCCCTTGGCAAGAGGAAGGAAAGGTTGACTCGCGACTCGAAGTGGTTCATGGAGATGTTGAACCAGCAGCCTTCTCTTTTCTGAACGAGGGACCGGATATTGATCCAGCTTGTCAGGTCAAGTGCTGGGGCACAAAGACAAACACTTCTACCCACGACCTTGTCCGTCAGAGCCTAGACAAGTCGATGCACATCAAAGAGACAGTCAGGAGTCCTCGCTACTGTCCCTCGGTGACACGTATGAGGTGATATAAGTAAAGAAGTTTCGGTCCTGATAACTGGTGATCGGCGAGAGTCAGAGCACAATGTCACTACTACTTTACCGCAGAAACATGTATAATTGATTGACTAAGGAATGTGGCGAGAGCCTAGTTGTTACGTTTTGTCGGATGAGATAGGCGTGTTGGTGGGTGATGTCGAGCATTCGAGTTGACGGGTGGCGACGCCGAGTGAAGTTTGCGGTCGTGTTAGAGCATGAACAGGCGGTCATGTGATTTCACTAGGTTAGATTCGGCTCGAGGAAGCTCAGTTGGGCATGACAAGCGTGGCTGTGATTTTGGTTATGTTACATTTTACGGTCAAACACAAATGAATTTTCGATCGAAGGCGGAAGAAGAACGCGCTTCCAACAGAGAGCAAGCTTGCATTTTGCTCTGAGGAGAGAATGGAGAATAACGAATTTGTCGGCCGGGTGAGTGAGTGTGCATTTTTATTTTTTTTGGAAAGTGTTGCGCATCGGCCTTTCAAGCGTTGGTCTTGGTTCATCTCTCTTTTGCTTCACCACCATACCATCAAAGCACGAGACACAACGTACAAATATGTCGCTCAAAGTGCCGCGCGCTGGAGGGCCCAACCTCTTCAAGGAAGGCTACAAGCATTTTCAAGGTATCGAGGAGGCCGTTCTTCGAAACATTCAGGCTGTCAATGAACTTTCGGAAATCGTTCGAACTTCTTTTGGTCCCAATGGTCGTAACAAGATGGTCATCAATCATCTCGAAAGGCTTTTCGTCACTTCGGATGCAGCTACTATCATTCGGGAGCTCGACGTCGTTCATCCAGCAGCTAAGTTGCTTGTCATGGCAAGTCAGCAGCAGGAGGCTGAGATGGGTGACTCGACTAACCTCGTCCTTATCTTTGCTGGAGAACTGTTGAAAAAGGCAGAATATCTTATCACCATGGGTCTTCATCCTTCCGAGATTATTCAGGGTTACGAGATCGCTCGTGATAGGTGCCTTGCCGAGTTGGAAGAGCTTTCCGTTGCAACACTCTCGACACCTCCCACTATGGAAAGCCTTGCTCTTGCACTCAAGCCCTGCCTTGCATCGAAGCAGTACGGAAATGAAGAGCTTTTGGCACCTTTGGTCGCAGAAGCAGTCTCCATGGTTCTTCCTCAGAACGCTAAGAACGGTCTTGCCGATTTCAGCGTCGACAATGTCCGTGTAGTTAAGATCATGGGTGGTAGTTTGTCACAGTCAAAGGTCGTTCGCGGAATGGTCTTTGGTCGTGAACCGGAAGGTGTCGTCAAGAAAGCTAAAGCCGCCAAAGTCGGTGTCTACACTTGTGGTATGGATATCTCTCAGACCGAAACCAAGGGTACTGTTCTTCTCAAGAACGCAGACCAACTTTCCAACTTCTCCCGTGGTGAAGAACAGCAGCTCGAAAAGTATTTCAAAGAAATCGCCGACTCCGGTGTCAAGGTCGTCGTCACACAGTCTCAAGTCGGTGAACTTGCACAACACTATCTCAACCGATTCGGCATTCTGGTCATCAAGATTCTTTCCAAATTCGAACTCAGAAGATTGTGTCGTCTGCTCGGTGCTACACCTTTGGCGAGATTAGGTGCACCATTGCCTGAAGAGGCTGGCTGGATCGATTCTATCGAAACTACCGAAATCGGAGGTGATCGTGTTACTGTCTTCACTCAAGAACATGGTCAACCTGGTGGCAAAGCTAAACCCAAGATGTGCACTATTGTTCTTCGTGGTGCGACAGCTAACCTTCTCGACGATGTCGAGAGAGCGATCGATGATGGTGTTAATGTTATCAAGTCTCTCACTCGCGATGCACGTCTTGTACCTGGTGCAGGTGCTACTGAGATTGAACTTGCTAAACGTATCACTCATTTGGGAGAAAAAACTTCGGGTCTCAATCAACATTCGATTAAGAAATTTGCAGAAGCTCTTGAAGTTGTTCCTCGTACATTGGCAGAAAATGCAGGATTCGATTCGACAGAAATCGTTTCAAGGTTGTATGCTAAGCATGTGGATGTTATGGCAGTAGATGTTGGTGTTGATATTGAAAATCACGTCGATGGAACTATGTCGACGATTCAGAAGCAGGTCTTGGATGTCTTGGCTGCCAAATCTTGGGCCTTACGATACGCTACCAGTGCCGCAATTTCGGTTTTGAGTGTCGACTCGATCATCATGTGCAAACCTGCAGGCATTAAGGCACCAAAGACCAATCCTAACTGGGATGACGACTAGTTGCATACGGGGTCAAACTCATTAAAGCAGTTGCAAGCAAACCAAAAAATTCATGCCCAATATCAGCTCATATCCAGTGAAAAAAAAAGTAATCTCACATAAGCACTTGCTACCCCTCATCACCCCATCTTGCGTCTTTGGCAATATTGCCAGTTGATCTAATGCCCAAAAGTCCACAACTGAGCTGTGATGAGAATGACGCACCACCAGAAACTCTTGATCACCGCGACTCAAAAAAACGCCGGCACACAAAGCACAAAGTCACAACAAAAACGGCATTGAAACCATACCGAGATTGAAAATACAAAAGCGAGAACAAGGCAGCCTACGATACGAAAAGACCAAGAGGTGCATCCTGTAGAGCATGATTACGAGACGAGAGGGAGAAAGATTTGCCAAACAGAAGCAGTGCTATGAGAACTAGGATATGCAAGACGGGAACTGAACGGGTAATCAAGACACATGGCACGCCAAAACGCGCGCTCAAGGCAGCAGGGAGAAAGAGAGCGGACAAGAGAGTAGAGGCAGAGCTCTGTAGAGTTCAAAGACAGCTTTAAGCCGACAAGGTGGCATTGTTGAAAGCAAGCTTGTTGACAGTGTCAGAGTCAAGACCGGTCAAGACGTTGGGCGAGGCAAGCTTGATAAGGGCCTTCTTGAGCTCGTTGGGCGAGAGGACACCGTCGATCTCGAGCTTGCCAGTAGGATGAGCGTTGGACAAGTAGCTGGTAACACTGCTGACAAGGTCAAGAGCCATAGCGGGGATGGGCATGATGCTCGAGAGCTTGGAAGCAAGCGAGTCTTGGACCTCGGCGAGCGAGAGCTCAGAAGGACCAGCAAGCGCCTTAAAGTCTTCAGTGCCGTAGATGGATAGAAGGTAAGCAAGGAGACCAACAATGTGAGGGCTGGCCATCGAGGTACCAGAAATGGTGTTGACCGAAGTGGGGCCGGTGTTCCAGGTGGAAAGAATGTTGAGACCAGGAGCAAAGATGTCGACACACTTGCCCTTGTTGGAGAAGTAGGCACGCTCGTCCTGGACGGTGGAGGCACCGACAGTAACAGGCTTAGCAGCACCAGCGGGCGAGACGTTGCAAGCATCTTGGTTCTCGTTACCGGCAGCAACACCAAAGTGCATACCGTTGCTGACGGCACCGTTGACGGCCTTGTCGAGGGTAGGCGACTTGCCACCACCGAGCGACATGTTGGCGACGAAGCCCTTGTGCTTCTTGGCAGCAGCGGAGCGAGGGTTGGCTCTGAACTGAGCGGTGAGGTTCTTGGCGTCCTCGACAGCCCAGAGGACACCACCAGTGACGTCCGACATGGAACCGGAACCACCAGAGCCGAGCACCTTGACGGCAACGAGGTTGGCCTTCTTGGCAACACCGTACTTGCGCGAACCAATGGTTCCAGCACAGTGGGTACCGTGGCCGTTGCCATCGTCATCAACGTCGTTCTGGGGCATGGTCTTACCCCATCGGGCACGGCCCTCAAACTCGACGTGCTTGATGTTGATACCAGTGTCAATAATGTAGGCAGTGACGCCGTCACCAGCGTCGCGCTGGTAAAGGTACTTGTTGAAGGTGCTCAGGCCGAGACGCTTGCGGTGCGAGATACGGGCGAGACCCCAAGGAGCGCCCTTCTCGATATCGTAGGGACCGACCTTGCCGAGGTTCATGGCAGAATGAGCGGCGTGAGAAAGGTTGTGGTCGTAGTTGACCTCCCAGACCTTGTCCTCGGTCTGAGGCATGACGTCGACGGAAACAATAGTGTCCATCTCGACGTACTCGACCTCGGGCTGAGCACGGATGTAGTCGAGGACATCGTCGGTGAACCTGCCGGCGTAACCCTGGAGGTGACGCTCAAGGTTGTAGACGTGTCGGATACCCTCTGCGTTCTCGCCGTGGAAGCTGTTTGCGGAAAGCTGAGCGGACGAAATGAGGCCCTGGTGAGCGAACAAGTCGTTGGAGCTGATGCCGTCTTTGAGAACGACCATGTAAGAGCCAGGGATGGTCTCGAGCTCAGGGTTTGCGGTCAAAGGAGCAAACTGAGTGGAAGGAGAGTATGCGTTTGCGCTCGAGCCGGCAACGAAAGGCTGGTGGGCGGGGGCAGCAAGAGCTGCGAGAGGAAGACTGAGAGCCAGAGCCAAAAGGCTCAAGTATCGCTTTGGGTACATCTTCCAAGGTTTTGCTGTGGTTATGCTTTGAGGTGGTGTGAAGGGGGGAGGGGTGTAAGGACAAGGTTGTGAGTAGTAGAAAGGGAGGAAAGATGCGGATAGGAGGGGGGTTAAGTAGTAAAGGGGGGAGTGGAAGCAGGATAGAGGGTCAAATACGACAACTGATGGGGATCGTTGATGGAAATGGTGATGATGGTGAGAAAGAGAGAGAGGATGGATAAGGGTTGACGAGTTCAAGTGGGGTCCAAGCTAGGCGGCAAGAGGCCAGAGAGTGGCGAGGTAACTGAGAGAGGTTGACGCCCAGCTTCAGGTCGGCTGAGCAATTGTGAGAGCAGAGTTGGCCTGAGCGCGAGAGAGAGAGAGAGAGTCATGAATCGCCTGGGCTCAGTCTCTGGCGCAGCGAAACTCTTATCTCTCTCTGTATTCTGAGGAAAAGAAGGGCACTTTGCCTGTTGCCGCTGAGTTTGGCGCACTCTCAACTCCACACGGATCACCGCGCGTCAATATCCAATACAAATTCAACCTAGCTTATCTATAAATCGTATTTGTATTCGCCCCTTCCCCCCTTCCCCTTCCCCCCTTAACCCCCTAATTAACCCAACTGTAACCTATTCCAGGCAAGGCTTTCGCCATTATTGTTTTTTCTATTCCTTTTTTTGACAGCTGCTTCAATACAACTTTCCGCTTTTGGACGGCGAACATCCTCCAAGGCCAGGTGACTTATGATTTGAACCCCTTTTCCCCCCTTTTCCCCCCCTTTCCCCCCTTTCCCGCCTTTCCCCGCCTTTCCCGCCTTTCCCGCTCTGGGCTGCTTCTGCTTCTCTTGCTTTTGCACCCGTCTCTTGAGGGCGAGGCATTAATGACTCTGTTTCTTTGTTTCAGCGGTTATGATCATCTCTGCTGCACTTGGAGGTCAAAGCTATACAGCACGCAAATCGTTTGGCTCATAGAATCTGCAACGTTTCAATCTCAGATGCGCATCTTGGGCTCTGTATGTTTCTACAAGATTTCAGTCGGATGCCCGTTGGTTGGTTGCAACAAGGCCAACTGGGCGTCCAAGTCAACTTCCACAAGCTCGCCATCGATCTTCATCCAGACACTAGGTTACAATGAAACTTTGGTCCTTCTGTGAGTCTCATCCATTCTCGTCGGCCCGATAGATACTCAGATCGGGCCGAAGCAAAAGAGCCGATTGATCACCGGTTAATTTCTATTTCTATTCTACCGGCCGAATCAGGTTGCGGAGGATGCGGATCCAACACCTTTCGCCTGCTCACATGTGCAAGCTCTGAGGGCCATTTCCCAGCAAAACACACACACCCACACACACCCACACACACACACCAAGTCACTCGAGCGCCTCTCCGCATTTTCTGCAATTTCTCGAAAATCATTTATTTCGACAGCGCGGGGCAAGAGCAAGGAGAGACTCAAGGACTAATGCCTCGAGCCGAATTCAGCCGGTTCATCGGTCATTCGAGCTAACCGTGCTCCGAGTTTACCCTTTTCGAGGTTACACAGACACACAGAACAGTCCACTGTGTCTAGCCGCTTGAGCCTCACTGAAGCCGCGCTTAAACAGTGTGTCAGTTGTTTGTGAATGCCCCCCCCCCCCCCCCCCCCGCACCCGCTGCTCTGGTCGCTCTTTCAGCGTCGGTCCAGATGCGAGCTCTTGGCCGGCCGGCTGGCTTGCTTTGCCCTTTAAAGCATCGTCTAGCCTAACCGCTCGTACGACTATTACCGTTTCTGCTTCTCGTCCTATCTTCCTTCCCAACCGTCGTCATCTTCCTTGCTTTCCTCACACCAGGACATCTGATTGCAAGCACGCCTTCTCTCACTCACCGCAACACTTCAACCTCAGCACTGACACTCGCCGAACAAGCGCACATTGCCATAGACGCCAACTGCTTCTCAACGCACACACCACAAGCATACAAGCTTTCTCGACATTAACTTTCTCAGCCCGCATCAACCTACATCTAGCGTCAAACCCCCCATTTCCACACAATAAAAATGGCCAAGTCGGAGGCGAACAACAAGCCCAAGGTGGCTCCCTCGACCCATTTGATCGCTGGTGGTATTGCAGGTTTTGCGGAAGCATGTACCTGTCATCGTAAGTTATCACCCGTGCTTGATCGCATTTGCATTTCACCTCTGGCAAGCTTGCTGACCGCTCCTTTTATGCATTCTTTGCTCCTCCCTCACAGCCTTGGATACGATCAAGGTGCGCATGCAGCTTTCCCGTAGAGGCAAGAAAGCCGGTGAAAAGCCACGAGGTTTCATTGCTACCGCTTCTCACATTGTCAAGCGTGAGACTCCGCTTGGTCTCTACAAGGGTCTCGGAGCCGTTGTAGCTGGTATCGTTCCCAAGATGGCCATTCGATTCATGTCGTTCGAGCAGTACAAAGGCGCTCTGGCCGACAAGACAACAGGAAACACTTCATCCCAAGGTGTCTTCCTTGCAGGTCTCGGAGCTGGTACCACAGAAGCCGTAGCTGTCGTCAACCCGATGGAGGTGGTCAAGATCCGTCTGCAAGCACAGCAGCACTCGCTTGCTGATCCTCTCGAAGTGCCCCGATACCGCAACGCCGCCCATGCTCTCTACACCATCATCCGCGAGGAAGGTGTCATGACACTCTACCGCGGTGTCGCTCTTACAGCTGCACGACAGGCGACCAACCAGGCTGCCAACTTTACCGCCTACCAAGAGCTCAAAAGCGCTGCACAGAAGTTCCACGGTACGTCGGAGCTGCCTTCCTACCAGACTGCCTTGATTGGTTTGATCTCGGGTGCGCTCGGCCCCTTTTCGAATGCTCCTATCGACACAATCAAGACACGTATCCAGCGTGCTTCCAAGGTGCAAGGTGAGACAGCCGTCAGTCGTGTTGTCAAGGTAGCCAAGGACATGTTTGCACAGGAAGGTGCTAGTGCTTTCTGGAAGGGTATCACTCCTCGTGTCGCACGTGTCGCTCCTGGTCAGGCTGTCGTCTTTACCATCTACGAAAAGGTCAAGGCTTACATCGAGGCTGCCAAGCAGGGTGAATTCAACCTTACCGACACTCGATCTGATGAGTAGCCCCTTTCTTAGTACTCTGATCACCCATTCTCCCAATCATCACGCTTATTGCAATCTTTCTCACACAAGTCTGTCTGTCTGTCTGTCTGCTGTTCTTATCAGCGGTGAGCATGGTGTCTTTGTGTCTTGCTGAGATGAGATCCGCTCAGAGTCAGAGTGTAATCATTCCCGACCTTTGAGTGCCGGCTTGGCTATCACATGCAAAATAGACAAGTTCAAGTAGCCGAATCCGGGGTCCATTTCGATCTCCCGATGCTTTTTTTTTTTTTCTTTTTTTTTCCCCCCCGATTGTCCCCCCCGATTGTCCCGCTGGATGCTGCTGGCCTAATGGACGAGCATTTGGGCTTCCAGGATTCTCGGTGTAAGCTCTCCAGACTGATTGATTCTGTTGACCTGTTGGTCCTCATCAACGACAAACTTGCTCAAGCTGCTACATTTGCTACAGTATCAAAGCCGAGGTGAAAGAGTTGAGAATTTTGGCACTAAGTTACTACTAAGTCATTTTTGAGTGCTATTTACATAAGCATATATATATGTGCATGCTTGGTGGTCACCTTCAGCCTGTGCCAATCTATGACTATTTTACTCTTCACATTGCTCCTAAGTTGTCATGGTAACACCTATGCATCCCACATGTGTAGCCACCAACATGTGGTTTCATATCATCAATAGTTACTTGCCCTCTGCAGACCCTGTAGGCTCTGTTTGGTTCTGACACGTCTCCAACCATTGTTATGTCTCCCTCAACTGTCTCCCTCAGCAGGGAAGTGGGGAACTGCTGAGCCACTGTACCTTGCTGTGGTGTCAATCCCAACCCCTGTCATGCACATCGTAATACTTCCTTACCCACTGGCTTGGTGAAGATGTTGGCCAAGTTGTCCTCGGTGCCAATATATTTGATTTTGACATTTCCATCTTGCACATTATCTCTGATAAAGTGGTACTTGGTGTCAATATGCTTCAACTTCCAATGTTGTGCTGGGTCCTTACTTACCTGAATGGTGCCTGTGTTGTCTGAAAAGATTGTGGGGGTGCTGACATCAATTCCAATAGCTTTGAAGAGATGCCTGAAGAAAAGTACCTCTCGTGCAGCTTCAGTTGCCACCACAAACTCTGCTTCCACCACTGACAAAGCAGTGCAGTGTTGTAGTGCTGACTTCCATGCAACCAGGTTCCCATGTACAAACACTGCTGAGCCTGATGAGCTCCTTCGTTGTGCAGTGGCATCACTTGCCCAGTTTGCATTGCTATGCACTGTTAGAAAATCTTGTTCCTTGTTGCCACTGTATCATAGGTGGACATCCTGGGTACCATCTAGGTATTGTAGTACCTTCTGTGCTGCATTGTAATGCTCTTTCAATGGTTGAGTCATATAGCATGTGAGGACCCCTACTGCTTGGCTGATATCTGGGCATGTTCCATTCGAGAGCCATAGGAGCTTGCCAACAATCTGTGGGTATTCCTTTCATTCGGCTGTGCTTGCTGCTGTCTCTGGGGCTGGTACATCTTGGAGTGGTACACTGGATTTTCTCCTGCATTTGTCTAGGTGTTCGTTCAGTAGTTGTTTAATGTAACTGGTCTGCCTGAGGTCCATTGTCTTTTCTTCACAATCCCTGGAGATCTTGATTCCAAGGAAGTGGGACATGTCGCCACCCTCCTCCATCTTCCACTTCTTGCCTATTTCCTCCTTGATGCATTTGACTGTTTCTAGCTTTGGGGACATGATTAATGTATCATCAATGTAGATGATCACTATCACAAAGTCATCCCCTTTCCCTCTGGAGTAGATGCATGGTGCACAATCAAGTCTATGGAAGTTGGATTGCTGGAGGAACTTGTCAAACTCCATATTCCACTCCTGTCCTGACTGTTTGAGACTGTATAGTCCCTTGATTACCCAATAAGCTTTTCCTTTCAGCACCTTAGCCCCTTCTGGCAGTTTCATGTAGATCTCGTGTTTAAGTGTGGAGTTGAGATAGGCCATTGTAATGTCTAGTTGGTGAACCTCCCAGTCCTTCTCCACTGCCAGTGATAATAGTGCTCTTATCACACTAAGCAGTGCCACTGGTGCAAAGGTTTCTTTGAAGTTGACACCCTCTCATTGCATGAAACCTCGTGTGACTAATCTTGCTTTGTGTTGGATGGGTATGCCATCTGCATCCAGTTTGAGGTGTAAGACAATTTTGGAGTCTATGAGCCTGGTGTTTGGTGGTACATCCATGACCTCCCAAGTTCCCATGGCCTCCAGTCTGTCCAACTCCTTGCATATGGCTTCTTGCCATTGCTGTGCATCTTCACTGGCAAGTGCTTCTTTCATCATTGGTGTGAGATTTAGGGTGGTGGTGTTCACTCCCCCAATCATGTCTTCAACTGCTATCTCTGATTGGTTGTCTTCAGTATATTTGATTGGTTGTCTGATGGGTGCATGTTGGAGTGAGTCTTGCATGTCAAGCTCTTCAATTTCTGGTTCAAGTTTGAGGTTGTTTGCCTCTGGTTTGGCACTTTCTGCTTCGAGGCTCTCAAACCCAATCTGCAGCAGGCTTTGTACTTTGGGTCAATCATGCCAACCTTTATGTTTGTGGAATGTAGCTGAATTGCTCCACCGGATGGACAGCATGTGGTCTGGAGTGAAGAATTTCCAACCCTTGTGTTAATCATCATAGCCGACCATGATTCCAGGTATTGCTCTCACACCATGTTTGCCTGCATGGTCCTTTTTTGGGAGGTGGACCCATGCAAGGTAGCCAAAGATGTGCAGTTGCTTAACCAGACCATGAGCCATTGTGTGATGAAAATCTTCATATGGGATCCTATTTGCATTCACTGAGGGTGTCAAGTTAAGTACATGTCCAGCAGCCATAATGGCATAGGGCCATAGCCCTTTTGGCACCAATCTTTGGACAAGCATTGCACACATCTTCTCTTGGAGTGATCTGATGGTGCACTCTGCTCTCCCATTCTGTATGCTGACATACAAGGTGGTTTTCTGCCACTTAAACCCTGCCTCCTGCTTCCACTCCTCTGCTGCTAAGCTTGACCATTCCATTCTGTTATCGCTGTGAATACACTTTAATGTGCAATCTGTTGCTATCTCCACTGTTTTGGTCCATGCTTTTAGGGTGGGGAACACTTCTGCTTTGCTTAGGAGCAGTTTCACATACACATAGGATGAGGCATTGTTGATGACTACCAGTGCATGGTGATAATTTGGATGTCCTTGTAAGTCTGTCATTAAGTCAATGTGTATCAACTCTAGTGGCTCCTGTGCTCATTCTGTTTTGCTGCTTGCCATTCTTGTGTGTGTTTGTTTTGCTTGACTGCAACAGTTGCAGTCTCTTGTGTTGTGCTTGAGCTGTGTATCCTTTCCCAAGTAATGAGCCTGGATTTGCTTGGTTTTGTTTCTGCCAGGGTGGCCGAATCATTCATGCCATAGTTTGCTTATTGTGTGGCTTGCAGGCCTTGCTGGGGTTGTGTTAATATCAATGCCCTCAAGAGGGTCATTGAGCTGGGCTGCTAGGGAGTCACCATGAATCTCCCATCTTTTCTTACACTGGTTGGTCTTGCTCTTGACCATGCTTCCATCATGTTGGAGGATTGTAGCTCCAGATTCTTCAAATATCACTCATGCACCATCTTTGGTTAATGCTGGAACAGACAATAGATTCTTGCTAAGATTGGGAATGTAAAGTACATCTGTGAGGGGTATTTTAACATTTCCAACTTGCAAGGTTGCATCTCCTATTGCCTGGACCTGTAATCATTCTTGCCCAGCAGTGTCTATGAGTCCTTGTTTTGCTGTCAGGGCAATGAGTTTGCTTTCATCACATACCATGTGATGCATAGCACTGGAGTCAAGGACCCATGTGTTGTTGGGTTTATGAGTGGTTGCATTACTGATGAACAGAGTGCACCTGAGTTCCTACTTCTGCTGTGTTGGGGCTTGTTCCTGGCTGCTGGTGCAGTTGATTGCAATATGGCCTGGTTGCCTGCATTTGTAACACTTAGCTGGCTTGTTAGGGTTTGTGGGATCACATCTGCCTCTGTTGTAGCCTTCTTGGTTTAGGATTTGGCCAGGTCTGCTGGCTTGGTTGGTTATGTTCTTGTTGCCAGTGAGTCTGGTTGCAGCTCAGATATGGCCAGAGAGTTTAGCTTCTTGATGTTTCTTGGCAAGTGCATGGTAGGCATATTCATAGCTACAGCCCAGCTGTGCAGCTTTAAGGGAGTCTACTGTCTGAGTATAGAGCCAGTCATCTTTGACACAACAGTACAAGGTGGACTTCTTGAGCTTTTCATCCATGCAACTGCCCAGTCTTGCAGCATCATTCCAAATTCGATCTAGTTCCTTTCCAAGGTTGATGACATTTCAGTGGACTAGCTTGATCTCATGCACTCAGTCATGAATTGCAGAAAGTTTGACTTCATCATTGATTGTGAGCACTGCTTTGAGCTTCTTGTACAGTGTAGAGCCAAGTTGTTCCTCTTTGCCTTGTTCTCGAATGGTGTATGTATGAATACTGCTCTCAGGACTGTGGTTGCATGATGACAGGATGAGGCCTAACAGGTGACTGTTTAGTTCTTCATCATAGTCCATGTGGTTGCTAGATATTTCCCTGGTAAGGATCTGTTTTGCATTCTTGATGGGATGTATGCAGTCCATAAACATGGGCTCCCAGATGGCCCAGTTGTTCTCATTGAGCTTGACGATCTGCAATACAATGCTGAGTACTGACTTAGGGATCTTTTTGACTTGGCTGGCATTTGGTTGGAGGTTCATCATAGAGAAGGCATGCTCCAAGATTTGGTCTTCATTCCAGTTGGTGTGAACCTCTCTGATCATTTGCATGGTGCATTCAAGCAGAGCTATGCTGTCTACTCTGGTTGGCATCTTGATGGCAAAGTGCCTTGAAGCTGCTGAGCTTCAGACTCTTAATCAGTTGAGAATTTTGGCACTAAGTTACTACTAAGTCATTTTTGAGTGCTATTTACATAAGCATATATATATGTGCATGCTTGGCAGTCACCTTCAGCCTGTGCCAATCTATGACTATTTTACTCTTCACATTGCTCCTAAGTTGTCATGGTAACACCTATGCATCCCACATGCATAGCCACCAACATGTGGTTTCGTATCATCAATAGTTACTTGCCCTCTGCAGACCCCATAGGCTCTGTTCAGTTCTGACACATCTCCAACCATTGTTACGTCTCCCTCAACTGAAAGGCAGCTACAGCAGCATGCTTCTTGCGTCCAAGAGGAGCCAATTCTGGCTAGACTGAATCAACTGCCTGTTCACAGCACAGCAAATAGCACAGCAAATAGCACAGCAAATAGCTCAGCACAGCACAGTTCAGCACAGTTCAGCACAGCTCTGCATGTCTTTATTTTATTTTATTTTATATTTTTTTATTTTTTTTGGAGTGTGTCTGTTACGATATCACGTGCGCAAGCTGTATGCACGGTGTAATGGTGTAACTGTTAGGGAAACATGGTTGGGTCAAGATAGCAAGCAGCAAATCATTTTCATTTCATGAGAACTAAGCACAGTAATGTCAAGAGTATATATGCTTCTACAGTCAGTATGTGAAGGTGAGGTGCCATGTATGACTACATGCTTTTTGAATGAGATAGGGGTCATTGGTGGGTGGTGTCAGACATTGGTGGGAGTTGACAGGTGGTGATGCTGAGTGAGGTTTGTGGAAATGTCAGAATATGACTAAGCAGTCATGCATTTTTACTGTCCCCCTTGCAAACTGAGGGATCTGAGGAGTTGAGGTTAGCCATGCCAAGATGTTGTCAAGTGCACATGAGCAGCTGTTGCAATACTGGTTTCATGAGGTAATCTGCAATGTTGTTGTCTGTTCAAACATATCACATTGCTATGTTGCCTTCTAAGACATGATGTTGGATGAGGTGGTATTTCATGTCAATGTGTTTGAGCTTTGAGTGGAGGGCCTGGTCCTTCACAACCTGGACACATCCTGTATTGTCCATGAGGACCACCAGTATGTGATCCCCAAAACCAAGGCCACACAGCAGATGTTGGTGGAAGAGGGCTTTGCATGCTGCTGCTGACCCAGTGACATACTTGGCTTCCATGGCCAAGTTCAACACACATTTCTGGACAAGACATGTGAGTTCCAGGTCACCAGGCTGCCAAAAACCTTAATGATTGATCTGGATGTGCTCTGCCAATTGGTGTGGGGGTCCATGGCCCAGTTGGAGTTGGTGTATGCTGCAAAGGCCAGGTTGTTCCTTTCTTCACCCCCAATTTGCAAGACCTTGCTGCATGTCTGGTTAAGGTACTTTATGACTTGGAGGGCTGCTTGCATCACATCCTCAGTTGGTTTGGACATGTGTTGGGCCAGGGTATTGGCAGTGAAAGAAATATCCAGCTGGACTGTGGCCACTACCCATAACAGCTTGCTGACAAGGATCAGATACCTAGTCTTGATGTCTCTATCAGCCTCAAAATCTGGAGGAGGTGTTGGAGGAGTGTGAGTCATGGGTGTCCACATTTTCTCCTGCAGCATGATCCATTCCTCAACAATCTCTTTGATGTATGTGTGCTGGTCCAAATCGATAGTTCTCCTCTTCTGGTCTGGAGTGATCTTGATCTTGAGGAACTCCATTGCCAGTCCTTTGTCAGTTATCTTCCATTTTCTGACAATTGCCTTCTTGATCTGGGTGATCTGGGTCCTGCACAGGGAGATGATGAGCATGTCATTGACATATACTGCAATGATTGCCCATGTTTTGCCTGAGCCTTGTAGGTATATGCAAGGTACATTGAGGAGTGGGAAGAAACCCAAGCACTGTAGATGTGCATCCAGTTCTTGATGCCATTCCCTGACTGATTGTTTGAGCCCATATAAGCTCTTGACAAGCTTGTATACCTTGCCAGCTGGGACCTCTGCACCCTCTGGCAGTTTAAGGTAGATGTGGTGATGCAAGTTGGTGTTCAGATATGCTTGGGTGATGTTGATCAAGTCAATCTCCCAATCAAATTTGGCCATGATGGTTGTCATGGGCCTGGATGCTCAAGAAGCAGGAGGGTCACTGGTTCATATGGACGGAGCACAGGTATCGAAGACCTAGCCGATACCAGTAGAGAGCATGGTCGCAGTGCAGTCTCCATGGAGACCATGGACTCCTATGGATTCACATGCAAAGGAGCACTGAGCCCATATGCGAGGAGGACCAGGCACAGCCACGAGGAGGACCAAGCTCAAAGAGCAGGCGCAGCCATGAGGAGGACCAAGCTCAGATGGTTACCACTCAGGGGCTCGAGAGACAGGAAGTCGACACAGGTCATGAGGAGGAGGAGCAGTGTCGAAGGAGTCGACACAGGTCATGAGGAGGAGGAGCAGTGTCGAAGGAGTCGACACCACTCAAGAGGCACAGGGGTGCCAAGCAGGAGAGGCCCCTGAGCAGTACTCGATGAAGAAAGTACTCTCTGGAGAGAGAGCAGGAGCAGCATCGCTGGCGATGCTGTGAAGAGGTATATAACCATGCTTTCTCATCATCATAGGTCGAGTGGATCCCCATCCACTCTACTCACCATACAACTAGTCAATACTTTAGAAACACAAGTACTCATTAGTTACAGTCAGCATAGCAGCAATCCATCAAGGTTGCTCCTCATCGTAGTGTGTGTGTTGTATCACCACTACCTGACGTCCGAAGGCGCCCATAGCAGGTTAGCGGTCCGGATATAGATAGAACCGAAGGCAGTAGTCCACTGCGGTCCGGGGATCACTTCAAAGCATCAAGTCAACACACTGGACACTCGTGTTGACGCCACCAACCTTATCATCAACACCATCAACCTCATTATCATCGACATCACCAATCTCATCACCAACACCATCAACCTCATCATCATCAACACCCACACCAGACCTTGGTGTCATCATAACATTGATATTGATCGTGCCGAGCTACCCCTGAACGGAGTGTCCACAGAGGTCAGCCGAAACCTACGATAGTATATACAACAAACGCCACCTGTTGTCACTGCACAACTTGATAGTCACCGATACCGAGACAATAGCTGTCACACAGTTTAATAGTCACCGAGTATCTCGACAGACCGACCTGGGTTTCAGGCGCGAGACCCCTGACAATGGTGAGTAACATTTGGATTGTGTCTTTAGGGACAACTGGGGTGAAGATCTCATCATAGTCAATCCCTTCTCTCTGTGAGAAGCCACATGCACAGAACCTGGCCTTGAATTTGTAGGGGATGTTATTAGCATCCATTTTTACCTGCAATACCAGCTTCAAATCTACAAGGGTTGCTCCCTCCAGTCTGTCTATGGTTTCTCAGATCTGCATGCTTTCCAAGCCATCCATTTTGGCCTTGATAGCCTCCTGCCAGTGTATTTGGTCAGGTCCTGCCAGCACCTCCTTGATCAAAAGTTTGAGGTTTGTGGCAATGGTCATATGTGCCTCAGCATTGTAGGCTGGGAGGGGTCCTATATCTGCCAGTCTGCTGCTGTGGCAAAGTTTTTCTTGGAAGCAATGCATTTCTGCTGCAGGTGGAAACTCGTCATCTGTATTGGTAGGGTATTCGAAAGCTGAGTCTGTGGATCCAGGGACTATGATGTCCCCCACAAATGTTGTGTCCAGTGCCGAAAGTGGCTGGTATATGTCATCAATAGGCTGTTGGAGCTCCTCACCATGCTCATTGATATCATTGTAACCTAGGTTTGCAATATCGGTCATGTCCTTGTAGTGTAACATGTTGGTGTCCTGAATTAGAGCTGTATCCTCATAATCACATCATGATTTGTCCTGTAGGAAATGTACTGAGTTGGACCAGAAGCTTGGTGGGTTGTGTTTGGGGGCTAAGAACTTCCATCCTTTGTGCTCTTTGTCAGAGGTTGTGTGCCCAAAACCTGATACCTGTAATAGAAACACGTCTGTTACAAATCCTGTTGAGATATGCAACAATGCTTGTGGTATTACGATTTTTGCTGAGATATGTAGTAGAGATGTCTCTATTACTTTTCTTGCCTGAAGATGCAGTAATGGTTTTGCTATGGCAGGTTTTGACTAACTGCTGTGGACACTCCATTCAGAGGTAGCTCAGCACAATCAATAACTGAATGTACTGATACTGACACCAAGGTCTGGTGTGAGCAATGTGATTGGTGGCACCGACACGAGTGTCCAGTGTGTTGACTGTACACTTAAGGTGATCCCCAGACCACAGTGGATGACTGCCTTTGGTTCTATCTTTATCCAGACCACTGGTTTGCTATGAACTGCCTTTGGACATCAGTGAGCAGTGATACAACACACATGCTACAATGGAAGCAATCTACTTAATTGTGACTATGCTGACTGAAACTAATATATACTTATGCTGAAGTGATAACTAGTTATGTATGGTGTAGAGTGGATGAGGATCCACTTGACCACTGATGACAAGGGGGCACACTTTATATTTGTTCTTGCATTGTCACCAGCGACTCTGCTTCAGCTCTCTCTCCAGAGGGTACCTTCTCTGTTGAGTACTATGGTAGCAGTCTCTACCAATGCTCCCCCCCCCCCCCCCCAGCTGGTCCCTACTCCTCCTGCTCCTGAGACGAGGGGGACCAGCATCATCTCATCGCTGATAGGGGCTGCCCCACTTCATCCTAATGACAATGCATGTCCCTCTCCTTCATCTGCCTCCTAACTTCAGCACCCATCTTCCTGTGCTGATCTCATCATTGTGTAAGGCCCCTACCTCATCTGGTGGCAACCTCAACTGCCCTTGTCTCTAATCCCTACTGAAACTGTCATACAATCACCCTTGCTACTGATCTCTGTGGAACATGTCATATGATCCTGTTTGCTACAGATCTGGGTGGAATTTGTGATACTGTCATTGCTTGTGCCAATCTAGGCAAGATCTGTCTTAGAGCTGTGTCTCCTACAGATCTCAGTGAGCTCCACCACAAGTCCCATGATTTGCCTGATCCCTCGATTCCTGCACTCCCTTCATATGACTTGATGGGTCTTCTTGCTTTCTGCGCATCCAGGCCCATGACACTCTTTGTCATATCTGACGAAGATGGCAGGGATGACTGGTTCATCCAGCTTCTTACACTTTGCTTTTGGTATGTTGACCCAGGCCAGGCACCCGAAGGTCTGGAGTAGTGTGAAAGGCTTCTGCAAGTCCTTACCATAGAAAATGTGATAGGGAATCTGGTTGTTCATATTTGGCAGCACATTCTTTGTAAACACAGCAGCCTCAGCTGCAAAGGGCCAGAATGTCTGTGGCAAACAGTGAGTGCACATCATTGTAATCATCATTTTGTGGATCATTCTGATGGTGTGTTCCGCTTTACCATTCTGTTCACTGGTGTATGCCAAGGTCTTCTGCCAGCAGAAACCTGCTTTGTTCTGCCAGCCAGTAGCTGTTGTGGAGACCCATTCACCACCATTATCCAAGTGGAGGGCTTTGAGTTTATGGCCTGTTTGTATCTCAGCATAATGTATCTACTCTCTTAAGACACACAGGGCATCTGATTTCATTTGGAGTGGTTTGACATAGGTGAAGCTTGAGGCATCATCTACTGCCACCAGTAGGCATGTGAACTCTGTCTTTGTCAACAGGTGTGTAGTCAGGTTGATGTGTACTAGCTCCAACAGGTCCTTGGTGCATATGCTGCTACCTTTGCCCATTTGGGCTTTGCTTGACTTTCTGGCCATGCAGTCTTGACATTTGCAGTCTGGGAGCTTGACCTTGTATAGCTTCTCTATGACTCTTGACTTGTTCCAGCCTGGGTGACTGCACTGTTCATGCATGAAGTTCAGGGTGAAAAAGTGCTTCTCGGCTTTTGCTGCATCATCAAGCATCTCAGGCAATTCAGATAGTCCATCATCTGGATGTACCATTAGTGCTTCATACCTGGGTTTGAGGATTTCATAGTGTCTTGTGTGGGGGTTTAGGTTGCTGGTAACCATTGTGCCATTTGAGAGTTCCAGCATTGCACATTCAGAATCGAAGATCACACATGCACCATCATTTGTTAATGCCTTAACCAAGATCAGATTTGCATTTGAGTCTGGAACATAGAGTACATTGTTCAAAGGTACTTCATGGCTGTTCACATTCAGCATGACCTGTCTGATTGCTATGATGCAAATTCTCATCCCACTGGCAGTCTTCACAAAACCAGTGCAAGGAGTGGGGGAAATGAAATTTGATTCATTGTTTGTAACATGATCAGTTGCTCCTGAGTCTACAATCCAATTTGTGGACTGATGATCCAGGGAGACATGGTAAGCAGATGTGATGGTGCACCAGGTGTCCTATGCAGGTGTCTGATTTGAGGTGGGGTCCTTTGTGGGTGTTCCCTCTTGGACTTTCTTTGGGCAATACCTGGATATGTGGTTCTTGGCATTGCAGTGGTAGCAATGTCAGATCCCATCAGGTCCAGGTTTACCACAGCAGTATGCTTCTTCATTTTGGACTTGCCTGTTGGTTAAGTTTGCTTGAGCCATCTTGATGTTGCTGGTCCTATGATCTGTCCAAGCAGTCAAGCTGTCTCATCATGGACATCAACGAGCACTGGGCCAAGGCTGAATCCATGGGTCACACCCTTCCCAAAATCCTCAAAGTCAAGACACTCATTGATCAGGCCAAGTATGTCACCCCTTACCACCACTGTGTTATCACCCTCGAAGACACCAGAATAGCATCAGATTATGAAGTGCTTTGTGCCACACTATGCAAACACCAGGCTTGCAGATGTTGGCCTGAAACATGTGAATCTTCCTGACTTCATTGAGTAGGGTCAACTCAGCAATCTTCTCCATCTTTGTGAGATCTTTCTTCAATCAGCCATAGAGGCTTTGTAGGCTCCAGGGCTCTGAGTTGGTGGGTCATATGAAAAGGTAGTTAACATTTTTGTTTCCAGCAAGTAAGGCACTGCTCTGGAGGATAGTGCATAACTTGCCATCAAGGGTGTGATTGTGGTTTTTGTATCCAGGAGCCACAATGCTGTCAAGATGCTTCATGGCTGCTGGCCAGTTGGATAGGATCCCTCTGAACCAGGGGTTCCAGGCATACCAATTCTTAGTTGTGAGCTTTGGCACCTCCTTGAGGGTGTCATGAGTGCATGAGAGTCTTTGGTGGAAGTTGGAGCAGCATGAAGGTTTCTTGTATGCATTGGCATTCTTTGCTTTGTTGTGCTTGGTGAGCTTGATGAGCATGCCTTTAAGCACTTTGGGGTTGAGGTTGGAGATAGTATCAATGTTGTAATGCATTTCATTGCCATCATTGTTGTCATCATTGGAGTCATAGCACACATAGGTTTCCATACCAATCAGCATTTGCTTACATGGTGCAGCAAGGGGCATTTCTTTGTGTGGTCCATCAGATAGATCACTGCTTCCAGTGTTGGAGTCATGGATGCATGGGGGCATGTTGGTTTGATGGATTTGGCAGAGGCAGGCCCTTTCTTTGGGCAGCAGAGGTGGGTGAGGATATGGGTTGGACAGCATGGTGAAGCAGAGCAATGTTCAATCAGTAGGGTGTTCAGTCTCTTAATCTGTTAAGGAAACATGGTTGGGTCAAGATAGCAAGCAGTAAATTGTTTTCATTTTGTGAGAACTAAGCACAGTAATGTCAAGAGTATATATGCCTCTACAGTCAGTATGTGAAGGTGAGGTGCCACATATGAATACATGCTTGTTGAATGAGATAGGGGTCATTGGTGGGTGGTGTTGGATGTTGGTGGGAGTTGACAGGTGGTGATTGTCAGGGGTCTCGCGCCTGAAACCCAGGTCGGTCTGTCGAGATACTCGGTGACTATTAAACTGTGTGACAGCTATTGTCTCGGTATCGGTGACTATCAAGTTGTGCAGTGACAGCAGGTGGCGTTCGTTGTATATACTATCATAGGTTTCGGCTGACCTCTGTGGACACTCCGTTCAGGGGTAGCTCGGCACGATCAATATCAATGTTATGATGACACCAAGGTCTGGTGTGGGTGTTGATGATGATGAGGTTGATGGTGTTGGTGATGAGATTGGTGATGTCGATGATAATGAGGTTGATGGTGTTGATGATAAGATTGGTGATGTCAATGATAATGAGGTTGATGGTGTTGGTGATAAGGTTGGTGGCGTCAACACGAGTGTCCAGTGTGTTGACTTGATGCTTTGAAGTGATCCCCGGACCGCAGTGGACTACTGCCTTCGGTTCTATCTATATCCGGACTGCTAACCTGCTATGGGCGCCTTCGGATGTCAGGTAGTGGTGATACAACACACACACTACGATGAGGAGCAACCTTGATAGATTGCTGCTATGCTGACTGTAACTAATGAGTACTTGTGTTTCTAAAGTATTGACTAGTTGTATGGTGAGTAGAGTGGATGAGGATCCACTCGACCTATGATGATGAGAAAGCATGGTTATATACCTCTTCTCAGCATCGCCAGCGATGCTGCTCCTGCTCTCTCTCCATAGAGTACCTTCTTCATCGAGTACTGCTCAGGGGCCTCTCCTGCTTGGCACCCCTGTGCCTCTTGGTCGACACAGCTCCTCCTCCTCATGACCTGGTGTCGACTCCTTCGACACTGCTCCTCCTCCTCATGACCTGATGTCGACTCCTTCGACACTGCTCCTCCTCCTCATGGCCTGGTGTCGACTCCTTCGACACTGCTCCTCCTCCTTTGATCAGTGACAGTTCCTTTGGCTCTTGTCTCTCGAGCCCCTGAGTGGTAACCATCTGCATGCTCCT